CCACAAAGGGCTGGGGTCCCTGAAAGCCCAGCCTGCAGCCAGGTCAGAGTGTGCAGCTGCGCGCCCACCTGGGGGTGGCAGAGCCTCAGAGCGCACACGCCCTAGGTCCCCAGGGGGCAGCAGGGCAAGCAATGGCCCAGGGCACGTGGCTGGGGGCCAGGTTCGTCTTGAGGGTCAAACCCCAGAAAATTGCCCACCTCACTGGTAGTGCTGGACCAGCTGCCAGCCAAGCTGGCCGAGGAAAAGTACAATTTTTCTAATGTGACAAAAGTGGATTTGAGCAGCCATGCCAGGTCAGGGGCTCAGCCTGGCCACAGCCAACCCCGGGCCAGTGGTTGGAGCCGCAGGCCCCACACAGGGCAGAGGTGCAGTGGGAGGGCGCAGCTGGGGGAGCCGGCCATGTTTTTAAAGACAAGGATTCAAACCCAGAACATCCACTAAATGTGGACCAGCCACGGGAAAGGAATGGCCCATGAGAACGGGTGGGTTCCCCGCCTGGACGGGTTACTGGCTCCAGGGCCCTGGCGGGGAGGTCAGGTGGCACTCTGGGGCCAGACACCCGCTGCTCAGCACTCAGGGACTGCCTACACACTGCATGAGGGGCTACACAGGGTGCTGCCTGGCCCTGGGGCGTCTCTGGAGAGAGGGGTGGGAAGGCTGACTCTAGACACTGGTGTTCACCCTCCTGGCCCCTTTGCGGGGCTGACCCTCAGGGAGGTGGCCCCTGCCCTGGCTCCTGGTCCACTCCCAGCCACTGCCTGAACTGGCTCTCAGGCCGTTGACCAGCCCCGTGACACCACTGTCTGCTCCCGCAAGAAGAACGGGCTTCTGCGGAAAATAAGCAGTGAGCGCAGGCCCAGGAGCAGCCTTGGTCCCGGAGAGCCTTATGGTCCCCCAAGTGACATCTCCTGTGACCACGGGCTCACTGCCCCAACTCCAGGCGGCTCGGGAGCAGTACCCAGCCCAGGGCCCTGGCCCGCCTCTGCCCGGTGAGCTCTCCAGAGGGCCAGCGAGAACCTCCTGCCCCCGCAGCACTGTGGCTCCACCCAGGCTCTGGTGCAGCTGGCCCCAGCCTGCTCCGTGCTCCCCAACCCCAGAGGCAGGTGAGGGGACCCTCCTGGGCACCAGCGCTGCAGGCCACGGGTGCCGTGCTGCCGGGCCTGTTCTTCCCAGAGCAGCGGCTGGCCCTGGAGCGGGCTGGGTGCTGGCCGGGCACACGCCCGCGGGCACGCGGCCCCATTTTTAGCTTCTGCCTCTGGGACTCTCGAGACATCCCCAGGGCTCAAGGGTGCTATAATTTTTTGGTCAGGGTCCCCCGCCTCCCTCTGCTCCAGGTCCACCCCCTCCTGGCTTTGGGCAAAGTGGCCCCATCCTGCGCCCCTGCAGAGAGATCTGGGCCCTCCGACTTTCTGGAAGCTTCTGGCCTCCTTCCCATTGGTGGGTGGAGAGCATCGATTCCATTTCTGTCGCCATCTGCACCAGGATGCAGAGGCGCCCCTGCTGCCGCGATTGCTGAAGACCAGGGGCCCCCCAAGCCGCAGAGAAAAGGGGCAGGAGCGTGAAGGCAGGGTCGAGAATAAACCTGTCCTCCTAAAAGCACACGGTTAAAGGGACCCACGGAAAGATCTGGCGGCCACAGAGCAGCCTGCCCTGGCCCCGAGTGGCCAAGTGCACCCCAGGGCCAGGGGCAGCCCCGCCCCGCCCCGCCCCCGCCCCGCCCCCGCCCCGCCCCCGCCCCCAGTCCCGGCTCCCAGCCATTCCGCACAAGCCCCGCCCCTCCAGGCCCCGCCCCCAGCCATTCCGCACAGGCCCCGCCCCCAGTCCGGCTCCCAGCCATTCCGCACAGGCCCCGCCCCTCCAGGCCCCGCCCCCAGCCATTCCGCACAGGCCCCGCCCCTCCAGGCCCCGCCCCCAATCCGGCTCCCAGCCATTCCGCACAGGCCCCGCCCCTCCAGGCCCCGCCCCCAGTCCCGGCTCCCAGCCATTCCGCACAGGCCCCGCCCCTCCAGGCCCCGCCCCCGTCCGGCTCCCAGCCATTCCGCACAGGCCCCGCCCCTCCAGGCCCCGCCCCCAGTCCGGCTCCCAGCCATTCGCACAAGCCCCGCCCCTCAGGGCGTCGCCGGAGGAGGACGCCCTCCCCGCGGGCGCGGCTGCCCTGCGGGGTCCAGGCGGGGACCCGGCCACCTCGGAGCCTTCCGGCTATGGCGTCACTCCTTGGGGATCCCTCTGCGCCCCGAATTGTGGCCACGCAACGGCCCAGCGCAGGCCGCTGTGGAAGTCCGGGGCTCCCGGCCGGAGCCGGCGGTGTAGACGGGCCGTGGGCGACGTCTGACCCGCGCGGGCGGGGCCCCGCAGCGGTTCTCCTGGACTCGGGCCCGCGGTCAGCTCGCGGGCTCGGCCGCTGGAGACGGCGCCTCGAGGCCGGGCGGCGGGTCTGGAAGCGGAGCCGGCTTCTCGGGGAAACTCAGGGCCGGGGTGGCCGGAGGAATGTCCCCGGGGCTGGGCCGCGGCCGGAGGACGGCCGGCTGCAGCCTGACGGGCTTCCTCAGGCCGTCGCGGTGTCCAGGGTCGGGCCGGGAGCTCCCCGCCCTCGTGAAAAGCGCTTGGGTCGGTTCCACTCCCAGTGCTGAGCCGAGGAAGCGGGGCACCCGCGTCAGGCAAGGCCGGTCCAGCCAGGCCCGCGGTCTTCCCCCCCGGCCGCAGCCCCTGAGGGCTTGGGCCCATCCCTGCTCCCCGGAGACGGGACGTCGCCAGGAAAGAGGCTGCGGGGGCTGCCCGGCCACGGTGGGGGCAGCAGGAGTGAGGCGCTGTCTCTCTGGGCAGGCCAGGCTGTCCCCCGCTGGGGTGCGGCCCGGGGTCACCCCCACAGCGGGCAGGCTGGCTCTGACCAGTCCCTGGACCCCCTGGTGAGGTCCCCCATTCTGAGCGCCCGCGTTTCCACCTGTAAAGTACAGGGAGGTCCACACCTGAGAGCTCCTCAGAACTGCCAGGGCAGGCTGGTGCCGGCCCCTCGACGGCACTCGCTCTGCCCAGCACCGTGGTGGCGGCTCTGAGGCCTGGGCAGCCTGGGAGGTGGGGCCTTCATTCTCCAGGAGCGGAGGCAGGGCCAGGCCTGGGGCGACAGGCCGCTCCCGGCTGCTCGTGGGGCCCCGGCAGCTACGGCCGGGGTTCTCTTGGCCTCACAGCGTGGGCTGGGAGACGCACCCTCAGGTTCATTTCTCTGGACAGATTTATGTGGGTTTGGGATGTTCTTCAACTGCTTAGAAGAACGGCCCGGTGAGTGGCCCCCCGGCGGCCCAGGGGTTGAGCACAGCACTGTGAAGCCGTCCACAGCCCCCGCAGCGCGGGTTCCATCCCCGGCCAGGGAGGGACCCACAGGGCGCAGCAGACCCTCCTGTCTCCCCCTGCTCCCCTCAGCAGCGGGTTTCAGGGGATCCGCCTGCTCCGCTCCCCGCTCTGTCTCGGGGGAGTCCTCTCACCCCCCACACCTCTGGCTGCACCCCGGCTCTTGTGCGCATACATAAATCTTTAAAAACAAACAAACAAAAAAGAACTCCTCAGCGAAACCAGTGAAGCCTAGAATTTTCTTTGTAGGAAGATTTAAAATTAGACTAAATTGACTTAATTGGTACAGGAACTGCTCAGATTTTCTCTTCTTCCGGCACCAGCTTTGGTAAATTGCTTTTCGTCACTGTTCCAACTCGCTGCCACGAAGCGGGTCCCACTTGCTTTCCCCTGGCGTCCCTCACGTCTGGGCTGGCGCTCTTCTTCACTCCTGATGTTGGAATTTGTTTCCTTTTTCTCCTCACTCGATATTTCCAGGGGGTTATCAAATCTATTAATCTCTTTAAAGACCCAACTTTCAGGGCCTCCCCGGGGGCGCAGCGGCTGAGCGCTGGGAGGCGAAGCTGCCCGTAGCTTCTGCGGCGCCGGTTCGATCCCCGGCTGCTCCCCGGCCACCGGAGGAGGGTCCCGCATGGCGCGCAGACCTCTCCTGCCGCCCGCGGCTCCCCTCAGCAGTGTCCTTCGGTCCTTCTGCCTGCTCTGCCCCCCGCTCTGGCTCTGGGGGATCCTCTCACCTCCCGCGCTCCTGAGGGTGCCCAGGGCTCGTATAAACGCATAAATTATAAAAAGATAACTGAATGTTTAAGACAAACCACAAAAGCGGCGTCAGACGGGCCGGCGCGGCGAGGAGCCCCCCGAGGCAGGCGGCGCGGGACCCAGGCGGCTCCCCAGGGCCCCGGGGGCCTCCCCAAGCCGGGCGCCGGCCGCGGCCCCGCCCCCGGGGCTGCCGCTCCATAGAAGGCGAAGCCCAGCCTCGGCCTGGCCGGCGGGAGCCGCCCGCGCGCCCGCGCCCCGGGCGAGGACGGGGACGGGGACGGGGACGGGCGGCGCCGGGCGGGGACGGGGACGGGGACGGGGACGGGGACGGGCGGCGCCGGGCGGGGACGGGGACGGGGACGGGGACGGGGACGGGGACGGGACGGGCGGCGCCGGGCGGGGACGGGGACGGGGACGGGGACGGGGACGGGCGGCGCCGGGCGGGGACGGGGACGGGGACGGGGACGGGGACGGGCGGGGACGGGGACGGGGACGGGGACGGGGACGGGCGGCGCCGGGCGGGGCGCGCCCCGCGGGCCTGAACGGCCGGACCGCGGCGGGCGGGGCCGGCGGCGCGCGGGGGCGAGGCCGGGGCTGGGCCGCCCGCCCCGCCCCGCCCCGCCCCGGCCCGCCCCGGCCCGCCCCGCCCCGCCCGGCCCGGCCATGCGGCGGGAGAGGTGAGCGCGGCGGCGCCCGCGGAGGCCGCGCCGGGGGCCGCGGGGCGGGGCGGGGCGGGGCGGCGCGGGCTTCCCCGCGGGGCTGCTCCTCCGCGCCCGCCCGGCCCCCGCGACCCGGCGGCGCGCCCGGGAGGGGCGGGGCGGGGCGGGGCGGGCGGGCGGCCCGAGCGGACGCCGCCCCCCGCGCCGGCCGCGGCCGAGCCGGGTGTCCCGCGGCGCGCCATGGAGGTGCTGCGGCGCTCGTCGGTGCTGGCCGCGGAGCTCCGGGACGCCCTGGAGCGCGCGCCCGCGGACAAGGAGCTGGTGGCGCAGGCCAAGGCGCTGGGCCGCGAGTTCGTGCACGCGCGGCTGCTGCGCGCCGGCCTCGCCTGGAGCGCGCCCGAGCGCCCCGCGCCCGCGCCCGGGGCCCGCCTGGCCGAGGTGTGCGCCGTGCTGCTGCGCCTGGGTGAGTGCCGGCCCGGCCCGGCCCGGCCCGGCCCGGCCCGGCCCGCGGCGGCGGCGGGGGTCCTCGGGCCCGAGCGGCGCCCCCCGCGCCGGGCGCGTCTCCCCCTCTGCGGGGCCGGCGCCCCGGACCCTGCCCCCGCGCCCTGGCTGGGGACCCCGGCCCCCGCGCCCCCCGCGCCCCCCGCCCCGTGCGCCTGCCGGGAAGAGCCCGGGCCGGCCGCGCTTCCCCGCTGACCCTGCCGGGCCGCGCCGCGCGCTTCGATGTTTGTTTTGGAAAATAGGTCCTCGGGCCGCCGGCCGTGCCCCCTCATTCCGAGGCCTCCCCGGGCGCCCCAAATCAAGACGGCCTCGGGGGTGGGTGGCCCCGGGCCCACCCCGGAGCGGGGCATGGGGGGTGCCCAGGGGCACGCGTTTCGGGGGCCACGCCAGCCCAGCTCCACTCTCCAAAGTCCGGCCCCGCAGACGGGTCCCCAGCAGACCGGGCCTCCGGACCCCGGGACCCAGCCTGAAACGTCCTGGGTGCAGAGATGGGCCGCGAGGGCGGCCGCAGGGTGGAGGTGGCTCTCCCGGCAGCGTGGAGGGGGGCTGGCCAGCTTCTGAGGTGGAGGGGTACCCCGGGGCCCCGTGTCGGGCGTGTCTGGCGTAGACCTGCCTGCCTGCGGCGGGTGGGGCAGCCGGGACTCCTCGGGGCCAGCCTGGAGGGCTGCTGGGGAGCTAGTGCCCCGTGAACCTCCCGGTGGACAGCAAGTCTGGGGTGCCCCCTGGGCTCTGCGGACCTGGCCAGGGTGCACGGTCCCCTCCACCCCCCTCTGCCCTCTTCCCGCCAGGGCCCAGCCCTCAAGGCCCCTCTCCGCCAACCGGCTTGCCGCCCTGTCCACTCTGGCCCAGCCCCTGCTGTAGGGCTAGCTGCCCCCTCCCGCCCCCAGCCGTCTGGTGTGGTCTCCCGGCCCCTGGCCCCCCCCAGCTCAGATGCCCAGCGTCACAGATAGTGCTGAACAGGAAGAGGCCCCGGCTGCCCCCCAGGGACCGGTCAGGGCCAGCCCCCGCCGCCCCGGTCTGTGTGTGGGAACAGCCCGGCGGCCCTGGGAACCTGCTGCCTCCTCTGGCCTTCAGCTCTGGCCGCGGACCTTGGTTCACTGGACGGATGCAGCTGGCCCCGCAGCACATGGCCCACCAGCCAGGGCAGGCGTGCGGCCAGCGTTCCTCTGCTGGCTTTGGCTGCAGGAGTGGTCGGGCTGGAGACACGGCCAGGCTGAGCGGTTCCCACGTCCCCGGGGCTGGGGCCGCGCCGCTGCCCCATGGGGAGCATGTCCACCGTGGCTGGTCCAGACACATCCGCTTGGCCCCACAGCGTGTTGGAGGCAGAAGGTGCTGGGCGCCCAGGCAGTGGCCCGGCCTCTTGGTTCACTGAGGCAGCTCCGGGGCTGCCCCCCTTGCAGCCCATCCCCACAGGCCCTGGCTGCCAGCCCCACAGCACGCGCCTCCCGCGGTGTGGCTGTGAGTCACCCGGCAGGCAGGGCCACGCCTGGATTCCCACCCCACCGGCCCAGCCGGCTTGGGGTGAGGCCTCGGAGGTGGGTCTGGGAGTGCTCAGGGCACCTCTCCGGTCTCCTTGTCCCCAGGGACCGAAGTGGGGGGTCTGGTGGGGGTGGGGTCTCAGCCAGAGGTGGCGGGGGCTATGTGCAGTGGGCGAGGCGGCTGTTGCCGGCGCTGACCAGTGTGGCCGCTCAGGGGACGAGCTGGAGCGGATCCGGCCCGGCGTCTACCGCAACGTGGCGCGCCAGCTGAGCCTGTCCCTGCAGTCCGAGACCGTGGTGACCGACGCCTTCCTGGCCGTGGCTGCCCACATCTTCTCTGCAGGTAGGTCCATACCCGGCGGCCACGGCTGCAGCGCAGGCGTGTGGGTCAGGCTGCGACCCTGCCCCGTGTGGCCCGCTCACTGGACCACCCAGGGAGCCCCGCAGGGTGCCCCCTGTCTGGGCACCAGTCCAGCCCTAGGGGTGGGGAGTGCGGGCGCCCAGTTCAGGGGCTGGTGCCGGCGGAGTGGGGGTGCGGGGGGCCAGGTGGTAGGCGTGGCCGGGCCTTCTGGAATGGTCTGCTGTGGGAGCAGGGCCCCTGCGCTGTGAGGCGAGGGGGCCTGAAGTCTGCCCTGGCGGGCACGTGGCCTCTGCTTGGGCCAGGCAGGGCTGCCTGGGCTGGCGCAGCCGCTCCCGGCCGGGACCTCAGACTGCTCCTGGCCTCCGGCCCTGCGCATCGCACCCTCTCAGCCCGGAGGGCCTGATGCAGCGGGCCTCCCTCGGTCGCGCCAGTGTGGCAGGGACGCAGGACACAGGACGGCTGGCTGCGGGAAGTGCCCCTCCGGGGCCACCCCCGGGTTAACACCGACCTCCCGGGCAGAAGTTGCCAGAGCCAGGACCTCCTGTGGGGGGTCCAGGCGGGTGGGTAGGTGCCTCCAGAATCCTGCGGCCTGACCTGGTCCTGGGCCCTCAGGGGCAGCCAGCACTGGTGCTGACCGTGGTCTGGGCAGCGGAGGAGCCGCCTGGTCAGCTGATGGGCGGGGTGAGGTACTGCTGCCTGCTGGCCCAGCGTGAGGAGCTGTGGTGTGCACCTGATCGGGAACGCAGGGCAGGGTGCCGAGGGACCAGGACGAGAGGTGGGGGCGTGGCGGGGGTGCCTGGGAGGAGCCGGGCGGGGCCTGCATCCCAGGTACTGCCGGGCTCCTGGGCCCTGCAGTGCGGCGGCGCCTGCCCTGTCTCTGGGCTGGTCTCCGGCCAGCTTTGAAGGGAGGCTGCAGGGCAGGGTGGGCAGCAGGTCCCTGGCCACGGCGGGCGTGCAGGCCGGGGACAGCGCTCCCTGCCCAGACTGGCCAGTTGGGCTCAGGCCCGTGGGCTCCTCAGAAAGGTGCTGGGCGCTGGGGGCAGGGTCTGCGGGGGTGGGTGGGCCAGAGGGTGACCAGGAGCCGGCGCTGGGGGGCGCGCCTTCAGCTTGCGACTCTAAATCTCCCTTTTCCTTTGGACTGGGGGGAGGGTCCGCCCCAGCACCCCGGCAGCCCCGCCCCACCCCCTCCTCTCCGGGTGGAGGCGCAGCGGGTGTTGGGCCGTTGGGCCGGGTGGTCTGGGCCTGGGGACTGGGTGGTGGGTGCGCCTCCGGGCTCCCGCTCCGCAGCCTCCCCCAGCCTGGGCGCTCCCAAGGGCCCCTCGCAGGCCGGGCGAGGTGGGCCGTGGGGGCCGCTGCCCGGAGTTGGCACCCGGCCTGGGCTCGGCTCTGCTGCAGGCTTCTCGTGGGCACCAGCGGTCGTGAACCTCCCTGTGCCCGGGACCCCTCCCCACGCCGGGGGCTGCCTCCGGGCTCGCCTGGAAGGGCCTCGCTCTGCAGCCGCCCCACCCTCGGGGCGCACGGCCCGGCTGCTGCGCCACTGGCTAGGTGGCCGCTGGCCCGGCGCCCGCTGACTGCGCGGCCCCCTCCGCAGGCATCACGTGGGGGAAGGTGGTGTCGCTGTACGCGGTGGCCGCGGGGCTGGCGGTGGACTGCGTGCGCCAGGCCCAGCCCGCCCTGGTCCACGCGCTCGTCGACTGCCTCGGGGAGTTTGTGCGCAAGAGCCTGGCGGCCTGGCTGCGGCGGCGCGGAGGATGGGTGAGCCGGGCGGCGTGGGGCGCGGCGGGTGGGTGAGCCGGGCGGGCGTGGGGCGCGGCGGGTGGGTGAGCCGGGCGGGCGTGGGGCGCGGCGGGTGGGTGAGCCGGGCGGGCGTGGGGCGCGGCGGGTGGGTGAGCCGGGCGGGCGTGGGGCGCGGCGGGTGGGTGAGCCGGGCGGGCGTGGGGCGCGGCGGGTGGGTGAGCGCGGGCGGGGGGTGGGGCGGGGCGGTGATTGGGGCGAGGGTGCGCTCCAGGCGAGGCTCCCCACTCCTGACCCCAGCTCCCTACCTGCAGCCCTCACGCCTGCCGCCCCTGCCCAGGGGCGACCCTGGGGGCCTCTGGGGCATGGGAGGGAGACCCACCGCCTCCGAGCATGCTTGCCCGCCCAGCCCTGCGTGTCCGGAGAGCTGACCCGAGGGGCCCGAATCGCGGTCCCCCTGCACGGCCCTGGGCGCTGCTGCACCGGGCTGGGGTCGGCCCCACCCACGGGAGCGCTGACCTCTGCCCTGTCAACCAAGCGGGTGGTGGGCGCGGAGCTTGGCGGCTGATCCTGGACCCTGCCGTGGCCTCACCTGACCAGGCCGGCGGGGCCGGCGCCCCTCCGGACACCAGAGGCCTCGGTGCCTCCCGCTCTGGAGGCTGGCCGGGGTGGCCTGGGAGGCGCTGGCCGAGGCCAGGCTGCGAGGAAAGACTCCTGTCTTAGCAGGGAGGGCGAGGAGACGGAGAGTGGCCGTTACTCCCACAAGGCTCCTTGGCCCCTGTCCTCGCGGGTCTCGGTGGAGGTGCTCTCCTGGCGCCGCGGGTGTCCCTGGGCTGGGAGCTAGCACAGGGGCCACAGCAGCTTCTCCTTGCCGGGCTGCCCGGCCCTCCAGCTCAGGCCCCACGGGGCCATCGGGCCAGGCTGACCCTCAGCGCCTGGCATTCTGGTGTGGGCACGGGGCTCTCAGCTTGACTGACCAAGCTTCTTCTCTCCCAGACGGATGTCCTCAAGTGTGTGGTCAGCACTGACCCTGGCTTCCGCTCCCATTGGCTGGTGGCCGCCCTCTGCAGCTTTGGCCGCTTCCTGAAGGCCGCCTTCTTCGTGCTGTTGCCAGAAAGATGAGCCTCGGGCTCCAGCAGTGGCCACAGCCCAGCCCCCACCCAGGAGGCCTCTGCAGGGCGAGGGCGGGGCAGACTCCCGCCGTCCCCTCGCCCGACCCCCTCTGGGGCCGAGAGCCTTTGTGGGGCTGGGGCTGCTCACCTGTGCCTGCTCCCACTGTGAGGGGCCTGAGACCCTGTGAGGGCAGCACGAAGCCCCAGGCCGCTTGCTGGGTCCACTCCTGGGCAGCGGCCCGGCTGGCCCTGCGGTTAGAGAGGGGCAGGGTGAGACTCTGGGGTGTGGGTGGAGGGGTGTGCTCACTTCCAATAAAGTGCTGTTGGTGGGGCCACCTGTCTGCTTCCACGTCCTTCCTTGGGGCCCGGGGGGCGGGAGAGCCCAGCGCCAGCTGCGCTCCGCTGGGCCCAGGTGCCAGGACAGCAGCCTACACGCGTCCCCCAGAAGCAGAGCCTGCTGCCCGCCCACGGCCTGTCCCCTGCGGACTCCTGCTGGCCCCAAGGCCCACCGCGTCTCACTCAGGCCGGGGCCCCAGGCAGGCCCTTCTCGGCTGCCGCTGGCCATTCCACCTGGGGTTCCCTTTCTGAAGCCTAGGCCCTTCTGCCTGCTGAGCCCAGGGGCCGCCCAGCAGCTCGGCCCGCCGCCCCAGGGCCATTGCACCCCCCGTCTGCAGGATAAGAGGTGCAAGAAGCCCGAGAAACCCCCGCCGTTCAGACACAGCAGCTGCGGGGCCCTGTGGCCTCACGGCTTCGGGGCCCGAGCCCGCCTCTCCGCTGCTGCATGGTTGGCTACAAGGCACCGGAAGCCTGGATGTGAGCTTCTTGCTGGGGGAGAGGAGCCTTGGTGTGCTCTTTCTGGGCAGTAACTCGCCTCCACAGACAGCCCCAGACCTGGCGTCACCACAGACCCCGTGTAGCCTCCAAACAGGGCCTCGGCCTGGCCCCTGAAGCCCCTTCACAGAGGGCAGCATAGCCCCCATGCCCCCAGGTTGGCAAGAGGCTGCGGGGCCCAGAGGCTCGGCCCAGGGTCTCCCGCGGGAGCTGGTGGTCATGCACCAGCAGAGCCCACGCTGCGGCTCTCGAGCGAGGCCGGGAGGACGTGTGCCGGCCAGGGCCTGGCCCTGGGGACGCCCGCCGGTGGGGACGGCCTGCGCTGACTGGCAGGGGTGCCCAGATCCATCCAGAACAGCATCTTTTCTGTGAAACATGCGTGTCCTGGGGCGGAGCAGATGGTGCCAATGTGAAGTGCCCAGTTTGTGCTTACAGGGGTAAAATCAGAGGATTCAAATGGTCACGTATCGGCCTGAAACATGAGCTGCAAATGGTGCCGGTGGGAGCTTGGTTTCTCTTAAAACATGCCTGTCCCGTGCGAGACCCGGCCAGGGGCACTGGGCACTCGGTGACAACAGGCCCGCTTCTGCCGGGGCTGGCACGGGCTCTGGGGCCAGTGGGGCCATCTGTCCGGTGTATGGGCAGACACCAGCCCTGGGGCAGCCTCAGGAAACGTGTCTCCCACAGACTGGAGGTCCCGCCACCAGGCCAGACGCGAGGCCCACAGGAACTCGGGTGAATCGCAGCCCAGAGGGCGCGGGGTCTCGGCTCTGGCCCCGCCTTCTGGAGGGCACAGGACAGAGCCCTGGGGTCTGGCTGACCCCCGAGAACGCGCTGACCTCAAACAAAAAGCCACCGGCACTTCACTCACGAGGGGGGCTTGTGTGGCTCCACCACTGACGGGCAATACCATCTCCTGGGTAGACGTGGTCAGTCCCTCGCTCTCCCTGGCAGGTGCTGTAGGTGCAAGCGGTCTGTTGGCCGGTCATTGTCCTGTCTGAGGGATGCAGCTCCTGGACACAGAGGCCCTTGGCTGTCAGGAGCGGGCCCACGAGGGGCCTCCAGGTGGCCAGAGCACTGGGGGCTGCGGGTACCTGTCCCCCATGGAACCTGGGGGCTGGGGCTGGCTCTGGCCACTGCGCCCTCTCCTGATGCCTCCTTGCATGGCTTCCAGTTACCCCGAAGTAAATAGGGGTGAGAAAACTAGAATTTGCTTAAAACCCCCCAGTGAAGAGGCGAGACAGCTGCTGGGCGGGGTGCTGGGGGTGGGGGGTGAGCGGAGGTGCGGTGGGAGGCCGAGGGCGTCATGTGCACTCGCCCGACGGACAAGCAGAGGCGTGAGTGCCATGGAAGCTTGCACCGTCGGATGCCAAGGGGGCCACGGGCCTCTGAGGAGCACGTCCCAGGCCCGCGGCCGCTGGGCCTGGCTGGCGGGAGGTTTGGACGGCAGACGCGTGGGAGAGCGGCCTTCCCGGCAGCACGGGACGGCGAGGCCACGGGCCCCACGGCACCAGCTGTACAGGGGAACATTCAAAATGCTCAGGATAAAAATAAAGACCTTTTATTTGGTTTTTCTACGCCGTGACAGGGTCACTGGCGACACTGGGGCCCCCTGAGGCCCGCGTGCACCCACACTGGCCGGACCCCACGGAGGCCAGGCCCGCCTGGTCACAGGGCCACCTTCCTGTAGGTGATGTGAAGATGCTGAGTCATGGGCTGGGTAGTGGTTGCCATGGAGACGGTCTGTTCAAGTTTGCCTTCAGAATTCAGCCTGAATTTTCGGGTAATCTGGGCAGAACCAAAAAACACAAAACAACTCGGTTGATCTTCCAAAGATTCGGCAAACACCCCGGGACCCGGCAGCCGGCGCAGCCCCTCGGCCAGGGCTGTTCTGTGCTGGCTTCAGGCGCCAAGGCCTTCTGCTGGGGCCGTTCGGACAAGCCAACCCGCGCTCCTGTGGCCCTCGCACGCCACACCGTAAACCATGGCTCCAAGGCCTCGGCAGAGCCCCGGCCGTAGCTGCTCCCAGTGCACAGACCTGGGCCTGGGCGCCGTGAGGAGACCCGCCTGGAAGGTCTGGGACGGGCTCCGAGGGCTGGCGCTGTGCTGGGAGCCCTGCCGTGCCCCGGCCGCCTCTGGCACGGAGGGCCTGGAAAGGACACCTTCAAATGTTCTATTTAAAGACTTCAGAGGAGCAGCAAGGCCAGGAGGACAAGGCTCTGGGGATGGGAGTCAAGGCGGCTACAGTTTGGGGCCAGCCCTGAGGCCTGGGGGCCGCCCTGGAGGGAAGGTGAGCCCGGAGGGCCCGGGAGTCCAGTCTCCAGACAGCCCCAGCGCATAGCCCTACCTATCCAGGGGCAACAGGCCACCGAGGGAAGCACCTACAGCCAGAGAAGACCAGAGGGGCAGTTGAGGGGGGACACACTGCGGGGCACGGCCAACCCTGCCGTCAGCAGAGCATCAGATTCCATCGAAAGAGAAGAAAATGGAAATTTCCCAACAAAATAGAAGTTAAGACCCTAAGAATGGAGCCAGCAGAGGAGACCCAGTGGGAGGCGACGGGCCAACAACAGTGGCCCCTGAAGCCAGCAGAGTGCACCACGTGACAGGACGCCAGGGGCACCAACCCTGGCTGAGTGGACAGGAGGACCCACATGGCCTGCGAGCCCTGCCTGCGATGACACAGCCTGCTGACCCGTGGGGGCCCCGCCCCACTGACCCCCACTGACCCGCAGCGTGGCCCAGGCACAGGGCAGGTTGGCAGCACCAGGCAACTCCCCTCACTGCATGTCCCAAAGGAGCAGCTGCCCGGGAGCCCACCCGGCCGGGGCCGGCGACCAGCCAGTGAGGCAGGAAAACTCTGCTGAAGAAAGCAAAGGAGGTGCAAGAGCCCGAAGGGACCTGGGCTCCCACGAGCACCGGGCCGGTGGGGTGCCCTGCAGGCCACGTGCCGCCCACGGAGGGCCAGAGCCGGGCGCACCTGCGGAGAGGACCCGGATCTTTCAAGAGCTGGTCCAGGAGCCCGGCCGGCCACAGGGAGGCCCCTCGCCTGGAGCCTCCTGACCCCACCCCCCCACGCCGCCTCCAGCCCCACCACCAGATCCAAGCAGGGAGCCCCAGGCCAGCTCCCGCAAGAAAGAGACCCCAGAACAGGACCCCGAGGCGGTGCCCGCGGCAGACGGTGCCCGCGGCAGGCGGAAATGCGAAGGTGCAAAGGAAGCCTCCCTGGGGGCCTCCCCGGGACCCCGCGACGACACCCCTCTGTGGCCGCACCCCAGAAGGGTCCAGCCACGAGGGGTGACTCGAGACTCCAGCAGGCAGAGGGGCAACAAGCTCCCCCACGTCCAGGTGGGACACAGCCGCCTGGGGCCAGCGCCCAGTGCTGAGGGGAAGCGGTGACAGGACATGGGTGCACAGGGCGGGCGGGATGGCCTCGGCAGGACACCCGCCCACTCGTGGCCAGCGCTGGAGGGGCCCCATCTGGACCCACTCCTGGCGGGGAAGGGCAGGGCGGGCGCGGGGGTGGGGGGTGCGTGGAGGGGCTCCACCAGTGGGTGTGACCTTGTGAGCAGGGCAACACCCACCACCAGTGGCTGGGCCAGGCGCTGCACGCGGCCCCGGCTCGGGCTCGGGAAGGACACTGGTGGGTGGGCGGCGCGGGGACAGCTCACCTGCTCCACATGGGGCTCCTTGGCAAAGGAGATCCTGGCCACGGAGTGGGACACCACGCTCAGCTCCTGCCCGTTCACCTCGCCTTCCTCCACCTCCACGATGCCTGCAGGTGGGGGTCACACATGGCCTGCGCCCACCACGCCCGGTGCCTGCCCGCCCCGCCCCCAGGGTCCTGTGGCAGGGGCCTGGCAGGTGCCCTGCCCCACGGCCGGGGTGCGTACCTGTGTTCTGGGCGCTGACAAAGGCCACCCTGTTGGTATCAGGCTCGGGCCGGATGAAGCCGCACTCGCGGTGCAGGGGCGTGCGGGTGTCAGGGTGGAAAGCATTGAACCTGCGGGAGGACAGGAGCTGGGCCCAGGCGGCCACCGGCCCTCGCTCGCTGCCCCCCACCCCCGCAGGACCATCTGGGGCTTGAGCGCTGGCAGAACCCCTCCCCCCAAAAGCAGCAGGGACGGAGCTCAACTCTTTAGGCGTTTATTCATTGGTTAAGCTTTCAACATGTGTCTTCTGTAACTAAGAATAAAAGTATCCCTGGCCCTCCCCCGGTCCCCAGCACACCTGTCTCGCTGCCGTGTGTGGGGGGCTGTCGTGGGGGGTGAAGGTACGTGTGAGGGGACTGTGCAGCTGGGGGCCTTCAGGCCTTGCTCTGCTGGAGGTGCGCCCACTGGGAAGCCTCGCCCCTCATCTTTGGGAGCACTGGGGTGACACCTCGTCCTGACACCCTGAAGGGCGGGACTGGGTGGGACTCACGAGAAGTTCAGCATGGGCTGGCCCACGTGCGAGATGTGCGCCTCCTCCAGGTAGCGGAAGGGCTGCAGCGTGGGGAAGGTGCCGGCGCCTGGCGGGTCCGACAGCCAGGTGCCCAGCATCCAGGACAGCGGCTCCACCACTGGGCTCATCTTGGGGGGCTCTGTGGGCACAGGGGAGAGTCAGCGTCTGCCCCCCCGACGTGTGCGGGGCTCGCCACCGCCAGCTCCCGGCAAGGGGACCAGCAGCTGCGGGAGCCCCATGTGCCGGCCGTCCAGGTGTGGGCGCAGCTGGTGGCGGGCAGAGCAGGGCCAAGCCTGGAGCTGGGGTGGGGGTGGGTGGGGCTGATGGGCGGGGCCTGCGGCCACCATGGGCGTGGGCGCCATCTAGTGTCGGTGACATGACTCGCACTGCAGGGGCCGTCCGGCTATAGTCCAGGGTGCCCTCTGCCGTGGTCAAGGTCCCTCCCCGGGCACTGCCCTCTGGGATCCTGGAACTGGGAAGGTGCGGCCCCTGCCGCCTCCACCCTGTGCGGAAGAGCCGGTCCTCCCACTTCAGGCCCCATGGCTGCCTGCCCCTGGCAGGACCTACACCTACGCGGCCCACTGGCGCCTAAGCCAGGCTTTCCTGAGGTGGCTCCTGAAGACGGAACCCCCGAAGGAAGGCAGAGCTGGGGCCCCAGCAGCCCCACACTCCAGCGCCGGCCTGTAGCCTCTGTGGGTGAGCTGGTGAGCTCCGAGGGCACCGACCCCAGGCGCACCGGCCTCTCCCGCGTGGGTGCTGGGTCCCTGGCCTGTCCCCCAGGGGTCCTATTGCCCTGGTGGGCCCCTCTCACCCAGAGACCACAGCGCCCTTCCCTCTCTGCCCTCCTGGGGCAAGGCTGCCCTGGGAGTGCCCGGAGTCAGCGAGGGCGGGGGAGGAAGCTGCAGTGAGGATAGCAGCGGGCCCCCCACCCTCTAGGAGCGAGGGCCCTGGTGCTCCCCCCAACACTATGGCCAGGTGGGCCTGCAGGTGTGTCCAGACCCCCCACGCTGGCCCCAGGCGCATGGCCTGGCTGCCTGGACCACACTTCACTGGGGAAATTCAAGCAAAACAAGGTCCCAGTCGGGCCTCCCTGGTGGCGCAAGGGGTTGAGCGCCGCACTATGAAGCATCCGCAGCCTCTGCAGCACGAGTTCCATCCCTGGCCTGCCAGGGAGCAACCCCATGGCACAGCAGACCCCTCCTGTCTCCCCGCTGCTCCCCTCAGCAGTGTGTTTCGGTAGCTCCGCCTGCTCTGTTCTCTGCTCTGTCTCTGGGGAGTCCTCTTACCCCCCAGCCTCGCGCCTCTGGCCGGTGCCCCAGCTCTTGTGTGCATAAATTTAAAAAACCTTAAAAAAAAAAAAAACCACAAACAACAGAAAACAAAGTCCCAAGTCAATAGGCCACTGCCGCCTCCCGCGGGCCAGCCGTCCAGCTTCCCTCCTGACCTCACTTTCTTTTGTTAAGGTCTCGCCAAAATGCCAACACAAAATGTTAAAATTTCCTCCAAGAAATCCCAGTGGTCACTTTCCGGCCCCGACAGCCAGGCTTACCCATCCCCGAGGCTCCGAGCTGCGAGGGGCTCGGCGTCCAGGCGCCTCAGGCTGGTCTCTGCCCCGCGGAAGTCGGCACCTGGCCCAGCTGGCAGGAGGCGGGGCGAGGCGCTGCACCCTGGCCCGAGTCCCCAGGCTTCCCAGGAGGGGGCAGGCCCTGCCTGGAGCCCCAGCGGGGTGCGGCAGGCGCAGAGCCAGCTTGGGGCAGTGGCACAGGACAAAGGCTGTTTCCTCCCGGCACGGTCGCTCTAGACCCCGTCTCGATCTCCAGGCCCATGTGCCGATAACAGGAAGGGAGGAGCACCCTCGTGAGACTGGGGACCACCCCTTCCTGGAACACCCCCCACGGTGCCCGCCCCAGTGGGGGGGCGCTCCTGTGCTGGCAGGGGACCCCTTCCCACCGGGAAGCTGCTCTTTCAAAGCGGCAGCCAGGCCCTGGCCATGTGGCCCGGGGGGCGGGCGCTGAGGGAACGCGGGGGCCCGGAGGCCAGCCCGGGGCTCAGGACAGCCGCACCGAGGGGCGAAGGGCAGGGGCTTCTGGCCCGTCTCGGAGGTGACGGGGGTCTGACCCGGCCTTTCAGCAGGAAAACACTGAATGAGCTTGAAGTTGGGGACGCTCCCCGTTAGAGAGAGAGGGCACCCCGGGCCCTGAGGCTGCTGTGAGCCCAAGGGGTGCTCACCCAGGACCGGGCCAGCTGGGTGCCCCTGGACACGGTGACCAGTGGGGCTCGGGCAACCTGGCAGGAATGGGGCAGCCGCGCAGACGCCATGAGGGTGTTTCTGGGGCTGCAGTCAAAGGGGGCCCCACCTGCTGGTCTCACCTCCGGGGCTGCACACCAGGAGCTCCACAAAGAGCCAAGAACACCTGTCTTGGCAGCACAGGGCATGGGGGAGGCACCCCCGAACCCGGCCCAGGCCCTCCAGCCTGGCCTCACAGGAGGGGACACAGCCCAAGCCCTAGGCCACTAGCAGGCTGAGACTTCACCCTGGACCCCAGGCCCAGACGGCCCCGGGAGGGTGCTGGGGCAGGAGGGCGCACCCCTGGGCTGGAGCCGCCAGCATCAACCCGATCCTCAGGTTGGAGGCCCCAACTGGTTCCTGTCACCTGACACCTCACGCGCCCTTGCACGAGCTGGCGGTGGCGCTGGGGCTCGGGCATGAAGGGGAACCACGGCCCCGTGGCGAAGGCCCGGGCTCGCTCCTGGCTGGGCACCGCAGGGCTGCAGACAGTCTCGAGGGGACAGACCCGGTGCTGCGGGCGCTTTAGCAGGCACCTCCAGGGGAGATGCGAAGAGAAGCGGGAGCAGGAAACCAGCGGGTCAGGCATGGTGGGCAAGGGGGGCGCTCGGAGAACACCCGGCGGGACAAAGCGCTGGGTCTTCACCTAACTTAACAGGGGGACCCCGGGAAAAGGGGAGGCGCTGGGCTCCCTGCGCCATCCAAGGGAGGGCGGAGTGAACAGGGAGGAGGAGCTGGAGAAGAGACAGGGAGGAGGGAGGGTGGGGAGAGGGAGGAGCCTGGAGGAGGGAGCAGAGACCGGGAAGACGCCGCGTGGCTTCTGGGTCCTGGACAGGCTGGAGCAGACGAGGGGAGCCCCGCAGGGGCAGCGCCGACCTCGGCTTTGGTCTTTTCCTCCGGGAGCTGCCTGGCTTCTACCCTTTCCCACGGCCGCTCCGGGGCAGGCCCCCGGGCCCCAGAGGCCCCGCTTCGGGCCACCCCCGTTTGACCGGACATTTACCCACGAGGGGAAGGGCGACTGCGGAGACTGGATCTGGAAACCACGGCGTCTCGCTGCTGCCCACGCGTCGTGTTAAAGGTCTTTGGCGCTGAAGGGCTGACGCGGTGGGGGCAGGACCTATTGAAAGCGGCAGGGCAGGGGCCTCTGGGGTGCCCTCACCCTGCCCTGCAACAATATCATGACGTTGGAATCCAAAACCGGGGACCAGGACAGGAGGGGCAACGATGACGACGGGGTTCTGGCCAGAGGACAAGCAAGACAGGGAAGAGAATTTCTTGTCCAGTGAAATGACCCCCCAACAGTCAGGAAATAAGAACCGTTCAGACAGAAGTGGGGGCTCTGCTGACAGGAGTGCCGGCCAGAAAGGCTCCAGGGAGGAAGCAGGGCGTGCGGGCCAGCGACCCCACTGCTGCTTTCAGGGAGCACGCAAGGGACAGACAGAGCCCCCCACTCTGATGGTCTAATAAGAAGCGCCCATTTGACGAGGAAGGAGAGAAAAGGAAGTTGAATAAAGGGCTCCACTAAAACCAAGAAGGCAGGAAAAGAAGAACGGGCCTCCTTGGGCTCTCAGGCTGTCACCACTGTGGCCTGAGTCCATCCCTGGGTGGTCAGGGAGCGACCCACAGGTGCAGCAGCCCTCTCCTGTCTCCCGCTGCTCCCCTCAGCAGTGGATTTCAGGGGATCCGCCTGTTCTGCTCCCCGCTCTGTCTCTGGGGAGTCCTCTCACCCCCCACCTCTGGCCTGCACCCCACTTCTTGTAGCATAAATAAACCTTTAAAAATATAAAAAAGAAGCAAACGAAAGGGCAGACCAGGCAGGCCCACGGGAGGCAGCTCCTGCGCTGGGCGGGAAGGAAGGAAACTGGAGCCCCAGAGGGGCGAGAGGGAGTGCTGGCCGCGAGAGGGAGTGCTGGCCACGCCCCAGCGCCCAGGACACTGAGCAGCAGGTGGAGGGTCAAGGACAGAAGGCTCAGCCCTTGGGGGAGGGAGGCGCCCTGGGGACAGGTGGGCGAGTGACTTTCCCAGCAGGGATGGGTCCAGATCTGCGAGAGCTGAAGTCTGCGTCCAGACGCGGCCAGGAGGCTCAATTTTTGTCATGAGCGTTTTGACTCCAAGTGAGATGGAGCCACAAAGCCCCAAGGCCCCTCGGAAAGCAAAGGGCCCCCAGGGTAATGGGCTGCGGGGACGCTGCACGGCCCTACATGGCCTTGCTCCTGAGCGGCAAGAGCCGGCCCTAGAGCGGGGCCTTGGGGGTACCCGAGGAAGGCATGGGGGAGACAGCAAGCGGGGGAGGCCCTCTGCCTCCCCTTCTACTCCCCAGGACCTCTGAGCCCTCACTCCTCTGTGGGCCACAGCAGCCAGGGCCCGGCCTGCCCCTTGCGCGGGCCCTCCTCCCCGCCCGGCCCCCAGCCCGCAGTCTCCACCTCACAAGCAAAGCTCTCCCTTGCCCTGGGGCCCGTGCCCCTCACCTGTCTTGCAGCTGGGCCCCTCCTCTGCCCGGGCCTGCCCAGAGCTTGCTGGCCACCACCCAAGGAGCCTGTGGGCACCAGTGACCCCATGCGGCCGGGTCCAGCTGCCTTTTCTCCTTCTGATCACAGATGAACCCCTCGCAGTGAGCACCCACTTCCTGCATTTCCATCCTGGCTTCTGCGACTGGCGCCCTGCACCCTCTCCTCAGACTCTCTCCCAGGGCTCCCCCAGCCCCCGGCTTCCAGGCGACTCACCGCAGCTGTGGCCAAAAGCACCCTGGACACACGCACCTGCTTCCAGGGCTGGGTGCTGGCTCCCACCACCAGCACCTGAGGAGCCCCTCAAACTCACTCCCTCTCAAAACTTACTGCCGCGTGAATTCCAGAAAAGCCACTACATGTTTTCGAAAAGGAGGAAAAACTTGAATTCAGTCAATAAGGATGAATAAAGTCCCCAGGCCTCCCTGTGGCACAGGGGTTCAAGTCTCAGTGCTATCAAGCTATTCCCAGCCACTGCGGCCTGAGTCCATCCCAGGCCAGGGAGCTACCCCCAGGGCACAGCAGACTCTCCTGTCTGCCCGCTGCTCCCCTCAGCAGTGGGTTTCAGTGGATCTGCCTGTTCTGCCCGCTGTTTCTGGGGAGTCCTCTTACCCCCCCACCTCTGGTCTGCACCCCATCTCTTATAGCATAAATAAGTAAATAAAACACAACCTAAAAAAAAAAAAAAGTCGGGGCCCTCCTGCGCATCTGGCTTGTACCCCGGTTCTTGCATAAATAAAATAAATCTTAAAAGCAAAACAAAGTTCCCGAGGGAACAGCCCTTCGTGTGCTGCGGCGCCCAGGGGAACGGGCTGGGTGGGCGCACGTGGACAGACTCCAAGGTTGTCTTTAAAAGCAGAACGACGCCGGGACAGCAGGAAGCAAGCAAGCAGGGTGCGAGACGAGCGCCGGCCCAGGCTCTGCCGCAGTCCCGCTGTGCACCAGCCATGCGGCTCCGCGAGGACCGAGGCCTCGAGCTGGCTAAGACACGGCCACAAAGTCAGGCATGCAGGAAGGTGGCTTAAAGGACAGTGACAGAGAAGACTTCAAATGGAACAGAAGAGCCTTCTGTGCCCACGAGAGGACCCTCCATCTAACGTGGCCCAAACAGACTGGCCGCAGGGCCACAGGAAAGGAAGACCTCTCGGGCCTTGCGTCTGAGCTGCGCCCAGGAAAGCTCCGCTGCGGGGGGTCACTTGAGGGAGAAGCCCAGTGCTCACAGCTCCCCTGAGCTGGCCAGGTCACAGCTCCTGCCCCACAGACTTGCCCACAGACCACAACCGCCAAGAGGTCGGGGTGGGCCCAGCGCGCCCCCGGTGGGAGCTATCAGCCCCTTGGCGGGCGGCTGCAGAGGCGGCAGCTGAAAGGCGGCCTTGGGACAACGCAGGAGGCGCGGACACTTCTCAGTGGAGCTGCAGGTCTGGGGCTGGGCGCCGAGTCTGACCAGAGGAGCAGGAAGGGCAGGAGGCATTGGCTGCCGTGAGCGGGGGCTGGGACCCCGCACCAGCCTGACAGCTCTCAGGGGTGGGTGCGAGAGGGGCCGCTGGGGTGGGCGAGTCCCGCGCAGCTGGCCACCGGTACCTCTCCTGCCCAGGTCACCCATGGCCATGGACGACACGGAAGCAAAGCAGAAAGCCCCGACAGGCGAGACACAGCCGGCCTGTGCCAGCGCAAGCTGCGGCCCAATGGCAGGGTATGGGCCGACAGCTGCAGACGCGAGTCGGCGTTCTCCACGCGTCTCTCCTTACGTTTCTGTGGTCTTAGTTCCCAAAGCGGATGCCGCCTACTTGAGCAGGCGTCTCACGCTACGGAGGAGTTGTCGCTAACGTTTGTGGTGCCTCAGCAGCAAGGAAGGCGGCGGGCACAGAACTACCCCGGGCCTGACACACCTGAGTCTCTTCTGGGTGCCTTAGGGCCTAACCTGCCAGGGCCGCGGCAGCTGGCGCGCCCCGCGCAGTGGGCCCACAGCCGGGTGCCCGCGCCCCACAGCTCCACCGTGCCAGCTCCCGGCACCCTCTTCTCACCAGTCGCTGCAGCGCCCACCCCCACCCTGCCCTGCCCGGCGCCGGCTCCCTGCCAGCCAGAACGGCTGCTCTCAGAGGCCGCCCCAGCCTGCAAGGAGTGGTCGCTGAGGGACGTGCCCAGGCACCGGCCGCAGGCACAATCCGGGGTACTGACCTCGGCTGGGGGGCAGCAGGCCGCTCAGGAAGGGCTCGCTCACCCGCCGCAGCGCGTCCAGCTTCTCCTGCAGCCGGCGCACCTGGCTGTCGGAGCGGCTGACCCGCTGGCGCAGACTCTTGAGCTCGCCGTTCTTCTTCTCCACCTGCTCCCGCAGGCAGCACACCTGGCTCTTGTTCTGCCGGGAGGAGAAGCAGTAGGAGTGCAGGGAGTCGATGAGCCGGCAGGCCCCCGACGCCGACAGGATGACCTCGTTGATGGACATGGGGCTGGCGTCGCTGTGCTCGCTCTGCACGGCTTCTGAGGCCGGCTTCGGGGTGACATCGGTGGGGGGCGCCGAGGGGCTCTGGGAGGGCTTCTGCGGCGTCGCCGTGAGGGACGGACTAGGGGGATTCTGAGCCAAGCCCTTGTCCGGCCCTGGGCGGGTCCCACTGCAGCCGGGCTCCACGTCTCTCTTCAGCCTTTTTCGGTCGACGGGCTCCCGGGGGACAGAGGGCCTCTCTCGGGTGTGCTTGGAGGAGAAACTGTAGGAATGGAGCGAGCCAATGAATTTGCAGGCCCCTGATCCTGGGGGGCTAAAGTCATCCATGGAGATGCCACTTCTGTCGACCAGTCCCCCGGCAGGGGCGGGGGCGGTCTCCTCACCAGCAGCCGCCCCTGTGTCGACCTGGCCGCCCGGCTCGGGGCCGGCTCCTTCTCCCGAGGCTCCTTCCACAGGCGGCTGCACCAGCTCCCGGCCTGCAGCCTCTGGGGAGGCCCTGGGGGCCGTCTCCCGCTTTGGGGGGGCTCGCTTCCCCTTGCGGGGCTCTGGCTTGGCCATCAGGCTCTCACTTGAGGTCGATGCCGACGGCCCCGCAGCTCCCTTCACATCTGCTTCGCTCACCCGGCCCCTCGGGGCCCCCGAGGCCTTCCTGTTGTCCCTTCTCCTGGGGCGCCCATGGCCTCCTGCCCCCCTCTTCTTCTCAGCCAGGTGGAAGATGGAGGGCACGGCCGTGGGCTTGAGCAGGCGGTGCTGGTCCTCCAGCCTTTTGGAGAAGCTGTCTTTGGTGAAGTGCTCGCTGCACAGAAAGGAGTACTTGGTGGGGGTCCAGTTGTCCCTCTGAACCGCTTTTAGCCACTGGATCAGACGCTTCGAGTCCTTGAGGGGGAACCTGCAGGACCAAATACAAAGTAATTATAAAGAAATCACCGAGTGTCCCCCCAAAACTGTTAACCGCAAAACCAAAACAAGTGTTTCTGCAAACTCGCGGCCTGGGGGGTTCCCGCTCCGTGGCAGGGTGGCAGGGGCAATGCTCCCGGGCAGCACAGAGGGCGGCAGGGAGCCCCCCGCTGACCCACCCTCCCGGGGCGCTGGACGGAACCGGGCTGGCCAGCCCACGACTCGAGAGGCCGGCCCAGGCTTCAGCCTCGGAGGAGGGGCTGGGCTCGCTCCCCCAGGGGCACAACAAGGAGCCCGCGGAGGCACCCACGGACGGACGGACTCACCCCTCAGGCCCTCCGCGGGCGGGGGCGTGGCCAGCCTGGAGGGCCGCCCGCGCCGCCGCGGCCTCCCGCCACCTGAGGCCCCTCGCCCGGGCCCAGGTGGACTCGACTCCCCGGGAGGTTCTAGCCGCAGGCCCGGCCCCGTTCCCGAGGCCGGCTCGCGCCCCCGAGGAGCCGGTCCCCCCTCCCGGGCCGGCAGCGCCCCAGGCCGCCGCGGAGCTGTCAGGCGGCCGGCCCGGGGCCCCGACGCGCCCGCGGATGGCGACAGGCCGAGCAGGTCCGGGCGCCGCGGGGCCGCCAGCGCCCGGGGCGGGCGTCCCGGCGGCCGCTCCGGGGAGGCCTCCCGCCCGCGGCCGCCGCTCAATGGGCGCCGCCGGGCTCCGGCCCAGAGACGGCGCGGCCAAGGTCACACAGCGGCGCTGACGCAGCCGCGGCCCGGCCGCCGCCTCAGTTTCCCCGCGGCCGCGCCGGGTCGGGCCGGGCCGGGCCGGGCCGGCGGGGGCGTGGCCGGCGGGCCGCGCGGCCGGCGGCGGGGCGCGGTTACCTGTGGAAGGAGACGGCGCGTTTCTCCCCCTTGCCCTGCCGGTTGGAGCAGTTCGCGGCCGCGCAGCAGATCACCATCTCGGGCCTCGGGTCGCCGCGCCGCGCCGGGCTCCGGCCTCGCCTCGCCGAGCCCCGAGCGGGACCGCCCCGAGGGGAGGCGCGCGGCGACACGGCTGCGGGACGTGGGAGCTGGCCGCCCGCCGTACGGCAAGATGGCGGCGCGCGGCCGGCCGTCCGTCCCGCCCGCCCGGCCCGGCCCGCGACGCGCCCGGGTCCCCGGCCCCGGCGGGGCGCCTTGCGCGGCTCGCGGCGTCGGGAGCGGGCGGCGGCGCCCCCGGTCGGCTGCTGCGGCCGGCGCCATCTCGCGCTCGGCCCGTCCGTACGGCAAGATGGCGGCGCCGGCGGGCCCGAACGCCGGGCGGGTGACGCGCTTGCTCCGGGGCCCCCGCCGTCGGCTCGCGTCGGCTTCCGGCGCCCCGACGGGTCGCGGCGGGGACCCGCGGCGTGAACGGCGCCGGCCGCCGAGGTGCCCAGCGGGCGGGCCCGACCCTCCGCGCGAGGCCTCCGCCGTACGCCAAGATGGCGGCCGCGCCCTTCCGGCCGCGCGCTTCCGCTTCCTCCCCCCTCCGCGGACGGGCCCCAACCCGCGGATTGACCCCGGCGGCGGCCCGTCCCGCGTCGCGCTGCGGCCCCGTCGGAGCGACGCCGCGGCCGCCTCAGTCGGCCGCCCGGGAGGGAAGATGGACGCAGGTGAGGGCCTGCGCGCGGGCGGAGCCCGCTGCTCCTCGGCCGCCCGCGACTCGGCGACGCCCGGCCCGGCGCTCGGCCCGGGCGGGCGGCGCGTCTGGGCGCCCGGGGCTGCCCGCGGCGCCGGCGGCGGCACAGGCCGGGGGGGCGCGGGGGGCGCGGCGGGCGCGGCGGGGGCCGCCCCGACTTAGCGAGGGGCCCCAACTCCGGCAAAGTTCGGCGGGGGCTGAGGCGGCGACGCGGCCGCGCGCCCCGGCTCCGCGCCCCGGCTCTGGGGCCGCACCCGCGGCGGGCTCGGCCCGGGGGCCCTCGAGCTGGCCTCGGCGGCCCGTCCGCCGCGCGCGCCGCCCCCCACAGGCGCCGCCGGAGGCCGCCGCGCTGACCGCGCCCGGCGCGCCTCGGGGCTTTCGCTCGTTGGCTGTTGTTCCACGCGGCCGGCGCTGCGCCGGGCTCCGGGGAGCAGGGCCGCCTCGGCCGGGCTCTCCCGGCGTCGCTGCCCGGGGACGGGGCCTCGCGCGGGAGCCCAGCCGGGGCGCGGGCCGGCGGGGCCCCCTGTGGCCCGGCGAGGACCCTGCTGGGGTCGGGGCCCGGCCCGCCGGCTCGCGCAGGCGGCGGCGCCCGGGGAGAGCCGCTAAGCGCCCGCTGGGGCTTGTAGGGCGTGGCGGGTTTCCCCGCTCGTGCTGCCGCCGCCGCGCATCCTTGTCGCCGGGCCGGGGCGGCGTCCTCGCGGGGCCTGCCCGCCCCGGGGCCGCTCGTGGGCCCTGCTCGTCCCCGCTGAGAACTGGTTCCTCGAGGAGGGCGAGAGTTGTGCCCGGCCCTGTTCTGCGGCTCGTGAGTGAGTGAGCAACGTAGTCAGCACCCACCCGTGGCCCCAAGGGTGGCCCCCGCGGAGAGCGGCGGGGTGGGGGGGGTGTGCAGGCGTAGCCCGGAGGACGAGGAAAGGTCTCACACGGGGGAGCGCTGAGGCGGAGACCCGAAAGCCGGCCGAAGGCTGGTGAGGGCGCGTTTAGCTCGCGCTCCTGCGCTGAGGAGAGTGCGCTGCTGGGAGGCAACAGCGAGACCTGGTGGGGGCCTTTGGGGTGAGCCAGGCCGCGCCTGGGGAAGAGGTGGGGTTCTGGGTGTTTGCATGAGGAGACCGCAGGACTCCAGGCAAACTGGACTAAGTGGGGGTCGGGAGGGGGTGAAAAGGCGAGGGAAAACTTACTTTTGAGGTAGGAGAATTGGGGAGCTGCTGGGGATTTCGTTGGTGGTGTTGAGGAGGCGCCTGTTACACGCCCCCCTTTTATTCCCTGAGAACCTTTGCACAGACCCGCAGCTGCTGGAGAAAGCAGGTGGCCGTGCTGGCCTGAGTGGGGGAGGGAAGCAGGTGGCCGGGGCAGGCCCAGCGCTGTGTGGTGGAGTCAGGAAGGGGCCAGTGTTCTCTCCACAGAGCCCCCAACACAGGCCAGGGGGCGGCACCCCAGTGCAGGGAGCTGGAAGGCGCCGCAGCCCAGCAGCCGCTCTGCCCATCTGTGAGGACGGGCCCTCTTGCACCTTCAGAGCCTCACGTTGCCTCTGGCACGTGGCTGGCATTAGAAGAAGCAGAACTGGAGCTGATAACGGCATGTCCGTGTGCCGTCAGGGCTGCGGCTCGCAGAGCTTGTGGTGAGTGCGAATCCAGTGTCAGTGTGAAGAGTGAGTGGGTGCGAGGGCAGGGGACCTGCTGCCCATGGGCTGCAGAGCACTGTTGTCTGCTTTTGCTGCAGAGGGAGTTTTGGGGTCTCTCTGCCTCTCTCCGTTTGGGATGGAACCACCAGCGTCTTCACGTGTAAACCATTTGGGTACAAACCATCTATTAAGGTTTATTTATCTACATAAGACCTGGGATACAGGCCAGATGTGCAGGAGAGCAAGAGGATTCACTAGAGACAGAGCGGGGAGCAGAACAGGCAGGCGGATGAAGTACACTGCTGAGGGGAGCAGCGGGGAGACAGGAGAGGCCTGCTGCGCCATGTGGGAATCTCCCTGGCCGGCCGGGAATCGAACCCGCGCTGCAGAGGCTGCGGACAGCTTCACAGAACTGCGCTCAACCTCCTGCACCACCAGGGAGGCCCCCCGCTAATTTTAAAAAAGAATTTTCTAAAGGAAGGGCAAGCCTTTTTTTTTTTTTTTAAAAAAAAAAAAAAACGTTTATTTATTTATACCAGCACTGGGTGCAGTCAGAAGCGCGGGAGGGTGAGAGGATTCACCAGAGCGGGGAGCAGAGCAGGCTTCTAGAAGGACCGAAGGACACTGCTGAGGGGAGCAGCGGGCGGCAGGAGAGGTCTGCGCGCCATGCGGGACCCTCACCCGGTGGCCGGGGATCGAACCAGCACTGCAGAGGCTGCGGACAGCTTCGCAACCCAGCGTTCAACCGCTGCGCCACCGGGGAGGCCCTAGGGGCGAGCCTTTTTGATGTATTTTACGGAGAAGCTTTCAGAAAGCGTTTGGGGAAGTGTCTCTGGAACCTCCGCATCGCGTCTAGCTCTGGGAGTGGCCTGTTGGGACGCATGTTTCTCTGGGTGTCCTTGGTGGGTCAGACGCTGTTGGGGCTGGAAGAAGAGCAATCGCTGGTGTCGGTGAGCATCATCTGCCTGTTGACAACCGAAGCGCTGCTTTTCTGCTTTTCTGGTGCCAGCGCTCCTGAAGGGCTTTCTCTTCCTGACTCGGGTGTGACTAGCGAGGTCTCGGGGAAGAAGATGAAGCGGACTCTAGGGGGGCCCAGAGGAGCAGACGGGGTCCCAAAGGGCCCCACAGCAGCACTGCCCCCCACCCCCCGCCCTGGCCTGGAGAAGACCTGGATGCTGCCCCCCGCCCCCCCACCAGGAGAAGAGCATGGCCCGGGCCTGGACGCTGCCCGAGGGCGGCCCCTCTCAGCGCAGGTGGCGCGGGGACCTCAGTAATGTGTCACGTGCGAGGACGAAGTGGCCACGGGCTCTGGGGGCTCCAGCTGTGGTGCTGCTGGCCACTGCGTGGGATGGCAGGTTGCGGGGGACTTCACCTGATCTCACAAATACCGGAGCTGGAGATGACGCCGTGGAGGGAGACGGCACTCCAGGCCCTGTGGGTCACGTGTGTCCCCAGCTTTGCCTGGGCGCTGCCCTTCTGCTGGTGCGGCGGCTGGACCGCAGGCCTGACCTCAACGTGCCAGTGGTCAACAGCTCCATCGCCAGAACAAGCCGAGTTGGAGGTGGTCTCGCAGGGAGGTCAGCATTCCTCAGCTTTTCTCCTTCCTCCCCAAAGAAGTCCAGGAGATCTCGTCTGGGGCTCAGCTTTGCTGGGGGGCAGTGCTCCAGTGGGGGGGTGCCCAGGTGTCAGGAGGCCCTCGGCCCTGTCCCTGCGCAGGAAGGGTGATGTGGAGCCACCCTCTTAAGTGACTAGTCTAGTGTAGACTTTCTGGTGGCTGCCCTGGGGGCCCACCTTGTTCTTCTGGTGGGTCTGGGGTACAGACCCTCGCGCCAGTTCTGCAGGGTGAGAGCTCTGGTGCTGGTGCCGTCAGGTTCCTGTCACGTGGCCTAGCTCCGCCCTCACTTGCTCCCTGAGTGTGGGGCTGGCTCTCTTGCCAGTGGCTCCAAATGCCCCCATGGATGCTCGGACCCCCAGGGTGGTGACCTCACCCTTCCCATGAGCCTTAGCGCAAGCACACCTGCTTGGAGCACGGAGGGCTCTGCCCTGCCCGGGCCTTCCACCCCCACTGTGTGCCCCCTCGCCCCCAAGACTGAGCTGCTTTCAGCCCAGTGGAAGGAGGGGCCGTGTGGGCGTGTTCCTACGGGACAGCGAGGCCCGGGCCTCTGGGCTCGTGTAGACGGGAGGTGGGGGGAGGACCTGGGCGCCCAGAGCTCCTGACTGTTTCGCGTTCCAGCTGCTTTTGGCTTGTGCGGTGAAGGATCTGAGGCCACGTGGCCCATAATTTCCTGGTCGCGGCTGGACGCGGGTGTGTCGGCGTCATGGGGCTTCCTATTACCTTCTCTCTGAAGTTGGCTGTGCCGCCTGTAAAATTGCCCGTAACTCCGAGGGCGACCTGCTTTGTGCCGGGGCCTGCCACCGCCTCACCCGCCCAGATGGCCAGCGCTACAGGAGCGCCCCGGGGTCTGGTCTCCCGGAGGCAGGGTCCCCTGGGGTCCCTTGGCCTGTGCTCACTGCTCCTCACGCCCCCGTGAGCGGCCTCGGTGCCCAGGCTCGGGCTCCTGGCCCTGCAGACCCGCTTGCGGGGGCCAGCAGGTGCAGCCACCTGTCCTCCAGGGTGGGCAGGGTGGAGCTTGGCGAGGGCCCCATCCCCCCGGATGCGGAAGTGGCTGTCAGCTCCTCTGGAGGGTCAAGCTGCCATTCAGCCCTCAGCGGTGTTCACAGCCACGGGCAGACACGGTGGGGGGGAGGGGCGCTTGTGTTAAGACGGGGGTGGGGGGAAGCCTGTGTGTCGCCGGTGGGAGCACGAGGGGCGACGCTCGCCTGCTGGGGGTCAGGCCGGGGGTGATGGCAGATCTGATCTGCACTCCATAGCCCGAGGAGGGGCTTGGCCCTCGGGGAAGGTTCCCTGGACACTCAGCCTGAACTTGTTCCCGTTTGCAGCCGGGACGTTGCCGGAGCCGGGCTGTGCAAGGGCCTGTGGGATTTGGGCTGGGGTTTGTCCGGCTGCCTCTTCGGCTGGGCCCATCGCTGGTCTGCGGAGACGCCGCGGGCGAGGCAGGAGCCCCGTGGGGACAAGTGGTGTCGAGGGCCCCTCGGAAGGAGAATGGGAAACGCGCCCGGCGCCTGTGGGCTGCAGCGAGGCTCCTTGCGGCTCTGGGGTCTCAGGCTTCCTCAATAGAAGGGATCACGTCAGCAGCACAGGAGCCAGTCCCGGTGCCGGGGAGACCCAAGGGCACTTTGATTCTCGGCTCTCCCTGGCCTGATGCGTGAGGGGTGGCGCCTGGGAGGCGGTGGGAACCCTGGCGTGTTCGGGCCCTCTGGGCGCAGCCGCAGAGAAGGGGTGCTCCCGGCCAGGCCGAGTGGTGTGCTCAGCCTCCAGTTTCCGCGTTGGAGCCACACACCAGCAGGTGGGCCCTGCTCTGGCCACCGTGGACACGGGCCCCAGCCTTGGCCTCCTGGCCTGGGTGCCCGCGGTCCCCGGGGGACTGCTGCGAGCCGGCGACTGTGCCCCTTGTCCTGGCGCCGGGACTCCCGCCGCTGCCTCGGCCCCGACGGCCACCTCACTCACGCCACTGTCTGTTCTGCGTCCCCGGGGACTTGTGGCTTCGTCATTTTGTCCATTAAGCTGGAAACATTGAAACACAAAGCTAGGAAGCACGTGTGTCAGCGGGCTGGTTTGTTTCCAACGTCTGTGGTCTTGTGTGCTCTTGGGCCTGGTCTCTTACCCTGTGGCAGCGCCAGGGGCTCTGGCTCTGAGCCGGAGAGGTTGCCCCCCCCCCCATGTGGCCCTACCCCCCGCACAGCAGCTGTCCCCGCGCTGCAGCCCTGTGGGCGGGCCCTGGCGGGGGCACCGTGGAAACCATGACGCCAGGAGGCCACCGGTGTCTCTGGTTCCAACAGCTACTCTGACGTACGACACGCTCCGGTTTGCTGAGTTTGAGGATCTCCCGGAGGCCTCGGGGCCTGTGTGGATCCTGGGGAGGAAGTACAGCGCGCGCGCAGGTACCAGGCCGCGCCGGCGGGGCGGGGTGGGCTCCGGGCTGCAGGCACGAGGCTGTGGTGTTTTCTTTTGAACTCTCCAGAGAAGGACGCGATCCTGTCCGATGTAGCCTCAAGGCTCTGGTTCACGTACAGGAAGAACTTCCCCGCCATCGGTGAGTGCTCGGCTGGCCCCCGACGCGGCCACAGAGGGATGCGGGCTCGGGGCCTTTGCTGCTGGCCGTCAGCGCGCAGACGCTGTCCCGCTGCCCTCTGCAGCGGCTGCCCAGGCCTGGGCAGCATGCGCCCCGCGGCTCCCGGCTCAGCTGCCCAGCGCTGTGCTCAGCGGGCGGCCCGGGAGCCTCAGCTTGTGGGTCCACGTGCCTGCTGCCCAGTCGCCACAGCCCTCGCTGGGGGCCCGGGGCCGGCTCCAAGCCGCCTGCTGTTCAGGGCGCGGCCCAGCTTCCCCGCGGAGAGCTCGCGGCAGGTGGCCGGACCAGGCTGGAGCGCATCCTGTCTCGTTCGGGCTGTTCCTTGCCGCCCTGGAGGTGGACAGAGGCTGCGGACGGGGCTCGGGGCCACAGGCTGCACTGCCGGGAGTGGAGGGGGATGCCCGCGCCTCAGCCTGGTCCGCGCCGCCCAGGGTCAGGTCGGCCGTTCCCGGTGGCCCAAGGACACGTGCTTCCAGGCCGGGGGTGCCGTCGAGGCCCCCAGCTGGGTTTCTGCTCTGCGGCCGTCCAGGGACGGATCCCTCGGCTCCGCGTGGAGTCGTGCCTGCTGGGTGTGCCCTGTCCCTGTGGCCGGTGGTTCGCACCCGCTGTCTCCCAGGCCTGACCAGGTGGCGCCGGGAGGCTGACGGGCTGTGTCTGCTGCCGCAGGGGGGACTGGCCCCACCTCGGACACGGGCTGGGGCTGCATGCTGCGCTGCGGGCAGATGATCTTCGCCCAGGCCCTGGTGTGCCGGCACTTAGGCCGAGGTGAGTCGGGGTGGGGGGGGGCACACCCTCGCCCTCGCGCCCTGAGCTGGGTGCGCGCCAAGGACGATGGTGTCGTAGAGGTGACCTGGGTTAGCCTGTGTGGGGGGTGGGCCTGTGTCTGTGAAAAGCCCGGGGAGCATAGCTTTTAACTCTCCGGAAGCTCAGGAGACGCTTGGACACCCCTCGTGTCCCGACGGGGCTCCTGCCTCGCCCAACGCCGCGCTGTCTCTGCAGACTGGCGGTGGGCCCAGCGGAGGAGGCAGCCGGACAGCTACCTCGGCGTCCTCAGCGCTTTCATGGACCGCAAGGACAGCTGCTACTCCATTCACCAGATAGGTGTGTGTGGGGGCGGGCGGCGGGGGGCAGAGGGGGGTGGGGCGGCGCGGGAGGCCTCACTCACCGGCTGTCTCCTGCAGCGCAAATGGGAGTCGGCGAGGGAAAGTCCATCGGCCAGTGGTACGGGCCCAACACGGTGGCCCAGGTTCTCAAGTACGTGCAGGCGCCTACGCTCTGGGGCACAGAGCTGCGCATCTCGTCCCTGGGCGCAGGCCTCCCGCTCTTCCTTCGGGGCTCGGGGGGCTCCTTGGAGCGTTCGGCCAGACGGCGCCCTGCCCGGCCGCTCTTGCGCGTGGGCTGTCTGGCCCCCTGGTGGTCTGGGCACAAGTGCACTCCCCACCAGCCCTGGGCCTCTGCCGTGACAGCTGCTCCCTGGAACCTGGCTCCAGCGGGCCCCACACCCCTCCCTTTACCCCCAACAGATACCCATTTTGCCCCGTGACCTCCTCCCTGAGGTCCCGTGCCCCCGCTACCAGCTGCATGGGCCTTCCCGCCACATCTGAGCCCGCCCCCTTCCCCAGCCCTGGCCAGCCTCTGCTCTGCCCCGCCCCGCCCCCATGCGCCCTGGCACTCCCGCTGCAGCCTGTGTGGGGACGCTGCTGCGCGGGCCTGTGTGCTGCGTGTGGCGTGCACGTCCACACGTGTGGGCTGCCCGCCCTGTGCCCTCTCTGAGGCCTCCCTCCTGTCTGCGTGGGCGTTGTCGGTGCTTTATTCTGTGGGAAGGCAGAGCTCAGCCCGAGCTTACTCTGCAGCCCTTGGCCCCTGCAGGGCCGCCTGGGCTGTCACTCCGCCTGCTCTGGTGCTCAGACTGCAGGTCCCTTCCAGCTGACCACGGCCTGGCCTCTGCCCGTGCTGTGACTGCGCCTTCCCGCCCTCCACGTGTCAGCACCACACCCGGCCCGCTGGGAGCCTGAGTGCTCATCTCCAGGAGTCTGTGTGCATGGCCCACATCCAGCCACGCGTGGCTAGTGGCCGGGGCTGGGGGAGGCGCTCGGCCAGGCAAGGAGCAGCAGCTCCCAGCCTCCCTCTCACCGGGAAGGGCTCATGGGCCTGTCCTGCTTCACTAGGAAACTGGCTGTCTTCGACACGTGGAGCGCCCTGGCCGTCCACATCGCCATGGACAACACGGTGGTGATGGACGACATCAGTGAGTGGCAGGGCGAGGGCTGGGCCGGGGGTTTGCACCGGCCCTCTCGGAGCTTGGGGCTGTGGGCTGACCGGGCAGGCCTCCAGGGTGAGGCCACAAGACCACCTTTCCCGCTGCCACCGTCAGCCGCGTGTGCCCCGGGGGGACAGGAGCGGCCTTAGCCCTGCTGGGGGTCCGGGAAGGCCAGGGGCTAGGTTGGGGGGGGGGTCTCGGGACTTGGGCTCAGGCCCACCCATGGGTTCCAGCACCGCCCACAGCCTGGCTGCCCCCATGGCTGCCGCAGCTGAGCCCACGTGGGGCATGGCCTTGAGCCGCTGAGAGAACAGGTGTGACCGCAGAGGCGCCCAAGACTGCAGGGTCTGCAGAGTAGGTGTTGATGCAAGGCCTGGCCAGGCGAGGCCTCTCGGCCCGTTCTCAAAGCTGCCCCAGGAGGACCTGGGGGGCTGCCGGCGGGGAGGGCTGTGGGGGAAGCCCCTCTGCCCTGGGCAGCCCCTGTAACATGTTCCCCTCTTAGTTCTTGCCGCGGCCCCATTGCACTGGCCCTGGAACGTCAGTGGCTGTTGCTGCTGGGCCAGACCCCCCAGCCCCTGTCCCCCACAGGGGTGGGGCATGGGGAGTCCCCACTCGGAGTGGGCAGGTTCCCTTGCAGCCAGCCCGGCCTGGGCGACTCAGGGCTGCCGGGCCGGCCCCCCCCCCGCTCTGTAGGGAACGGCAGGGTCTTCGCGCTGCTGGCCGGGGATGGCGTGAAGGCTGGACGTGGGCTTGGTGTGGGGTTGCGGGCTAGGGACTGTGCTCCACTGGGTGGCAGATGTGGGCCTCCCAGTGCCTCGCGGCTGGAGTGGGCTCCTGAGGCACGGCCTCGCCTCCTCCCCGAGTCCAGAGGCTCCCCCTAGCACTGACACATTTGCTGAAGCCTGGATCCGTGAGGGCCCTGCTGCCCGGTGCAGGCTGACCATCTGCCGGTGGGCACTGGAGGTGGCGGTGCTGCTGGGGCCCGGGCAGGGTGGCGAGTGGGTGTCTGTGGCGGGGCCCCTGCAGGCCGGGTCTCGTGAGGCCTTCCCTCTGGCCGGCCGCTGCTCAGCCACTACCGGAGTCCCCTGGTGTTCCCACCCCTGCCCAGAGCTGGCCCTTTCTCCCAGGAGCCCTGACGCCTCAGTGAGGAAGGGGCTGGTGAACTCTGGGGCCGGGCGCACCCCAGGGAGCTCTGCACTTCTGCATGCGGGAGGCTGGCCGGCTGGTCAGGTGGCAGGAACAGGGACATGCCAAAGGGCATCTCCTTCTGAGGGCCCAGGCTTTGGGGCGCGGCCTGGCCTGGTGGGGGAACTGCTACATGGCCTCCCCTGCTGGCGCACGTCCTCCGGGTCTCCCCAAGATGGCCCCTTCCGGCCTGGGACCCACAGGGAGTGCTGGACACTGTCCTGAGTGCCGGCCAGCCTGGCGCAGGGCGGGCTCCTGCAGCGCTGCTGAGCTGTTCGGTCCCCCCAGGAAGGCTGTGTCGGAGCAGCCTGGCCAGCACGGGGGCCGCCGCCAACCCCGACAGGCACTGTAACGGGTTCCCTGCTGGCTCCGAGGCCCCCGATAGGCCGGCATCCTGGAGGCCCCTGGTGCTGCTCATCCCCTTGCGCCTGGGGCTCACGGACATCAACGAGGCTTACGTGGAGACGCTCAAGGTGGGTGCCCACCCGCTGCCCATGCTCCCAACCCCTTCCCTGAGCCCCGGCACCTCCGCTCTTCCCCTGGCCCTCTGTCACCCCGCACCCCACCTTCCCTGGCCCTCCCACACGTGGTCTCCTGTGCTGTCTCCTGGTTTCTGCCCGCCTGGGTGTCGCAGGGGCTCCTGCTTGCAGGCTGAGCCCCCCCGCCTCCCACAGCGCTGCTTCACGCTGCCCCAGTCGCTGGGTGTCATCGGAGGGAAGCCCAACAGTGCCCACTACTTCATCGGCTATGTGGGTGAGTGACGCCCCCACTCCGGGCTCCACGCATCCCTCTCTCTGGCCGCCCTTCCTGGCAGGCCCCCGGCTGCGGCTGGGTGCAGCCTGAGCAGCCCCGTCCCCCAGGAGAGGAGCTCATCTACCTGGACCCCCACACCACGCAGCCTGCGGTGGACGCTGCCGACGGTGGCTTCGTTCCGGACGAGAGCTTCCACTGCCAGCACCCGCCCAGCCGGATGAGCATCGGGGAGCTCGACCCATCTATCGCCGTGGTGGGTGCCCCTGTCCCGGCCTGCTTGGAACAGAAGGGAGGCCTTGTAGGCCCTGCTGCTCGCCCGCGGTCTGCAGTGAGGGCTCATGGGTGGGGCGGGCGAGGGCTGGTGGCGCCTGTTCTCGGGCTGGAGGGCCGGCAGCTGCCACAGACGAGGGTAGGCACCTTGTTCTGCCAGGAGGAGGTGCACACAGGCTCCCCCGAGAAGCCAGCCTTGCGTGTCCCTCCCAGAATGTTCCGTGCGTCCTGGGACAAAGCGTGAAGCCGCAGGGTGGCGAGGGTGCCCGGGGACCACCAGTACTTCCCGTCTGTCCCTGGTCTCCATGCCCATACCGCGCTGCTGCCCGTGTCCAGGCTTCCGCTCACTGTCTCAGCTGCCAGCGGTGGCCCAGTCCCCCCCCCAGAGCGTGGGCTTCTCTGTGGCCTTGGTGGCACCCAGAGCCCCTGCGGCTGACATGCCCCCTGCCCGAGGCCTGCTGTCCAGGTGGGCTGCCCGCTGTCCTTCAGAGCAACTCCAGCCCCAGCCACTTGGGAGACGGCGAGTCACAGCCGAGTCCCCGCCAGCACTGCCCAGCCCCTTTGCGCCAGGACTGGAAACCCCATCTGCAGGCGCGCAGGGCCGGCGGTGCTCTGTGCTTACCGCGCTCTTCCTGCAGGGGTTTTTTTGCAAGACCGAGGACGACTTCAATGACTGGTGCCAGCAGGTCCGAAAGGTCAGTTGTGGGCACCGTGTGGGGGCAGGGGCTGTGCGATGCCGTTGCTGCTGGCGCCCAGAGCCTCGGGGCAGCGCCTCATCCGCGTGTTGGTCCGGTGCAGGGCAGGGCAGCCAGTGGACCTCAGCAGCTTGGCACACGCCCCCCGCCCCCCCGCAAGGGGCCGCCTCCCCCCCCACCCTGGGCCCTGACGTGCCTCCCCCCCACAGTTGTCGCAGCTGGGCGGTGCCCTGCCCATGTTCGAGCTGGTGGAGCAGCAGCCCTCCCACCTGGCCGGCCCGATGCCCTGAGCCTGTCCGTGGGTGAGTCCAGGCTGCAGGGCCATGCCTGGTGGGCACCGTCCTGGCATCGGTGTGGGGTGGGTTTCTGTGCGCTGCTGTCCCCCTTCTCAGCCCCTGCCCAGGTGCAGCTGCTCTTGGTCCTGAGCTGTGGGGTCCGGGGGTGACCCATCAGTGGTGCTGGCCTTGAAAAGGAGCCACAGATGGGGATCCCGGTCTCTCTAGGCGTCGCTGGCCAGGAGTCAGGTCCTCTGAGGACACAGAGGCCTCTGGTTCCTCAGCCTCATGCCCTGCACGGGGGTGGGGTGCGGGGCTGGAGACCCTCAGGCTGCCTGAGTATGGGAGGGTCTCCGGGGCCTCCCCCGTGTCGGGTCCTGCGATGTCTCCAGGTGCTTCCGTTTCCGTGCAGGGAGCTTGACCGGGCTCAGCAGCTGGTGGGGCCTGGGGAGCCACTCTCCGCTCGCCCAGGAGGGCCTGCAATTCTGTGGGCAGGTCTGCGTCCTCAGGAGACCTGCTGTTGGCCAGCGGGGACCCGGGGCCTGGACGGGGGGTGGGGGAACCCGGTGGTTCCTCAGGTGGCATGGTCGGTGCGTTGGCTGAGGGTGGCGCGGGAGGGTGGGCAGCCCAGCCGGCCCAGGTCTGGCCAGGAGGGAGAGCAGCGCCCGCGTGCAGGGCAGCTCGCGTCTGTCCCACTGGGAGCGGACGGCCGCACACCCTGCTTGGCTCCCTGACCCTGGTGCGGCTGTGTCCGCGGGAGCTGGCATTGGGCGGCTCAGGCCGTGGGGGCCAGAGGCGCCGCCCGGCTCCCTCAAGGTGTGGACACGCGTGTCCATCTCAGTAACACCACATCCAGCCTGCACCCACCCACCCGTGGGTACCTCCACGGGGATCTGGGTGTTCTGTGGAGGGTCCTCGCAGCGATGATGGCAGAGTGTTCTGGTTACCATGACGATGTCGTGAAGTTACATGGGGAAAGTCAGTGAGAGGACATCCTCGGGGACCTTGACCACGGGCGGCTGCAGTGGCCCTGCACCCCGCTTCTGGGCGAGCACCTGGGCTGCTCTGTTTTACTCACAGAGAAGGGGTCGGGCCGCTGAGCTCTCCTAGGCCTTGAGGCTGTGCCTGGCGGGCCCGGGGGTGCTGGAGGCTGGGACAGCAACACGGAGTTGCCCACGGTGACCGGTCTGAGGGGAGCCCTGCGGGTGGCACCTGGGCTTGGGTCTGCGACGAGACCCAAAAGGGAAGCCCCCGAATAGTCCCTGAGGAGCATTGGTGTTTGCTGTCACGGAGGGAGGCGGGGGTTCTCTCAGCCCCTCTGCCGGGGCTCCTGCCCCAGCCCTGCAGGCCGGAGCCCTGGGCCCCGATGTGCAGCTCACAGCCGGGCGCCTCGCAGTGGCGCATACTCTGCCAGGGACGCCCGCGTGACCCTGCTGGGATCCGACAACGCTGTCTCCTTCTAGAGTCTTCTGATGCAGAGCGGCTGGAGAGATTCTTCGACTCAGAAGACGAGGACTTTGAGATCTTGTCCCTGTGAGAGCCCTGGAGTCTCCAGTGGCCTGGGGCGCCGCGGTCCGGAGCTGACCGCCAGCACGGAACCTTAGCCCAGAAGGCCACGGCGGTGCTTGGACGCCCTCCCGTGACACTGCCAGCCTCGCGCCCTCCGTCCTGCTGCTTCCTGGGCTCGCGGTTCTGGGATTGCTTTGGAATCTACTCCAGACGTGAACTGGTGTCGGGACGTCCCGCCTCGGTGGCTCTGGAGCCCGTGGCGGCGCGCAGAGCGATGCCCGGGACCTGGCTGCGTGGGGCTGCCTCGGGGGAGGGGGGCCCACCTGCATGTCGCCGAGGACACTGGCGCCAGCCAGGAGCCTTCGGGGGAGCCCAGTGGGCACCCTGTCCCGTGTCCGGCTCCCCTGCCGAGACGCACGTGCTGCTGCTTGCTTGCGGCCTGGCTGCCCTGGCGGGTGGCGGGCGCAGGGCACCTGCCCCCAGCCCCCTTGGAGCCACCCCCGCCGCGGGGGCTCGGGCCAGAGAGTGGGCCCTCCTGCGCAGCTGAGACAGCCATTCTCCTCCGCCCTGGTCTTGTGCTGTCGGCTCTGGAAAAGCCGGGGAGTTTAGGGGGCTAAGTAGCGGGGAGGCCCTCCCTCCCACGGTGTCCAGCCAGGGGCCCCCCCGTGTGGCTGTGGAGGCGGCAGGAGACTTGGCCCCAGTGTGGCCGACTAAGTTATTTGCTCTTCTCTTTCCTCCTCCCTTGGGGAGGGGTGGGTGGGGTGGAGGGTGTCGCTGCCAGGACCCCGGGCTGGTGCCCTGGCCGAAGGGAACTTTGTCCTGGCGTTTGGAAAATGCGACCGAAGAGGCCTCACCCCTTCTCAGTAGTGTAGCTCGCAGTTCTCGATGGCAAATAAGTTTCAATAGAAAGCCAGGCCCGGCGTGTTGCTTTCCCTGGCGCCCGGGGAGTCGTGGTTGGCGTTAGTGGGTAAGGCCCTGCTGTCCGGACACCTCCTGGCCTCTGTATCAGGCAGGCCTGTGTCCTCGGGGGACAGGTGGGACTCCTGCAATAGGAGGGCAGCTGATGCACTGGGGGGTCCCCAGCATATGGGCCTCCATTTCCGGGGTACCCTCTTTAGCATGACTGAAGGTGAGGGCTGCTGCTGGCACGGGGAGGTGGCCCCCACTCAGGGTGCCCTGGGTGCCACTTCTCAGCCTAGGCTTCTCCTTGGAGGAGGGTGGGGCCTGGCCAGCCTCACTCTGGTGCTCAAGCCTGGGCCTACTTCTGTCCCCATCCAGTTCTGGGAACCCCCACTCCACTCTGGTCTCCCACCTCTGACCCCACAGCCCAGCCCTGGGGTGGTATGTGCCATCCCCCCGCCCCCCATGTGGGGTGTGCAGGCACAGCTTGCCCAGCTGGCTTCAGGAGTTCCACTGGGTGGTTTGTGCCTTGGTCATGGGGGACAGGGCAGGCAATGGTGGGATGTGGCCTGGATACCACACCGGCCTTCCTGTTCTGGCCCCAGTGGGTGCAGTCCAGGGCACTGGCCATGTTGCCAGCAGCCCCCCACAGCCCCTCTGGACACAGCCAGCTGATGCCCCAGGGCTGACCTTGCCCCTCCTGCCACCCTTGGCTGTGCCGTGCTGGACTCTGCTAGGCCCTGCTGACCACACCCACGGCCCACTCCCGCACGCTGCTTGGCTGGGCCCAGAGGGACTGCCAGGACGCGTGAGGTCCTGTGAGCCCAGCTCAGGCCCCCCTCCCCACCTTGGGCATGGCCGGCCGGTGGCCACCTCAGAAAGCCAGGTCTCCCTGGGTGCTCAGGTGGGGTTTATTTACGCGTGCCTGGCCGGGTCTCAGAGAAACGGCTTGGGCACGGGTACCAGGTCGGAGGCGGCGGTTGTGGGCCACCTGTCCCACTGGACTGGGGCGGGCCTGCAGCTGCTCTACCGCCACAGCTCCCCCAGCGGCCTCTGCGCCGCGGCCTGGATGGTGTCCTCGGAAAGCCGGCGGATCTCCTGGTGGACCTCCTCGATGCTCCTGGCGGCGTCGACCGTCTGCTCCCGCGGGGGGTGGGATGGGGTAGGGGCTGTGTCTCAGTGGGCGGGAGGGAGGGAGGGTGGCCCGACGGGTGTCCCCGGGACAGAACCCCAAGCTGACCAGCACAGGCCTGGGCACACGGGAGAGTGGGACTACGGGGAGCAGCCGAGGGCTGGGCAGGTCCTCCCACACCAGGACCCACCACCATTTGGGGCCCTCGACTCACTGGCAAGCACCGAACCCCAGAAAAGCAGGGGGAGCCGCCCCCGCGCTGGGCTGCACCAGCCCCGCCCTCACCTGCCAGTTCAGGGTGCTGTCCCCCATGAGCTGCTGGAAGCGCTGCAGCGCCCGCTCCTGGAAGGGCCGGCTCTCGTAGCGCTCGCGCCCGAAGTCCCCGCGCTCCGCCGCCGCCGCCAGCCCCAGCCGCAGGAAGACCACCAGGTCGGGCTTGGGGAGGCCCACGTCTGGCTGCTTGCACCAGTCCAGGGAGAAGTCCTGCGGGAGCCTGGGGTCAGGGCTGGCTGGGGCCCTCCACCCGACTGGGCAGTGGACGCGGGGCGCTGTCCTCGGTCACTCCCGCTGCAGTGACTTGGGCCCAGGCCGGCCGCTCGGCCTGGTGCTCTTGGCAGCGCCTTCGAGCTCGGCAACCTTGGACCATCTCAAGGTGCTCCAGGTGGACAGACGCCACCCGCTGCCAGCCCCGCCGCACCCTCCAGGCCTGGCTTTCACCCCTATGCTCCCTTCTGGGCGGGGCCCTTTGCTCAGAATTTGGCCATCCCAACCCGTGAAGTCCAGGCGCCGCCACCAGAGCAATGACCCTCGGGGAGCGCCCAGGGACGGACCCCACTGGCTACCAGCAGGAGGTCACCACCCTGCAGCCCCCATAAATCACCACCCCAAAAACTGTGACCCCAAAAGCCAGAACCAGATGCTGCAGGAGAGGCTGCCTTGCATGCCCCTGCAAAAGTCAAGCCAGTAAAGGGGGGGGGGGCGCGCACGAGGGAGATGGGGGCCGAATCGGCTTAAAAGACACTTCCAGCCTGACTGCTGGACTGACCCAGGGAACTGTGAAGACACCCCGGGGCAAGTAGGCAGGGGCTGGGCGCCCACTGGACTCACCTCCTTGGCGCTGGTGAAGGCAACGCCAGAAAACGCGTATCTGTCCACGACAAGGGTGACGCCCTGGCTCAGCTTCTCTTTAATGAAGGGCCTGGAGAGCAGCAAGCACCTGAGTCCTGCCCCGGGTCACAGGCCCTGCCAGGTCCCACCAGGACATGGCCTCTTCCTGAGATGCCTGGTGGGCCCACGGGCCAGCCTTCCAGGACAGACCCGCCCGCTGGGCGCAACGGCCCCGTCCAGAGGGCCTCATGGTGTGGGGGGGGGGGCAGCTGCCAGCACCCCCAGGCTAAGGGCTAAAGGGGTGACCCTGCCCCAAACCCCAAAGGCCTTTTTGCATGTGGTTTTACAGGGCCTCCCTGGTGGCGCAGCAGGTTGAGCGCTGGGCTGTGGAGCTGTCCGCAGCCTCTGCAGCACAAGTTTGCTCCCCCGCCAGGGAGTGACCCGCAGGGCGCAGCCGACCTCTCCTGTCTCCCCGCTGCTCCCCTCAGCAGTGTGTTTTGGTCCATCTGCCTGTTCTGTCCCCTGCTCTGTCTTGGGTGAGTCCTCTCGCCCTCCGGCGCCTGCTGGCCTGTGCCCCAGTGCTTGTATAAATAAGTAAACTTTAAAAAAAAAAGAAAAAAAAGCCAAACAAGGCACGGAATCCCTGACGCTGCAGTGGAGGGAACCTAACCAGCCCCCCATGCTCCGGGGCAGGCTGGCGACCTGGGATCCTCCCTGGGGGCCGGGAGCTCTGAGGTGCTGCAGGCGACACCCCTTGTGTGGTAACCTCTCGGGCGGACCCGCCTTGGCCTGCAAGGGCAGCAGGACCCTGTCAGTTGCGTGGTGTCGGGGACCACCCAGCGGCAGACTGGGGAGTTTGAAGACGGGGGTGGGGGTGGGGCGCTCAATGGTGCAGGGAGAAGCCTCTGCATCCAGGACGCCTGCAGGGCAGGCCTGGAAGCGGAGGGCAGGGATGTCACCCGCCTGGTGAAGAGCAGGGGCAGAGCCTGTGGCCCGATGGAAAGCCTGGAGGAGACGCGTCTCCACAGGGCCCCTGGCGGACCCGGCCACCCTCTCCGAGCCGGACCTGTGGGGCGAGGGACACACTGCAAGGAGGGGGTGCACAGCCCAGCGGGTCAGGGTGCCCGCGATTTGGGCCCGCTGCTGTCCCGCCACAAGAGAAAAAGCAAAATCAGGACAACCACATCACAGGAAATATGCAAGACTATACAGGCCGGACTCCTGGTGTGGGGAAGGGGCTGCCCAGCAGACGCCAGAGCCAGAGGAGGGCGGTGCCTGCCGCGCAGTGGAGGTGCAAAGCCCAGAACCCGGGGCCGGTCCAGTCCCTTTGTGCAAAAGAGCTGCCGAGGGCCTCCCTGGTAGTGCAGCGGTTGAGCGCTGGGCTGCAAAGCTGCCCGCAGCCTCTGCAGCGCCGGTTCAATCCCCGGCTGCCCGGCGAGAGTCCCACCTGGCGCGCAGACCTCTCCTGCCGCCCATTGCTCCCCTCAGCAGTGTATTTCGTCGGTCTACCCGTTCTGTTCCCCGCTCTGGCTCTGGTGAATCCTCTCACCCTCCCGCGCTTCTGACTGTGCCCAGCGCTTGTATAAATAAATAAATCTTAAAAAAAAAGAAAGCTGCCGAGGCCAGCGCCGGCCACCTCCGGGCAGCGGTGACCGCGGCTCCCGCGGGAGAGGGGGCGCAGTGTGGACTGGGGGTGGCCCCGGGAGCGCTCGGGCCGGCCTCCACCTGGACAGCAGAGCCCGCGGCGGGGGCGGGGGCGGGGGCGCCTACACTTGCTCCCAGCGGTTGGCGGAGAACAGCAGGTGCACCGAGTGGTCCTCCACGTCGCTCTTCTTCTCCAGGTAGGAGCTCAGGAGTTTGCCGATTTCCGTCGATCTTTCTGAGAAGAAACAAGCGACAGCGCCGTCAGGCCCCGCCCCGGCCAGCCCGCAGGGCGCGGGGGTCTGGGGGGACCGGGCGCGGGCGCGGGTCGCGACGCTTCTCTTCCCCCGAGGCCGTCGCGCCCCGACGCGCGCGGACCTCCCCGAGGAGCTCGCGAGGCGGGCGACGGCCCCCGACGGCGAACGCCCCGAACAAGACGGGGCGGCAGCGGCCCGCGGGGCGGCCCCCGGGCCCCGCGCCCAGACGTCCCGTCGCGCGGCCGCGCCCCACCCACCCGGGAAGCGGAGCAGCTCGGCGCGGTGGCCGGCGGCGCACAGCGCGGCCACCAGCCTGCGGCTCTGCGTGCTCTTGCCCGCGCGGTCCACCCCCTCCAGCACGATCAGCGCGCCGCGCCGGCCCGCCATCGCCGCCGCCCGCCGCCGCCGCGCGCGCCCATTGGCCGGCGCCCGCGCGCTGGGATTGGCTGACGTGCGTCGCGTCGCCCCGGACGCAGAGTGAGCGCGACGACGCGGCCCGCGCTTGGATTGGCTGCTGTTTTTTTAGGCGTTGATCGGATTGGCTGGGCTGGCGCGTGGGCGGGACGAGGACGCCTGGTTGCACCGCCTCTTCCGGCGGAGCCCTGCCTTAAGGGCCGGAAGCCGCGCCGCGAGCGGCGCCTCGGGCCGGGCGCGCCGGTCGCGGGGCCGGAGCGACGCCCGGGCCCGCCGCCCCCCCGGGCCCCCGGGGCGAGGGGCTCTGCTCTGGGCCTGCGGCTTCCCCAGACGTGCCGAGCGCCCGCCCCACGGAGCTCGCGCGGCGCCCGGGTCCAGACCCGCGCTTCGGGGACGGGCTCGTCGGTGCCGGTGGGGCCCGGCCCCGCGGCCGCCTGCAGAGGCCGAGCGGCGCCCGCGCCTTCCGCCCCACCCGAGGCCGCCGGCCCCCGGGGCGGCCGCGGCGGTGTGGCCCGGGCTCCGCGACCTTCGGAGCCCAGGGCGAGGCGAGGCGCCGCTGGATGCGGCCCCGGCGGCCCCGGGACCGGCCAGCGCAGGGCCGCGCCCTCTCGCACGGCAGCTTTTGGTTTGGACCAGCGGCCCCCGGCGGGCCGGTGTGCGCCTGCGGGCCGCGCCTTCTCTCCTTTGCGCCTGAGTAAACCTGCCGTGGTCCTCCAGAGCCCGAGTCGCGTCTGGGCTGCTGTGCCGGGGGGAGCCGCAGGCCGTGACCAGGGCTCCAGTTTGCGCTCTCGGTGGCGCTGCAGCCCAGCCTTGGCCACGGCAGCAGCAGGCCGCACCAGGTCCCCGGCTCCCATGGCCCAGGCCCGCCCGCCCTGGGGCTGTCACCCAGAAGGGGCTCAGCGGCCAGGTCTGGGTTTTTGTTTCCTGCACTGGCTTCTCCACCAGGGACATTGGGCTTGTCACAGCCTGGGGCCAGGTGCTGACAGCAGGTAGTGGGGAGACCCAGCGGCCGGTCAGTAACCTGGAAAGGCCACTGGCCTGGGAGCAGGAGGCAGAGAGCCGGGCTTGAAGCGCCAACCGCTGTCCGTGCTCGTGCAGGAGTCAGCCACAGCAGGGGTCTGAGCCTACCAGTTTTCTCATGACAAGCAAAAAGGATGAACTACCTTCTGGGGAAGGTTTGTCTGTAAAGCCGGAAGGGCTTGCCCCGTAATAAAGGGTTTCTGTAGATAAAAGGCCAGAGGACCAGCCCTCCAGACAATGGGTAAAGGACAAAACCCAGCAAATGACTTGGCCAGCACAGGATGTGCGTGCATTCAGCCTCACTTCACAACAAGGAAATGCAAATTTCAGTCTTTTCTTGGTTATTTCTATTAAGTTAGTAAAATCCTGTGGACACGACCTCCGGGGTGGACAGGAGCTGGTGGCCTACGCAGGACAGGAGCAGATGCAGGTGACCTTCCCCTTGGCCGTCTAGTTCAAAGTGCCAGAGCTCAGACCCTGCACACCCTTCAGGGAAGCAGCACCTTTCTAAGGATTTATCAGAAGGAGCTAATGAAGCAACCTACAAGGTTCAAGATGCCACCACCCTTGCTGTGTGGCCATGGGGGGTGGGACTCACTCCCTCTCCCCTCACATCTGGGTTGTCCCCAATCACTTCTCTCCAGCAGTGCTGTCTCAGCAAGACAGGTGGGGTCCCAGGAATCTTGCAGCTTCCGCCTGGCCCCCAGAACTCTCTGGAAGCCCTGAGTGGCCACAGGCAGAGTCTTCCCTAGGCCTGTGCCAGAGAGGCGCGGGGGGGAGTGGACCTGGCCCTTGGTGCCTGCTGAATGCAGCCTCCAGCCACCTGTGACCCCTCTGGTCTCACTGAGAACAGAAGCCTTCCCCAGACGAGCCCACTGCCAGCTCGTGGGAGCCTGAGCTTTAATAAAGCGTGTCTGAAACCAGTAAGTTTTTTTTTCAGGTGTCTCGTTCTGCAAAGTGGAACCAACGGTGCAGACACACGCAGGGCTTACAGCTGAGCATTGAGAGCGTTTCCGCAAGTTCCTGCAAGGCAGCAACACCGAGGGGTCTGCCACCGTGAGCTCAGTCTAACAGGTGAAGAAAGAGTGAAATGGCAGGAGCCTGGTGAAGGCCAAGAAGAGTGAGGTGTCAGCAGTAGTTAAGGGGATTGGCCACACAAAGCCAACAGCCCAACTACAAACCGGTGAGAGAGAGCCCCGCCCACAGGCACCAAAGAGCAGGAAGGCGCTGGGGAGCCCTGACCCCTCAGGGGGCTGGTGGAGGCTCCTCTGCACTCAGCAGGAGGCCCAAACCGGGACACCACCGAGGTCTGGGGCCAACGGGCTCAGTCCCTGTGAAGGGAACGCAAGACAGGCTGTGACGGCAGCTTGCAGAACTGCAGGGGCTCACGCTGTGGCACAGTCGCTCTCCGTGGTGTTTACCCAAAGGAACTGAAAACCACATCCACACAAAAGCGCAAGCCAGTGGCTATAGCAGCTTTATTTGCACACACCAAGATGTGGAAGCAGCCAAGATGCCGTCAGTAGGCGAGCAGATGAGTAAATGGTGGTCCCTCCAGGTGCCAGGAGACTCCTCAACGTGACACCAAGAAACGAGCATGGAGATGCACACGCCGGGGAGACACTCACTCTGGACATGCACTCAGAGGCCACTGTGCCTCTGAGTCCATGACGCCTCGGAAAAGGTGGCCACCAAGAGGGGGGCAGGATCAGGCTTGCTAGGGTTGTGGTGGGCAGGGAGAGGGGCCAATAGGTGGAGCACAGACAATTTTTAGAGCAGGAAAAATGCCCTTGTCATCCGTCACCATGGACACCGCCAGCTGGCTGGGAAGGTTCACTGGTAGTTAATGATCCACAGCTTAGTGTGGATCTTGAGGGCTGTCCCCATGATCACAAGCTTGAGTTTCACTTACAGGCAGGAAAGATGAGTCAGTGACACTAAACCGTGATCGTTACTGACGGGCTCCTGGCTCCAAGCTGTTTCACCTCAAGGCTGCTCTCGTTCTCTCTGACGCAGGGAGAGCTGCAAAGGCTGGGTCTCCCCCTTAATCTTTTCCAGCTTCTAGGCCATCAGCGGGGGTCGGAGGCCGCCTCCACCTGCGGGCAGCAGAGTCTGCAGGCAGCGTCCATGCGGTGCCTTTGCTCTTTTGTCTGCCAGTGGGGACGGGGTCCAGGACGTTTACAAGATTTATAAAAATACTTGACATTATGCAATTGCCAGAACCCACAGGTCTGTAGCAGGGTGAACTTAAACCACGGCCCTTGGCTACTAACAGTCCTCCAGGGTGCTCCGCAGCTGAGTGGGTCGAGGCGGCCGAGGCGCGGCGGCGCACCACGTGCGCGGGGCTCTGCACCGAGAAGCTCCGCGGTGGTGTCAGCCGAGCGCGCGGAGGAGGGCTCGGGCCGCAGGGGCCGCACCGGCGCCTCTCGCGCGCCCGGACCGGGTCCTGCACCGCAGGCGGCGGCGCCCCGGGGCGCGGGGGCCGCGAGGCCTGCGCGGGGAGCGGGGCCCCGCCGGCGGGAGGGGGAGCCCGCCGGGGGCCGGCGCCGCCCTGCAGGGCGCGCCCCCGCCAGGACCCCCTCGGGGCGACGCCGGCGGGGCTCGCGCGGGCAGAGGTCACGTGGCGCCGGGCGCGGTGACGTCACCGCAAGGGCGCCCAGGGCCGCGCCTGACCCCGACCCCGCCCTTCACCTCGCCGCCCTCCCGGGCTTAGCGCGCGCTCGGGGCGCAGGTCCGCCGCGCCGCCGGCTTCAGGGCGCGGGCCGCGGCGCCCGCTGCGCGCGGGGAAGCCCGGAGTCGCGCGGCGGCCGGCGGGGCCGCGGAGGGCGGGCGGCGCGACCCCGGCCACGTGCCGCGCCCCGGCCCGCCCGCGACCGGAAGCCGGGGGGCGGGCCCGGGCCGCCCCGCCCCGCCGCGGGCCAATCGGCGCGCGAGGCTCATGAATAGTGAACGACGCGGCCCGCCCCCGTCCCTCGCGGCGCCGCCCGCGCGCGCAGACCCAGAGCGCGGCCGCGGCGAAGATGGCGACTGCCATGTACTTGGAGCACTACCTGGACAGTAAGCGCACCCCGCGCCGCGCCGGCCTCCGCCCGCGCGCCGCGCCCCGCGCCGCGGCCGCGCGCCCCAGTCGCCGCGCGCGGGTCCCGGCGACTCGTGGGGGCGGCGGGGCGGCCCGGGGTGCGGGGCTGGCGGGGGTAGCGGGGGGCGCGCGGGTCGCGGGGGAGGGGCGGGAGGAGGGAGCGGCGCGGGGTCCGTCGTCACGGCCGCGCCAATTCCAGGTGCGTCACGGCGGGGCGGGGCGAGTGAGGGGCGGGACAGCGGGGCAGGCCACGCCTTCCTCGGCCAGGCCCCGCCCTCGGGGCCCCGCCCCTCAAGCCTGCTCGGTCCCGCCCTTCTGCGACCTTGACCCGCGCTGACAGGCGCGCCCTCTCCGTGTCCACCCTGACCTCCCAGGGTGCCTTCCTGCCCATTCCCCAACTTGACCTTGCTTCTCTGAGGCGTGGTTCTTCCCCCACCTCGGCCCTGCTGCGCCCTCCTGGCTGGCCCCGCCCCCTCCGAACTCGGCTCCGCCCCATCTGGGCCCCGCCCAGTCCCGGCCTCGGCCCCGCTGCTCCCTCTTGGCTAGCCCCGCCCCCCTCTTTTCCCGCCCCCGGCCTCGGCCCCGCCCCAGCTTGGCCCCGCCTCGGCCCCGCTGCTCTCTCTTGACTAGCCCCGCCCCTCTTTCCTCGGCCCCGCCCCTTCCCTTGCCTCGGCCCCGCCCCTCCCCTCTTTCTCCGCCCCTAGCCTTGACCACGCCCCCTCTTTCTCCGCCCCCGGCCTCGGCCCCGCCCCGTCTGCGCCCCGCCCCTGCGGTGCCCGCGAGGCGTCCCTGCCAGGCCCTGGGCTCCCAGCCCGCGTGTGCACCCCCGCGGGGCCGGAGGGCGGCGGTTCCTGCGTGGCGTGGCCCCCGCGCTGAGACCTTCCTGGGCCGGGCCCGTGTCAGGGCGGCGGGGCCAGCGCGGCCCCCGCTGCGCGCTGCGGGGCGGCCTTCCGAGAACCCGCCGCGCCGCCGAGTGCCCGTCCACGCCGGGCGGGACGGCCGCCTCTGAGCTCGGGGGCCTGGCGGCGGGTGGGTGGCCCACAGACGGGGCGTGAGAGCGCTGTGCCGCACCAGGCGCGCTCAGGGTCACCCCGGGGCTCCCCGAGCTGTGGAGAGCAAGGAGCGTTGCGTTCTGGGGCGACAGTGACCCAGTCCTGCGGTGGCTCCTGTGCTTGCTGGTAGCCCTGCCCGAGCTGAGGGCTCCAGGTGGCAGCACAGTGAGGGAGCGCCTCCTGCGGGGAGCCCTGGCCTTGGCCGCCCAGCGCTGTCCCTGCCCATGGGCCTCCTGGGAGGCTTTGGGGGAGCATGACCTCTGTCCTGGGGGTGCACAGGTGCCATGCGGTGTGCTGGGAACCCGCACTGGCTCCAGCAGGAGCTGCTCATAGGACCCCACTAACAGGCTCTCGAGAGCAGGGGTGCTGTCCTGCGGGGCCCAGAGACATCCACGGGCCGTGTGGGAGCCTGTGTGGGGCATGTGGTCAGCTGTGGCCAGTGGGGGAAATCCTGGGTGCCCGCAGGGGGGACAGAATGGAGAGCAGTGGGGGTGGCTCTGGCACTTGGCCATGTGCAGATCAGCTCTGGCGAGCAGCCCCCTTGCCCCCAGCCCACCTCAAGTGCTCCCTCATTAGCAGGCCACGGAGGGCTGGGTCTGGGCCTGCTCTCGGTGGGGTAGTCCAGGAGGCCGCGCCAGGCCTGAGAGCGGTCCCTGAGCCTTCCCAGGCCAGGGTGGTGGGTGGCACGGCCGATCTGCAGAGCCAGGGGGGCTGGCACTGACCTCACACCTTTGGCTGCAGGTATCGAGAACCTGCCCTGCGAGCTACAGAGGAACTTCCAGCTGATGCGGGAGCTGGACCAACGGACAGAAGGTGAGCTCTGCTGCCGGTGCCTGCGCCTAGGTCAGCTGTGGGTGTCCCAGACCCCACAGGGGCCATGTCTCCCTCCCTGCACCCTTCTAGGCCTCGTCTGGGCAACCGGCCCCCATTTCCAGAAAGTCCGCTTCCCTTTGCAATGGGAGAGGGAGGCCCTGTCCCACCCGGGCCCTGCCCTGCTGGGGCTGGACAGGTCTCGAGCCCACGCCTGCCCTCCAGGTGGAGACCTCAGCGTCCTCCGGTCCAGGGGCTGTGCTGCAGGGGCCGCGCTGGGTGGTGGGTGGGCTTTTCCGGGAGCCACATGGGCTGTGGCGGTGCCTGTTAACCCTGCCTGGTGTCCAGGGCACGATGCTCAAACTTAACCATGCTGTAGCCGACTTTGTTTGCACTTGTGAGCCGGGGTGGGGCCTCCTGGCAGCTCATCTCCTGTGTGTCCCAGCCACGAAGGTGGTGTCCGCCCTCCCCTCCCCTCCCTCCCCTCCCCCTCCCCACCTCTTTTTCTCTCCCCTCCCTCCCCCCTGCTCTCTGGGGGGTGCTGCTGCTCCATGTGCTGACCCTTCACACGCCATGGGGCCCTCTCCCTTCTGTCGTGGGGGCTGCTTTTCCACGAGTTTCAGGGTGTGCGCCCATGAGTGGGTCAGGTCACAGGTAATGGGGTGCACAAGCTGTCACTGGGCCAGGGCTGCGTGCTGGGCAGGGGTCACCGCCGGGCCGCTGCCCGGGTCTCCTCGCCCACGCGTCTCCGTGCCGCCACTGCTGCCTGGCCCGTGCGGGACCAGCTCTGCGTGTCTCTGTCAGACAAGAAGGCGGAGATTGACCTCCTGGCGGCCGAGTACATCTCCACGGTGAAGTCGCTGTCCGCCGAGCAGCGCGTGGAGCACCTGCAGAAGATCCAGAGCGCCTACGGCAAGTGCAAGGAGTACAGTGATGACAAGGTGCAGCTGGCCATGCAGACCTACGAGATGGTGAGGGCCGCTGCCACCACCCCGCCTCCCGGGCCTCTGTCCGCTTGGTCGGGAAACCGCTGCCCTTCTGTTCTCCTTTGAATGTGTAAAAATGGCTCATCTTGGTCAGCTTTAGGTCAGCCCAGAATCTGTCCTGTCCCGTGGCCCACCAGCGCCCGGGCACGAGGCCTCCTCCCGGCCAGCCTGACGGTCACGTCTTAAAGCCTAGGCTGGGTTGTTCTCGAGGAACGCGCCCTGGGGGTGACCCAGCGATGGAGCCTGGCGCCGTTGGCCTCTGCTTGAGGCAGCTGTGAGAGGAGGCCCAGCCCTCGGCGGGCCCAGGGGCACAGGGCACTGGCTTCCTCCGACGGGAAGGGTCCTCACGGGGCCTGTGATCCTTGGTGGGGATGTCCCCAGCGCCCCCCCCACCCCACTCCCCTGTGCCCCCTTCTCTTCCAGCTGCTTATGCAAAAGCATTCGGGCTGCTGTTTGTTTTCCCTTGGATTTCCACGTTTGTGCTTGTTTTGTACAAAGATGACCCTGGAGGGGCGGGTTTGGGCCCTGAGCGGGCCTGTGCCCGGCGTCCTCCCCCCTCACGCCATGTTTCTCGTCCTCCAGGGCCCAGTTAGGGTGTGGAGGTGGGCGCGTGGGGGCGAGGGTGGCCCTGCCCACTTCGGAGCCAGCAGCCTTTTGTTGGGGCGCTTCGCTCACTGAAGGCTCCCAGGAAGGGAAGGGGCATCGGGGACTTGCGGCCTCAGCCGTGGCTTCCTCCCGGCAGGTGGACAAGCACATCCGGAGGCTGGACGCGGACCTGGCCCGCTTTGAGGCCGACCTGAAGGACAAGATGGAGGGCAGCGACTTCGAAGGCTCCGGAGGGCGGGGACTGAAAAGCAAGTCTGGTGTCCGCCTGGCTGCACGGGGGACCTGCGCCTGCTTCGCCGAAGCTCGTGACGGTGACGGGGTCTTTGTCTTTCAGAGGGTCGGGGCCAGAAGGAGAAGAGAGGCTCCCGGGGCCGTGGCCGGAGGGCCTCCGAGGAGGACACGCCGAAGAAGAAGAAGCACAAAGGAGGGTGAGGCTCTCTGCCTGGGAGTGCCGGCTGTGGGTCAGGCCCGCGTGTCCATGGCCAGGCGGTCCCGGCGTGGCCTGAGGGGGGCTGTGCGTGCAGGGGCCGGTGGGCGAGTCGGGCGCTCTGCCCGCAGCTGAGTCCGCGTCAGGCGTCTGCACGGCTGTGGCTGTGTCTTCCCGTCGGGTCTCTTGACCGCGTCCGCTCAGCAGACTCGCGTTTTGTGTGAACCTTGGCATTTAGCTTGAAACTTCCGCCCCAGGGCACCAGTGTAACGCCCAAGCCACGAGGTCAGGCTGAGGGCACGGGGCCTGGGGAGCTCAGAGGTCAGCGCTGGACAATGCAGGGAGGTCTCGGTTTCGAATCCTGCTCTGTGAACTTTTATCCTAACCCCGAACGCTGCCTTGGCAGGGCAGAGCGTAGCGGCGCGGGCCCCGCGTGGGCCACTCGGGGCACAAGCCTTGCTGGGCCCGGGACTTGCTGGCCGGGCTGGTCTGCGTCCGCCTCTGCTGTTTTCTCCCCTCGTGCAGCCTGGCACTCGCGTTGGGTCTTGCTGTATTTTTTTCTTTTTCATCTTTAAAACTAGTTTCAATTAAGGAGCAATTTTCCGGCAATAAAATAGCCTCATTGTGAGTCTGTAGTTTGATGCTTTATTCAGCTCCTTTGAAGTGAAGGCGTTTCAGACTTTCTCCCCTGGAGTCAGACTTGACGGTCTGTGTCTGGTCTGCCGGGCTCCGGAGCGTCTGCGCTGGGCCGCAGTCCTGCTGTGGGCGGCTCTGGACCCGCTGGTCTTTACAGATGGCGCTTCTGGTGTCCGTAGTCCTTGTTTCCCTCCAGTCCTTGTTTCCGGGCCCGTTTGTCTCTGCTTCCTGTTGCTTCTTCCCCCTGCTAGGAGGGGGTGTACTGTCCTTGATCTGCCTTGACCGGAGGGGCGTTCCTGAGAGCTTTTCGTACGTGCCCTTCTGATACAAGTGTTGCGCGCTATGCATTTCCTGATAATTACTGTTTTAATTTCATCCCACAAAAATTTCTTTAAAGATTGATTTTATTTATTTATACATACAAGAACGGGGGTGTGGGCCAGAGGTGTGGGGTGGTGAGAAGACTCAGCAGAGACAGAGTGGGGAGCAGAACAGGCGGGGCCACGGAAACACTGCCGAGGGGAGCAGTGGGGAGATGGAAGGGGTCTGCTGCGCCCTGTGGGTCAGCTCCCTGGCCAGGATTGAACTCAGGCCGCAGTGGCTGCCAAAAGCTTGAGAGCGCTATGACTTAACCCCTGTGCCACCGGGGAGGCCCCCCCCCCAAGTTTTGATATGTTATAATTTTTATACCATTCATAACATTTTAATGTTTTCTTTGTGTCGTCTTTGACCCATTGCTTAATTAGAAGCATGTTTCCAAGGAATTTAGGATTTTCCAGGTAACTTTCTGATTTCAGTTTCTAATTTAATTTTGTGGAGATCAGAGAACTTTGGATAATTGAAGCCCTGTGCAGTGGATTAAGATGGGGTCAGGATCGAGGCCTGTCTCGTGACGGCTCTGTGAGAGCCTCCTCCGTGTCTCCTGCTGTTGGGCGTGTGCTGGGACCCCCAGGTGCCGCCTCCACCTACCTTTGTTACAGAGCCACCCTGATAGAAAACGGGTTGCCTGACCGCGGGTCCTCACCCCCGTGCTTAAAGGACTTTTGAATGCTCAACTACGGACACACACAAAAGGTTGATAAGAGGCTTATTTACAAGGGAAGGGGGAGTGGGGAAATGAGTAACTCAGGGAGAAGAAGAGGGAGATAAGTTCATAAATGTGTCCTACCCGTTCCGCTGACCTGGAACCCAATGACCCGCCGAGCTGGCGAAAAACCACGAGGCCAAGAGGGGGACCCCCGGCCACATGCCCAGTTAAATACTCAAACTGAGAGCCTCGTTGCTTAACTCCGCCCTCAGGTCCTCGCGCCCTCGCGCCCTTCCCTTGGTGACCGTGGGATTTGTAGCTCCCAGTGTCGTGGGTGGAGCCCACAAAGCCCGTATGGCGTTTGCTCAGGACGTCCTTCCCCCGACATCTTGTTTGCTTTTCTGTGCATGGCAGAGAGAGCAGCGGGGAGCTCGGCTGCTTCGTGACTTTGACTGTTTCTCCTTTCTGTTCTGTCAGATTCTGGTGCGTGTGTTTTGGAGCCCCCTGTTTGGTGATATGTACGCACCTGTGGCTTTTTTTTTTCTTTTTTTGGTAAATGACTCTTGGTGTGACAAAATGCACCTCCTGCTTGTTTGCTGCTCCTGAGCTCGTTATCTGAGGCCTGAAGTCAGCGCAGCCGCTCCAGCTGTCTCTCAGGATGAGCTTTCGCTTGGTTTGTCTTAGTCTTTATTGTTTTGCTTCTATGTGTTTGTGGTTGTGTGTCTAGAGTGGCCTTCCTGAGACAACAAGTAATTGAGACTGCTTTCCATCCAGCCTGGCTGTCTTGGCCACCCTGGTAACCAGCATCTGGCTGTGCCGCTGCCCCTCCTGTCTGGTTTTGAGCGAATCACGTGCTTGGTATCTCATTCACACCTCCGTGTCTCCTCACGCATCTCTGTTTAATTTTTAGATGCTGGGTGGTTTCTTTTGGAGGTTGCACAAGTGTTTCCCATCTCCCACTTTCTTTTTTTTTTTTTTTTTTTTTTTTTTTAATAGAGGCATGCTTTATTTATTTAATTTATTTATTTATTTTGTTTGTTTGTTTATACATGCACTGGGTACAGTCAGAAGCGTGGGAGGGTGAGAGAATTCACCAGATCCAGAGCAGGGAGCAGAGCAGGCAGAAGGACCGAAGTACACTGCTGAGGGGAGCAGCGGGCGGCAGGAGAGGTCTGCGCGCCATGTGGAACCCTCCTCCGGTGGCCTGGGAGCAGCCGGGGATCGAACCGGCGCCGCGGAGGCTGCGGGCAGCTTCGCAACCCAGCGCTCAACCGCTGCGCCACCGGGGAGGCCCCCATCTCCCACTTTCTGTGCTTGGTGCAGTTGTCTGTTTTACTTCTGTGTGCAGGTTGAGACACAAAATATATTGTTATTTTAGGTCAAAAGCATTGACTTTCTTTTTTTTTTAAAGATTTATTTATTTATTTATTTATTTATACAAGCACTGGGCACAGTCAGAAGCACGGGAGAGTGAGAGAATTCCCCAGACCCAGAGTGGGGAGCAGAACAGGCAGACTGATGAAATACACTGCTGAGGGGAGCAGCAGGCGTGGCGGGAGAGGCCAGCACGCCATGTGAGGCCTTCGCACCTTGTGGGACCCTCGCCGGTGGCCAGCGATCGAACCGGTGCTGCAGAGGCTGCAGGCAGCTTCCAAGCCCAGTGGTCAACTGCTGCGTCACCGGGGAGGCCCCTGGCGTTGACTTTCTTAAGTAGATTTTAAGACATGGGCAGTTTCCAGTGGTTCCCCCCCACGCTCTCGTGTCTAGAGCTCCCACTTGACACCAAGGCACCTGCCCTCCTGCCGTGTCTCCTGCAAGCCTCCTGGTGGGAAGGTGTAGCTTTTCTAAAATGTCTTTATTTTACCTCCATTTGGAAGGATGTTTTTGCTGGGTATAGAATTTAGGTTTTCTTTCAGCACTGAAGGTGTCCCATTGTCTTTTTTTCTTGCATTTATTCTTACGAGAAATTGGTGGTGATTGTTTTTTTTTTTTTTATTTCTCTGTGTGTGTTTTTTTTTTTTTTTTTTTTTGTGGGACCCTCACTGGTGGCAGGGGAACGAACCGGCGCTGCAGAGACTGCGGGCAGCCTCGCAGCCCAGCGCTCAACTGCTACGCCACCAGGGGAGGCCCTCTGTGTGTTTGTTTTTTCTGCTGTTAAGGTTTCTTTTAAGCAACTTGATTTTGAACATCCTAGTTATGGTGTGTCTTACTGTGGGTTTTTGTGTGCATTCCGCTTGAACGTTGGTTTATAGTTTGCCTCAGATTTGAAAATCTTTAGCCAGTTCTTCAAATAGTTAGCACGGTATTTACTCACAAGGCTCTGCTTGTCTTTTTTTTTTCTTTTTTAAAGACTTATTTATACAAGAACTGGGGCACAGGCCAGATGTGTGGGAGGGTGAGAGGATTCACCAGAGACAGAGCAGGGAATAGAACAGGCAGACTGACCGAAATACACTGCTGAGGGGAGCAGCGGGGGCGACAGGAGAGGTCTGCCGCGCCATGTGGGTATCTCGCTGTCCAGCCGGGATCAAACCTGCGCTGCAGAGGCTGCGGACAGCTTCGCAGTGCTGCGCTCATCCCACTGCACCACTGGGGAGGCCCTGCTCGTCTTTTTCATCAGCATTTCTCTCCTGCTTCAGTTTGGATAGTTTGGGGTGGGGGAGAGGAGGAGAGAGGGGGCGACGGGGTGAGCAGGGACAGGAGGAGAGTTTGGGGTATGGGGAGTGCGGAGTGTTGTGGTGGGCTGGCCTGGCCTGGCCTGGGCCTGGGGTCTGGATCTGGGCTTGGGTCTGGGCCTGGGCCAGGCAGGCGGGGCAGGTACTCTGCAGGGATTGGCTTGTCTGTGGCCACTGAGTAGCGGCACCTTCCTGACCGTCCCCAGCTGGGGAGACGGGCCAACGAGGCGGCTGTGGGAGGGGTATGAGGCTCGGACCCCTGGGTGGGCACGCAGGCTGCCCCGGGCTATGAGGCGGGGCAGGGTTTGTGGGGCCCACATCATCTCTGCCTGGGGGACACCGGCGGTGCAGGTTTTGTCTCCCTGTCAGGGCCCAGAGGTCACCACCTTGGGCCCCTGTGGCCTTGGTCTCTCCTAGTTGCTCATTGTTGCCGGACAGTGCTGGCCCAGAGAGACTCGGCACAGACTGGCAGCCCCTGCCCCTGGTCTGAGGTCCCCGTGGCCCTGGCCGCAAAGCTCAGACTTGCAGTGCCCCTGTGGGAGCAGCTGCCAGAAGCCTAGGGAAGCATGTGGGGTCCAGGCGTTGGAGGGGGAGACGCTTCTCATGTCCAACAGACCGGAGCTCTCACCTGAGTGCCAGTTCCCTTGGGGACCCCCTCGCCCGGATAGTGGACCGTCACCCCACCTGCGTGTCTGCTCCCCCTTGCCGGCCCCCCCCCCCCCGCCACCGACTTTCTGGGTTCATCTCACCAGATGTACCCAAGTGCCCCTGGTGGGGGGCTGCCCTTGGTGACTGGAGGTGCCGGTCACTCCGGAGCTCTCGGGCTTCTGGGGAAGATCCCAAAACACAGGAAGTGACTCCCTATTGTGGGGCCCTCTTCCTCTCCCAACTGCTCAGCTGTGGGGGCGGCGGGGAGATGCTGGTTAGGGACCCCGGGGCTGTGGCCAGAGGGGCAGCCCCCTTGTGGGGTGGGTGGCAGCCCATGGATTTGTGGGTGAGGGCGTGTGGCCGGCGGAGGGCGTGCTGGCCACTCTGGAGGAGACCCCCGGCAGCTGGCAGGCTTTGCGCCACCAGCGGTGCTGAGGCGGGTGGACAAGGGAGCGGCCACTCCCTGGGCCCCGCCCCGGCCTGCCCCGGCCCCGCCCCTGGCCTGCCTCGGCCCCGCCCTCCCCCAGCTCACTTGGCCCCCCCGCAGGTCGGAGCTCTCCGACGCTGTCCTGCCTGTGCACGCCTCTGACGTGCTGGACATGCCCGTGGACCCCAACGAGCCCACCTACTGCCTGTGCCACCAGGTGTCCTACGGGGAGATGATCGGCTGCGACAACCCCGACGTGAGTGTCCCCCGGGGTGCGGGCTGGGCGCCCAGGGCCCTCCTGACCGCACCCCTTTCTCCGCAGTGCCCCATCGAGTGGTTTCACTTCGCCTGCGTGGACCTGACCACGAAACCCAAGGGAAAGTGGTCAGTATGGGCGCCTGCCAGGCTGAGCCCCCGCGGGTGCAGGCGTGTGATCGGTGGGCCTGTCCCCCGCCGGGGCCGTCTTTGCCTATGTCCAGCTGCCGGGCAGCTCCTGCGCTGCTCCTCGTGTCTCTGTCCACGCAGACCCAGCCAGTGGCCTGAGCGCGCATGTCCCGGCGAGGACGGCCCCTGGCTGGGCGCAGTGGAGGCTGCTAGGGACCCGTGGTCATCCAGGCTGCCTCCAGCCGGGTCGTGGCTGGCCTCGGCAGACTGCCCCGTGGTGGCCAGGGCTCCCCCAGCCAGGGCCTTGGGAGGTGGGCCTGAGTCTGGGCTTGAGGAGGGTGAGTCGGCGGGAAGGGGAGGAGGAGGGGCTGGGGCTGGGTCCTGGGTCATCCCGGAGTCACCCTGGTCTTGGGGCTCTTTCGGTGGGAGGCGCACAGCAACTCTGACGTGAGGCGTGAGTGTGTTTGGTCGCCGCGGTGGCGCTGGGGGTGGGTGGCTCGGTGCTCTTTGCTGGCCTGCTGGACGCTGTAACCACTGGCCGGGCCAGCTCAGCCACGTGCCCTTGATGCCTCCTGCACCGAGCACAGGCCGAGGCAGAAACCGCGTGGAGTGTGGCTCATGATCAGCAGCTGCCAGTGTCGGGATGCCCGACGGCAGCCCCACATCTCAGGTTGTGCCGGTGGCCCAGGGTCCCAGGAGCACGGGACTGTGCAGGGGCCGCCCCACACCTGCTGCCCTGCCCCATGGGAGCCTCACGATGGGCATGCGGGGTGGGCAGCTGGGGGGCGGGGCTGCTCAGGGCCAGCTACTGCGGCCGCGTCCCAGGGCTCCAGGAGGCAGTCCTGCCTCTGGCTGGTGGGAGTGGCACCGGGGGCTGACTGGGCCTCTCCCGCAGGTTCTGCCCGCGGTGTGTGCAGGAGAGGAGGAAGAAGAAGTGAGGAGGCCGCCTGCGGCAGACGAGCGGGTCAGCGTGTGTGCCTCCCGTCACCTTGCGATGTTTTATCTTCATTTTATAACTACCTTGTTTCAGATGATATTTAATAATTCAGTGGCCAGTTGTCATTCTGGATCTTTCCTAAAACACCCAAGAATCCACCTGAGCCGTTTGCACAGCGGATCCCCCCCCCCCCACCCCGGGGCACTTGCCACGGTGACTTGATTCTCCTGACTGTACAGGGCAGCCGAGCGCAGCAGCACCCTGGGGTGCTCGGTGCCCGCCCAGCAGCCGTCCTGGCCTGTGGGGTGAGCCCGCGTGGCAAGCGCTCCTGGGGAGCGCTCCCCCACACCTGGCCTCCGTGAAGGCGGGCTCTGCTGCTGCTCAGCGTGCGCCTTCCCCTCACCCGTGACGGCCAGGTGAGTGGCCGCCTGTACTGTGAAGATGGAGGCTCTGTGCGGCCAGTGCCGTGGGAACCCCCAGACTCCAGCGCCCATGGGCGCAGCTCCTGCCCTGCCGAGATGGCTGCGAGCCACAGAGCCTGGCGTTGGGCCTGGTGAGCAGGGGAGGCCGGAGTTGCCACTGCGCCCCCCGACTGCTACGCTCATGGCGTCCCCTTCTTTTTTCTTGTGTTTCACCAAGAAGAGGAACCAAAGCAGGAAGACGCCTGTGGAGCCGTCCCGGGCCGCTGAGAGGAAGCCCCAGCCGGTGCTGGCCATCAGGACGGGCTGTGATGGCGGCCTCGGGGCTGGCAGCCTCCTCGGCCTCAGCGCATGCTGTGCTGCTGGCCTGGCCCTGGGATTGGAGCTGGAGGGCGGGGCCGGCGGCACAGCCCGCCTCGGCCAGCACCGGACACGTTCAGTTTAGAAATGTAGCTTTTGTCGACACAGGTGTGTAAAGATGGTGGCCACGTTTCCCCGCACTGTCTGTGCCCAGGGAGGGCGGCAGGTACAGAGGCTGTGGTGCCATGAGCAGCACCTCCTGGCGCTCCTCGCCCGGGACCAGCCTGCATCCTCCGCTCCCAGGCCGGCCGGATGGTGTCGCCGGCGCTGTGTGGACCCTGTGCTGACGTGTCCTATGTGTTTGTGCTGACGTGTCTGTGTTTACTTTTACCGGTTACAATAATATCAGCAAATGGACGTGCATGTAGCGTGGAGAAAACAAAGCACGAGCCGAGGCGAGGACCCCCCCTGACCGTTTGGATCCTGAAGGTTAGCCTTGTGCCTACCTGGCCCTCAGTCGCAGGAGAGTGGTGGGCCTGCCCGCTGTGCCACGCAGGGGCAGCCACGTGGCCCGACCACGCCCACGCCCACCAGCTGCCCGAGCTCACCTGAAGGGGTCGAGGGGGGTCTGGGCTGAACCCACCAGATCCTCTTACACAGAACCTGGGCCAAGGCCTGGGCGCTCTGGGGCAGGGGCTGGGGTAACTTGCGCTGGGCGGGGGGTGCGGGCAATGACCACGCCTCGTCTAGGCTGTGTCCTCAGTGGGCTGAGGCACTGCCCGGCCCTCCGGGGTGCGCCCGCCCAGCACTACGTCTGTGCAGACTGTGGAAGCCGTGCTGGCCGCCTGACGGACAGCCCTGGGCAGTAGTGCTGATGGGGAGGTGGCTCCCGTGTGGCTGTCTTGGGGCATCGGACATTGGGAACGGGCATCAAAGAGGGAAGGCCGTCCAGGTTTTTAGTGAAATGTGATTGGTGGGTGTGACCTGTGCCCAGAGGAGCCGTGAGTGGGGTCTGGACACCCCCTCTCCTGGACCCAGTCGTGAGGGCCGGCCTCTGTCCATCCAAAAAGATGATGCAGCTTTACCAGGAATGTCACGTCGTGTTCTCAAGGAGTCGTTACCTGTGTTCTTTGTAAAGGGAAGGCGATACTGCGAATCTTTTTATTAAATAATGTAAAAGATGTACATCTGTATTTTTGGATCGTGTTATAGATTATGGATATATTGTTTAATAAATAAAGTATTTTTTGGAACAACCGCTGCGCGCCTGTCATCGGGTGGGGAGCACTGCCTGGCCGCGCGGGCGCGGGCGCGGGGCGAGCAGAAGCCCGGGGCACAGGCTGTCCCCAAGGGCCTGCAGGGTGGCGACACCCCTGTGGGACTGACTTCTTGGGGTGCGTTTGCAGTCTGGCCATCTCAATGGGGGGGCACAGCCCCCCTTCACAGACGACGGCCAGTTGCCAGCCCCGCTGTTGCTGCAGGGGGGACCCGCCTGTGGGGCCCCGCGCCCAGGCCCCTGCGGCTTTCGGGGGCTGCGCGGACGGGAAACCGCAGTTCCTTGGGGTCCTTGCACCGCCCTGCCGGGCCGGGGCGGGCCGTGCGGTGTGTGTGTGGGGGGGCGGGCCGGGCGGTGCTGGGGCGGGCCGGGCGGTGCCGAGGGGGGCGGGGGCGGGCCGGGGCGGTGCCGGGGGGGCGGGGGCGGGCCGGGGCGGTGCCGAGGGGGGCGGGGGCGGGCCGGGCGGTGCCGGGGGGGGGCGGGGGCGGGCCGGGCGGTGCCGGGGGGGGGCGGGGGCGGGCCGGGGCGTTGCCGAGGGGGGCGGGGGCGGGCCGGGGCGTTGCCGAGGGGGGCGGGGGCCGGGGCGGGTGCCGGGGGAGGGCGGGGGCGGGCCGGGCGGTGCCGAGGGGGGGCGGGGGCGGGCCGGGGCGGTGCCGGGGGAGGGCGGGGGCGGACCGGGGCGGTGCCGGGGCCAGGCCCGCGGGACTGCGCCTGCGCAGTGTCCCGGCCCGCCCCCCGGCGCGGCGGCGCGAGTCCGGCCGTTCTGCGGCGCCAGGCGGGGCCGCGGACGTGAGTGCGTGCGCGCGGACGTGAGTGCGTGCGCGCGGTCGCGTCGGAGGTCCGGGCTGCGGCCTGGGGCGCGGGGCAGGCCGGGAGCGCGGGGTGGGGCGGGGGCTGCGCAGGGCGAGGGCCGGTAGGGGCGGGGGCGCGGGGGCGCGCGGGGGCGCGGGGGCGCGCGGGGCGCGGGGCGCGCGGGGGCGCGGGGCGCGCGGGGCGCGGGGGCGCGCGGGGGCGCGCGGGGGCGCGGGCTGCGCGCGTGCACGGCGGCTGGGCTGACCCGGCTGCCCCGCGCGGCGCCTGCCCGGCCCGGACGCGGAGGTCGCCGAGGTGCCGCGGGCCCGTCGTGCGGGGCGCCCGGGGTGGGCGCCGCCGGCCGGCCGGTCTGGGGAGCCGTTTCTCCCGCGCGCGGGGCGCGGCGCCCGGGAGCCGAGGAGGCTGCCTGCCCCCGACCCCGGCACCCCGCGCCCCCAGACCCCGGCGCCTCCATCCTGCTCCCCCTCGGGGCGCGGGTCCCGCCTCCTGAGCCGGCCCGCGCCAGGCTCGCCTCGGGTCTCTGCGCGGCCGGCGCCTCCGCTCTAGCCCTGCCCCTTGCCTTGCAGGCGGCGTGATGGCGCCCCTTCTGCTGCCCAGGCGCGCCGGGGGGCTCCTTCGGTGGCGGGCAGCCTGCGCGCCTGGGGCCTCGGCAGAGCAGAGGACACGGGCCGCTGTCCCCGGGACCTCTGGGCCGGGCGGCCCTCAGGGCGCCGGCGCCCCAATCTGCAGGGGCAGCTCCTCCGGGGCCCCCCAGGTGCCGCTGACCCGGGAGCGCTACCCCGTGCGGCGGCTGCCCTTCTCCGAGGTGTCTGAGGACGACCTGGCCGCCTTTGAGCGCCTTATCCCCGGCAGGGTGGTCACGGGCCCTGAGGAGGTGCAGGCTTCCAACGTGGACTGGCTGAGGTCCCTGCGAGGTGAGGGGTCTGCTCGGGCCCGGGGGCGGCTGGGGCCAGCAGGACATTGCCGCGTGGACTGTCCACCCAGGTCCAGCGTGTTCTGAGAACGGCCTCCTGAAGGCCAGGCTTTCCCAGCCCCCACAGCGGTGTGCCCTGGCCCTCCCATGGGGGGCCCCAGGGGAGCTGAGGGCTGTTTTCATTCTCCCAGCCCAGGACCCCGTGCGAAGTGCCAGTCCTGGGGGTTGGGGAGCCCTGGGCGCCTCCTGGCCTGTCCCTGGGCTGAGTTGCCTGAGGGTGGGCCCAGCTCGGGGATTCACTGGGCATGGGCATTCATGGGGAGGGCGAGCGGGTACAGGGCTTGCGATCAGGAGTCCACGGGCTGGCTTGGAGGCGACTGAGGGGTCTCCAGCGGGAGCCGTGAGGTTGGGGTGGACAGCAGAATGGGGCATACCCACAGGAGGAGCTGCCTCTTTCTAGAGGTGGGTAGAGCCCGTGAGCAGGTGGATGTACTTAGAAAGTTACCCCCAGCCACCACCCCCCACAGCGGGCAGGGAGGGTCAAGGGCGCTACACCCATGGGTGCTCATCGAGGAGCAGCGGGAGAACCCTGGGGTCGCCCGGCAGGTTCGGCGTCAAGAGGGACAGCAGCACCCTGGGGTGGGCGAGCTGAGGGCCGGGCTGCCCGCCGCCCCTCTCAGGCACGCCCTGGGGAGGCAGGAGAAGGTGTGGGCCCGGGGCAGGGGAGCGCACCTGACGCCCTCATCCCGCAGGCTGCAGCCGGGTGCTGCTGCGGCCGCGGACGGCCCAGGAGGTGTCCGGCATCCTCAGGTAACGGGCCGCTGGCTGCACGGGGGCGGGCAGGCGGGGCCGCGGGGCTCTGTGCCCGGTGGGTGTCGGGTCCCGGGTGAGCTGCGCCGGCAAGAGCTCCGTTCCCGTGAGGAAGGGCCTGGCCTTTCCCTGAAAAAATGATTTTTTAACTTTTCCGTCTGGACAAACGGTCATGTTTATTGTGGCAAAATTGGAAAATGGCAACAACCTTAAAGCAAATCGTGCTCCCCTGCCGTGGCCTTCGGGACCCCGCGGCGTGGAGCGGGCGGCACCCCAGGGGCGCGGGCGGGGTGGGGGACGGGGCCTGACGCCGGCCTGCGCCCCCCAGGTACTGCCACGAGAGGAACCTGGCCGTGACCCCTCAGGGCGGCAACACCGGCATGGTGGGCGGCAGCGTGCCCGTCTTTGACGAGATCATCCTGTCCACCAGCCTCATGGACCAGGTCCTCAGCTTCCAGGACGTGTCCGGTAAGCCGGCCTTGGCGGCGGCAGCCCCGGCCCTGTGCCGCGGGCCCTCGGGGAGACCCCAGCGCCGGCCGCGCTGCCGCCGCCGCCGCCCAGACGTGTCTGCGTTGGGTGTCGTGAGTTTCATGGGCTGCCTGGGTGGCGCGCCGCGGGCTTTGGGTGTGGGGTGGCTCTTGCCAGCCTCCCGCCCCACGCGGGCATTGCTGCCAGGACCCAGTTCTGGGGTGTGAGGAGGCGGCTGCTCGGCGGCCCCCAGGCCTGTGTCCACCGCCCAGCGGCAGCTCCCGTGAGCGCCCTCGTGCTGTGTGCGAGGCGACGGCCCTCCCTGGCTCCTCTTGGGTGGGGTGGGCACGTCTCTGCGGGCGGCCGGTGTGGGGGGGGCAGGGTGCCCTCGCTCACAAGTGCGTGCGCAGGGGCACTGGTGTGCCAGGCGGGCTGTGTGTTGGAGCGGTTGAGCCAGTTTGTGGAGGAGCGGGGCTTCGTCATGCCCCTGGACCTGGGCGCCAAGGGCAGCTGCCACATTGGGGGCAACGTGGCCACCCACGCAGGGGGCCTGCGGTTCCTGCGCTACGGCTCGCTTCGGGGGACCGTGCTGGGCCTGGAGGTGGTGAGTGGCCGCTGCCCTGCGCCTAGTGTCCGCTTGCCCGCTGCCGCGGGGCCTGCCACATTTGCTGGTGGTACAGCAGCCTGGGATACCCATCCTGGCTGGCCTCAGGCCTGCACTTCCCACACCGCGCCTGATGACCAAAATGATTTGGGCCCCTCGTGACTGACCGTGGGGCCTGAGGCGGGGCCGCGCCAGCTTGGAGAGCTCAGCTGCCCCCGTGGGCACCCGGCGTGGGGTCATGAACCCCCCTCAGCAGCCGCTGCTCTCGGCCTCCTGGCCACGCTGCTGTGCCCGCCGTCTTCCTGGCCAGGGCACCACGCAACTCTCCCGCGGAGCCACCTCCATTGCCATGGTCACACGTCCTGGCTGCCCCTGCCCCGCCCGTCGGGGGCTGAGGTCCTTTTCGGGAAGCCTGCTGGGGGACTGCCACGGAGATGCATGCCCAGCCCCTCACCCCCCAGCCCGAGCCAGAGTCCAGGGCTGGGGGCCCTGGGACCCAGCCACCACCTCCCTCTCACAACACCTCCCCACCCCTAGATGCACCTCCCCCGGCGCCTCTCCCCCTCCCCAAGACTGTCCCTGGGGGCTGGGGGACACTGAGTCCATCTGTGGGCGACTTCGGTTGGTGCCCTTGGCTGGGCTTCCTCAGGCTGCCGTCTGGGAACTGTTGCCTACCATGGCCAGGCCTCTTGCCCCCCAGGTGCTGGCAGATGGCACGGTCCTGAACTGCCTGACCTCCCTGCGCAAGGACAACACCGGCTACGACCTGAAGCAGCTCTTCATCGGCTCCGAGGGCACCCTGGGGGTCATCACCGCCGTGTCCCTGCTGTGTCCACCCAAGCCCCAGGCAGTGAACGTGGCCTTCCTCGGTACGGGCGTCGGCGCGGGGCCAACTTCTGTGGGGCAGGCACCGGGTCCACAGTCCGCCTGGTGGGGGGGCCAGGCCTGCCCTCCCTGCCCTCTCAGTGTGTCCAGGCTTGTCCTCTTTGGTCCTTGGCCCCAGCTGGGCACAGGCCTAGGCCTCCTCGGACAGCGTGGCTGGAGCGTGGTGCCTGCCTCTCACTCCCCGGGGTTGCTCACGGGTGTCTGTGGCCCCCTGGGAGAGCCTCTGGGCCTGGGACGCAGCTCCCTCCCCCTGCGCCCAAGGGCCCACCCCTCGGGTGGTGACCTCCTGTGGACCTGCGACCCTGTCCCCCCACCCTGCCGGCCCCTCAGCTCCCTCTGCTGTTTCTTAGCTGCCAATCCCTTGCGTCCAGTCGCCCTGTGGACGTGCAGGTGGTTCTGCTGTGGCCTTTCCCTAGAACCTTCTTCCTGGGTCCGCGTGACCTCTCCGTGCCTTTGATTCCGGTCCCCAGTGGCCAGGCGGGTCCTCCCCACCGGGGATCTCGGACATTCACCGCCAGGACAAGTGTGATCCTTTTCTGCCTCCAGGCTCGATGGTCCACACCCCCAGCGGGGTACCCCAGACCTCTGCTCATAAGATGTCTTGAGCAAATCGCCAAGGACCGGCGAGGGCTGATGTAGAGAGCTGGTCTGGCTTCTGGCCCTGGGTTTGTGGCGCCCACCTGGGGCTGGCTCTCTGGTTTCCGCCACCTCCCGGTCCTGTGCCCCAGCGACTGCTGGCCCCGGCGGCGGGGCCTGAGCACTGGCCGCTCCCTGCAGGGTGTCCAGGCTTTGCCGAGGTCCTGCAGACCTTCCGCACCTGCAGGGAGATGCTGGGCGAGATCCTGTCAGCCTTCGAGTTCATGGACGCCGAATGCATGCAGCTGGTCGGACGCCACCTCCACCTGGCCTGCCCCGTGCGAGGTAGGGGCCAGAAGCGCGCCCTGTTGGGGGTCAGCACTTGGTTGTGCTGCGCCTGCCAGGGCGGGGCGTTGGGTGGTGTCCAGGCTCTGGGTGCGGCACGGGGCGCACACATGCCTTCCCAGCTGAGGGCCACGGGAGGAGCAACCTCGCCCCGCGCGCGCCAGCAGGGGGACCCCTGGTCGCTCTCGGCAGGGCCCTCGACAGGCGTTTGCCTCAGGCCCTCAGGGGTCATGGTGCCGGGTCTTGCGCTTCTGAGATCTGCCCTGAAACTTGGGGCCAGCTTCATGGTGCCCAGGCTGGGCAGCTGCAACCGGACAGTCATGCTCAGAGTCGTGCTGGCTGAGTGGCTCCCGGCCCTGTCCGCGGGAGCCGCCGCCCACCTGTGCGGCCAGGAAGCTCAGCCGTGCCTGGCACGTCCCCCTGGGCCCCCGGCCAGCGCTGCGTCCTGTGCCTTCCTTCCAGAAAGTCCGTTTTACGTCCTGGTGGAGACCTCGGGCTCCAGTGCCGGCCACGATGCCGAGAAGCTGACCGCCTTCCTGGAGCACACGCTGGGCTCCGGCCTGCTGACCGATGGGACAGTGGCCACTGACGAGAGGAGGATCAAGGTTGCAGGGCCAGCCACCCTCCGCCCTCACGGGGCCACCCACAGGCGCTTGGGGCTCAGGGGCCCGGCAGCTGTCCCAACCTCGGTGGTCAGCATGTCTGCTCTGCATTCCCCAGGCAGAGGCCGGGCGGTGGGTGGGAGTCCCCAGGACAGGGTGTTGATGTCCCCCTTTTGGGGCATGGGTGGGTCTCCCCGCTGACCCTCAGTGGTCGCCCGTGGGCTACTCTCTCTAGCGTCCGTCTTTCCCTTCGCAGGTAATTCTCTGTCTCCTGGCGCCGCACAGGAGGAGCCCGCAGCGTCCGCTGCTCAGGCTGCGGCTTGTGTCCTGGCGTGCCGAGTCGGACGGGGGCACCGGGGTGCTGTCCTCCCATCGGGAGGCCACGGGCTGGGGTAGGGACAGTGTCACTGGGTGCTGTGAGGGGCCTGTGGGGGCACCCCCAGCCCTGAGGTGAGGGGCTCGCCCAGGGCCGCGGGATGGCCCGGTTGACAGCAGGCTGGGGGCGCCCTGGGCGGTGGGGGCAGCCAGGGCGGGGTGGGGGGCGGGGGAGGCAAGAGCGTGGGCCGGGGCAGGGGGTCGCACGGGGCCACCCTGACTCCAGTGGCCTCTCCGGCCGCCCCAGCTTGTCTGCGCTGCCCTCCCGGCCCGGCCCCTCCCATCCGCTTCCCCCACCCCACGCCCCTCGGGGAGGGGCCCTTGGGCTCCGAGTGGCTGTGGCTGCTTGCTGGGCGCGGGCTGGCCATGGGTTCTCCGCGGACCTGCTGCTCCCGTGTCCCCGCAGATGCTGTGGGCCCTGCGGGAGCGCATCACCGAGGCGCTGAGCCGCGACGGCTATGTGTACAAGTACGACCTGTCCCTGCCGCTGGAGCGGCTCTACGACCTGGTCAGCGCCGTGCGCGCCCGCCTGGGGCCCGGGGCCCGGCACGTGGTGGGCTACGGCCACCTGGGTGAGCAGGCCGGGGTGCCGGTGCGGGGCGCGGGGCTCAGCCCTTCTCTCCCGCTGGGAATGCGAGCTGCCCATGGGGCGTGGAAAGCAGCGCGTGGCCCGGGGTCCTCTCGGCAGAGGCCGTGGTGGCCACCTCGGGCACTGGCCGGGCCGGACCTCCCTCTCCACGCCCTCCCCCGTGGCAGCGCCCCAGGCCTGGGGGTGGAGCGCGCGGCCGGGGCTCCGTTTCTGGGACCACCTCGCGCCGCGGCCTCTGTGAGCCCCTGGGTCCGCGGGAGCATCTTCCCCTCCCCGCACACACGGGCGCCCTGGCCACGTGAGGGTTGCCCTGCGCGTCACACAGCGGCCAGAGAACTTGGCTTTTGTCCTGCTGGTCGCCTGAAGCCTGGCCTCGGCTGTCTGTGGTCAGCTCTCCCTGCTGGTCCCTGGGGAAGGCAGTGCTGAGGGGTGGCCCCGGGCAGCCCCTCGGGCTGAGCCAGCAGGAGCCTTCTGCCTCCCGCCAGCGACGAGAGTGTCAGGCAGCCACACAGCCCTGTCCCCAGGGCTCAGAGCTGCCCACCCGCTGCCCAGCGTCCCCTCACTGGGCCTCCCCTTGCTGGTCTGCCCTCGCCCCGCTGGCCTGTTACCGCTGGACATCCTGTGTCCCACTCAGCGGCCGTGTCTTTCAGTGCAGCAATTGGTTGAGTTATGCTGGGGTGGTTCCTGCGTCGGTGGCCGGCGGGCCTTGGCGGTGGTGCTGCCCTGTCCCGGCCAGGCGAGGGGAGGCTCTGGGCAGCTGCGTTTCCAGGTGCCCGGGTGGGGCTAGGGCTGCCTCGTGCCGGCTTTCGTCGACACAGCTGATGGGTGGAAGGTAGTCCAGCGAGGCGGGTCCCTCTCAGTACTGGGCGTGGCTGCCCGTGGCCTTTGTCTCTTCCCGTCTGTCCACCTCTGCGCCTGTGCCCGCCTGCCTGTGCCCGTCTCTGCGTGTCTCCATCCTGCTCCTCCCGTTTGTTCCTCCGTCAGACGGGCCTGGGCCGGCCGAGTCGGGGGAGACCCCCAGCAGGTTTCCTGGGCACTGCCGGCCGGGCGCAGGGGGTGGCTCCCTTTAGCAGACAGCAGTTCCCTCGAGCTGCCCCGCGGCGAGGGCCCTGTGCTCTGGAGGCTGGGCTGGTGGGTCAGACCCACCCGGGACACGTGTTGTGGTGGGACCAGGGCCCGCCTCTGATTTGCTCTGACCTTCCTGGTGGGGGGCTCCCCGCGTCCCGCACTCCTGGGGCTTTACGGTGCCTCTTCACCGGGAATGGCCGACCTCACCCATCGGCAGCCCTGGCCCCTCTGGAGGGGGGTGTGTCTAGATTTCTGACTCATCTCTGCAACCAACCCCCTCCAGAGTCCAGGTCCGCCGACGCCCCTCGAGCTCTCTGCGAGGGGGAACAGGGGTTCAGAGCCAGGCGGGGGCCAGTGAGCTTCTGAGCTGTGGACGCTGTGTGGGCCTGACTCGCCGGACCCTGCCCAGGGCCGTTCTTCCGTGTGGCTCTGGTGCAGTGACGTCAGGGGTTGCCAGGCCCTGTGTCGGGTGATTGGCTCCTGCAGGTGGGGCCTGGCCAGCCCACCCCGGGCCTCCTGGTGTCCTCGGCTCATGAGGCGCCGAGCAGAGTGGGTGCCTGTAGCCCAGCATGTCCTCCTTCCACACCCGCTGCCGTGGGCCAGGCCCCTGGCCTCTGCCCTCAGTGTTTCGTGGATGCGTTGGGGCTGGGGTCCCTGTTATGCTCACACATTTGAGAAGCCTGAAGAGTGGCGCTAGGACCCTAAGAAGTTCAAGGTCACTGGGTCAGAGTGGCCTCCCAGACACTGGCCTGGGGGCAGGGGCAGGTGGGGTGAGGAGGGCTGTTGGGAAGGTCCCAGGGCCCTGGCTAGCCCGACCACGGTCTCTGTTCCTGCAGGGGATGGCAACCTGCACCTCAACGTGACGGCGGACGCCTTCAGCACGGCGGTCCTGGACACCCTGGAGCCCTTCGTGTACGAGTGGACGGCGGGGCAGCGGGGCAGCGTCAGTGCCGAGCACGGCCTGGGCTTCAAGAAGAAGGACATGCTGGGCTACAGCAAGCCGCCCGAGGCCCAGCTGCTCATGCGGCAGCTCAAGGTCTTGCTGGACCCCAAGGGCATCCTGAACCCCTACAAGGTGCTGCCCGCCCATGCCTGATGTGGCCAGGGCCACCGGGGGTGCGGGTCCAGAGCCGCCGGGGCAGCTGCAGACCTCCACCTGAGACTGCTGCCTGCAGGAGGGCCCGGGTACGCTGGGCTCTCAGGGCCAAGCTGGGCAGCAGTTTCGCCCACACAAGTGGCCCAGGCACCCGCCCGCCCGGCGTGCCTTGGTTTGGCCCAGTGGGAAGCTGCCGGGGCCTGTGCGGGTACTTGGGAGCTGGGTCATTGGGGGCGTCTTAGTGTTGGGGTCGAGTGGCTGGTCCCTGCTGAGCAGCCCGTCTGGGCAGGCAGGGCGGAGCTGGGCCTGTGTGAGCTGCAGGTGATGTCGCTGGTCCTGGGGCACCCGATTATTTCTAAGCAATAAACTGATTCCTGCTGGCCAAAAAATTGTCTTGATCTCGCTAATTTAAAAAATCTTATTTTTAGCCTTAAAGACGTTGAAAACCTTATTTTCTCATTACAGAAAAATATATTTAGCAAGTATTTATGATTTACCCCTAATGTTGTGGCCTCCTGCAGGGCCCGTTGCTGCGCTCCCAGCTGACTGGGGGCCAGGGGGGCTGGCACGGAGGCGCCGGGGTTAGGATGAGCATTTTCTCTCTGCATATAGGAACGTCCTATAAACATGGGGCTCGGCCCTGCTGCCGGAAGAGTGGCCCTGGGGACACACCTGGGTGTTGGCAACAGGACCAGGGGGCCTGACATCACAGGTGACCCTGGCTTGCCTGACAGTCCCCGTCGTGTGCACACCCGGGGTGCAGCCCAGGTGTGGCCCGGGGGCATGCGGGGAGCACTGCCAGCAGGTGGCGTGGGGCTGGCCAGGTGTCTGGAGGACACGGGCTTGGACATCCACGGGGGACGGGCACCCCTGGGTAGGTGCGGCCTGGGGGCCCGTCACACTCTGCCCAGTTTTGCTGGGCTGTGGCCTCTCACTGGAGAGGCCACCGAAGGGCCAGGAAGGGGTGTTTCCTGTTCCTGCTGCTCAGCAGTTTCTGTTTACACTGGTGGGGGGGGGGGTGGGGGGGTGGGGGGATAAAACCCTGATCAGGAGGGCAGCCCGGTGGGAGCAGCTTTGCAGGCAGGTGCCCCCCAGCCCGGGCCCACGGCTGCCCCAGGCAGGTGAGAAGCAGGCACAGCTGCGGGGCACGGCCCGAGCTCCCACATTCTGAGACACCTGTGGGGACCAGCTGGACAGCTGGAGGCAGCCCATGGTGCCCACCGGGGACCCCAGATCCCCCGAAAGCTGTGCACTGACATCCGGGCCCCCATGGCCCCCATGGCCCTCTGGCAACAGCACAGCCCCTGACCTGGAACCCCATAGCACCCCCCAAGCCAAGCACCCCCTCCCTCCCAGCCCCCCTGCCCCCAGCCCCCCAGCCCACCAGCCCCCCCAGCTCACCAGCCCCCACAGCCCCCAGCCCCTGGAAGCTGGCACAGCACCCGCGATCCTCCCGGACCCACCGGCCGCGAGTGAGAGGAGACGGTGCTGCAGGGCGGCCTGCTTGGCCCGGCCCAGGGAGGCCTGCTTGGCCCGGCCCAGGGAGGCCCGTCCCCCCGGCAGGCAGCACCCCCGCAGAGAGAACCCCCGGCCCCTCCCGGCCCCTCCCGGCGGCGCTGGGGACCAGAGGTCAGGAGGTGCCTGGCTGCCCTGCCCGGGCCGACCGGGGAGCCCTGCGGTCTGAGCCCGTCCGAGGTGAAGGGTCTCGTGCGGACACAGCAGCCGCGGCCGCGCCCGTGGACAGCAGCGTCGTGAGCGCGAAGGTCTTGGCGAAGGGACATGCGGACACCGGGGGACATGCGGACACTGGGGGACATGCGGACACTGGGGGATATGCGGACACTGGGGGGACATGTGGATACCGGGGGGACATGCGGACACTGGGGGGACATGTGGATACCGGGGGGACATGTGGACACTGGGGGGACATGCGGACACTGGGGGGACATGTGGATACCGGGGGGACATGTGGACACTGGGGGGACATGTGGACACCAGGGGGACATGCGGACACTGGGGGGACATGCGGACACCAGGGGGACATGCGGACACTGGGGGACGGCCCGGGAGGTCCACCAGCCGGTCCGGGCCCCGCCTTCAGGCGCTCGCGGCGGGAGCAAACTGGCTATTCGCGAGAGCTTTGCGTATTCACCGCCCAGGCCTGCGCCTCTCCAGCCGGAGCGGGGAAGATCTCATTTGCTTGGCAGTCCCGTCCACCCGCAGCTGACCGCCTGGGGGGCGGGGGGGCTTGCCTGGGGATTAGGAGAAGCCGAGGATTTGCTTCACAGCTGAGCTTCTGTAAGCCGAGGAGAGGTTACATAAGCCTGGGGGCAGCGGCTGGGCACTGGGCTGGCGGCCAGGGCAGAGCCTCGCCCCTCCCCCGCCTGCCGAAGCTGCGAGCTGGGCGGGGCCGGGAGCAGTTGGGCCCCAAGGACCTGGGGATGCAGCCCTATGGAGGGTGCCGCAGCCCCAGCCCCGTCCAGCCCCTGCCCCTGGCCGGAGGGTGGCCCTGAGCGTGCGGCGCCGTGTGGGCAGCACCTGTGGGGGCTCGAGGCTAGCGGGCTCTTAGTGGCCTCAGGAACGGGGACTGGGCACAGGTGATGGCCCCGGGGTCCCACCAGCCCTTGCCGCAAGCACGTCTGGCTTCCTGCTCAGGGCCTCCCGGCGCCTCCTGGTCTCCCAGGGCAGAAACTGGCCCAGGCTGAGGCGGCCTGTGCGGGGCGGGGCCGCTGGCCTAGAGGGGCAGGGGCAGTGGGTCACGTGGCCCGCTCCCCCCACCCCCACCCCCGCTGCCCGGATCCTGCCCAGAACCTCCCCCGCCACCCAGCTGTGCAGCAAGCCTCATACTGGGCACAGGCACGAGGGCCATGCCTGGGTCGGAGGCTGGGGCTGTGGCAGCGTCCCTCACAGCAGCGGCGGGCGCCGGAGCCCATGAGCCCCATCGGCTTGTTACAGGGCAGGGAGAGGGGCAGCCCAGAACCCGCACACCTGCCTATTCTAAATGGGTTCTGCCATCCGCCGCATCCACGCAAGACATAGGAGACTTTAACGGGAAGGAACTTTAATACAACTAGGAAACAAGACGGGAAAGGCAAAGAGTCTAGTTTCTAAATGAAGCGCCCAAAGTGACCCGTCCCCTCGTGGGTAAAAGTCCATCCATAAGGGAGCGGCCCAGAACAGGGCCCCAAAGCCTGCCACAGTCTAAAGCATCTTCCAGGGGGACCCACAGCGAAGGGCCAGAAACAACCAGACAAGCCCGGAAGGAAAAGAGCAAAATCAACATCAAGATAAAAACCGCCACTGAACCCTCCCACGGGTCTCGCCCGCATCTGTGTCCCCCGTCCACGACCAGAAGGCAGGCGCAGTGTCTCCCCGTGTCTCGGCGCCACGTGCCGCCTCCAGGGCTCCTCCTGGCTGCATCCTGCTTCCTTCCGTCCTCAGTCCCCTCTGCAGCTGCTTCTCCCTGCTCTGCTCCACCCTCCTTTTGGGTGGGGCAGGAAACCTGGAACCTCCCCCTTTCCTGGGGACCCCCCTGTTACAATCCCCCCTTTTAATTTTTATTCCACCATATCTATGGTGGCACAGATCTCAGGGTGGAGTCAGGAGACAGTCTTTTTTTAGGGTTACAATGTGTGTAAGAGAAGCAACAATTAGTCAGCAGCAGTGTCCATGAACCCTTTCCTGGGGACCATCCTGTTACAGGCTCTGCCCCCTGTCTCCGGGGGTCCCTGTGCCCCTGGCGCTCACCTGCTCCATGCCCAGCCCTGGCCCTCCTGGGGCTCCGCCGTGGCTTGTGCCTTCTGGTCCCCCAGCCATGGCCCTGGGGTTCCACCTTCACCAGCTATCCATCCAGATTGTGGGGAGCTGAGACCCAGCTGGGCGGGGTGTCCAGGGTCCTCCCGCCCTCAGGGCAGGGTTGGGAGGGGCGCCAAGCCCAGGCAAGGGTGTTGGAGGTTGGGGGGCTGGGCAGAGAGGGGAGCATTCCTGTGGAAGGTGGGGCCCGGCCCTGTCTGCGGGGGCGGGACGGGGAGGGTGCGTGGAGTCCAGGCGTGCCATGGCCGCGGGCTGCGGGAGGTAAGCGGAGAGGGAGGCGGGCAGCCAGGCCTCCCCTGGCTCCGGGCACCAGCTCTCCGGGTGGCTGGCAGGCGCTGGGGTAGGCACCAGGCTCTGTCCTTGGTCCTTGGCCCTCCTAGACTGGCCGCCTGCCCACCGGCAGGGTGCCCATTCCAGGGCAGAGGGTACAGCCCTGTGGGTCCCAGGGAGACACCTGCCCGGGCCTCTGCAGGCCTGGACCAGGCCTGCCCTCTCTAGTGGTGTGTACGCCCTGGCTGCTGCCCACTGTCCCTTCCCACCCTGTACCTTGGGGGTGAGCAGAGGCACAAACCTGGGCCTCAGGCCCCATGGTGTGGTGGAGGAGGGGGGCTCACGGGGCTCCGAGGGGCTCTTAGTGGGGGCAGGGCTGCGGGGCTGGGGCCGCGTCCATGTGCACAGGGGGCTGCTGCCCGCACCGCCCGGCCTCCCCAGCCCTGGTCATCATGGCTGCACGGATTTGCTTAGGAGAAAGGAAGGCCAGGCCTCACTGCTACAACGCAGGGGCAGCTCCCTGAAGCTACTGCCCTCCCTGGCCCGGCCTCAGTGCCCCGTCCAGGGCCTCCCCTGGGCGCTGCAGAGCCCTGGCCTCCATCTCTCTCAGTCACTCCACAGGGTCAGCCCCGGCCGCTGACCCCTGGCCTCCGCGGCTGCCTCCTCGTTGGGCTCAGGACCGCTGGCCGCTCCTGCTGGGCCTGCGGGCGCCTGCCCTGGGATGTGCCGTGGTGGCAGCGGGGATGGCCACTGGTGGCCGTGGGTTTCTCTGGCTCCCGCTGCATCTGTGCCAACACTGTGGGGCTGGGGCTCGGGGCTGAGCCCCATGGCCGTCCTGCCCCGGAGCGCCTGTGCAGGGCTCAGCCCCAGGCCAGGGGCCAGGGCCCGCGCTGCGGGGGGCTGGGGCAGGAGGCCCGAGTCCTTGCCCCGGCAGGGGTGCACGGACCCTCACGAGTGGCCTCCACTGGGGGCTCCCTCTGCCTGCCTGGGCGCCCCCCAGAACCCCCATGCCCGTGAGGCTCCTGCCGGCCCAGGCGCCTCCTCCAGGGTCCCCACCGGGCAGCTCGTCCCCCCCACCCCGAGCCGGGGCGTGTCTCAGGCCCCTTGGCCCTGCTCGGCCCCTGGCCGGCCAGAAGCCCACCCCCCCGAGTGCCCTCCGCGCTGTGCCCAGTGTCCGGCTGCCGGGCAAGCCCGCGGGGCCCAGCCGGCGGGGGTGCGAGGGCGGGTGCGAGCGCCCAGCGACTTTGCCTTTGCCTTTCCCTTGGCAAACGCGGCCAAGCTGCTGGAGACGCCCTCCTGCCGCCACTTGTCTTTGGATTATATTTATTTCCCTAAGAAAGAGTTTCCATCCGGTGTTCTTGTTTATTTCTGCTCCTGTGTCCTCCTGACAGCCCTTCCCCAGCTCAGGACGTCGTGTGGCTGGGCCACTTCTCCGGGCAGGAAGCGGAGGCCCCTGAGCTTGGCCTCCTAGTCCCCCCGCGACGCTCCACCTCCATTTCTCGTGAATGGGCATGAGAGCATTTCTCTCCGGCTCCCTTCTGGACCCAGACACCTGCTGGTTGACTGGGCTCACAGAGGGGCCAGCCTGGACTCCCGGGGGGCCGTTATGGGCAGAGCAGCAGGCGAGCCCCTGTGTGCTGGCCTCAGTGCCGGCCCGCCCCGCTGGCCCCAGGGGAGGCCCCGGCCAACCTTCAAGACTCCTGCTGGGCGAGGGTGGAGGGTGTGGCCCCACACCTGAGCCGGCAGGTGAGTTTCTGGGGAGTCAGGTTTTGCAGACTGCACAGCCTGGTGCCCGAGCCCGGCGGCTGTGAGTGGCGAGCGCGCCCCGTCCTGCTGCAGACGCCGGCATGCTGTCCGCCCCCGGGGGCCCGCAGAGGTGAGGCAGGGGCGGCTGGCAGCACAGGAGACAGGGCGTCCTGTGTCTTTCAAAGGACCCACCAGGCCTTTCCCGAGTTCACCTCCTGCCCGCCCCCTGGTCCTGGCCCTTGGCCTCTGGGGGGCATGGCCCAGGGCCGGGGGCCACAGTTTGGTGTCTGGACTGGACCCCTGGCCCGGCGCTGCAGTCAGTGCTGTGGCTGCCTCCTGTCCCTGGGCACCCTCCGGAGCTCCCCAGCAGCGGATAGAACCCCCGACTCTCTTCGGGACCTTCTCGCAATTTGGGGTGCTGCACCCTCTGTGCTGGTCTTGGACCGGGTGTGGGAGGCTGAGGGGCCCCTCCAGCGAGGCCTGGAAAGGCCATGGGGCTCTGAGCCTGGTTGGCCCCACCCCTGCCCTGGGGGCCCAGGGCTGCAGGGAAGCCTCACCTCCCCTTTGTCTGGTGCAGAGTTCCAGGGCCTCTGTCTCCTTCGGGAGGGGGCGGTTCCAGTGTTCGGCCCTGTGGAAGCCATCAGCGCATGGGCAGGAGGGCTGGGGGCCACCCTGGGGCCGGCCCGAGCTGCCCGCCTGGCACTGCAGCCGGCCTCCTTGGGCAGTGAGGCCTGAGTGGAGACCAGGGCCGGAGAGACCCAGGTGTGGAGGGGGTGTGGGTTGGGGGAGCTTGCAGATGGCCGTGGTGACCCCCCCAGGGAGGTGGCACTGACTGTCCAGGCCCTGAAGAAGGGGCTCCTGAGCCTGGTCACCAAGCCCACAAACCGCGACAGGACTGACTGCCTCTGGAGCCCCGAACAATTCCTTCAGCTGCACAAACGCTGGGAGACTCTGGGCTCGGCCAGCACTTGGGCCTGGTGCTGGGCGGATGGCCATGGCCATGAGAGTGTCCAGGCCCTGGGGACAGGGGTTGTGAGGGGTTCCGGGCGCTCCTGCCTGCAGGCGGGTGTGTCCCTTAGACTGCTGGTCTGCTGTGGGTGTTGCAGAGCCCCTCTGTGGCTGCTGATCTGGGGGCATCGCTGCTCGGCCACTGTCTTTGAGACCCAATTCAAGCTGTGGAGCCCCTGATGGTCTGCAGTGTTGGGGGGCCCCTGCAGTGGTCCCCAGTTCCTCACCCAAGTCCTGGCCTGGGACACTTGCCCCCCCAAACCCACATCTGTTTGAGGCTCAAGTCTGTCCTTGGGAATGGACATCTCGGCAGCACTGACCCTGGGAGCCTCATGGGGGACAGAGTGACCGTGGGGTCAGTGCCATTCTGACTTTAGACCTCGGGGACAGCTCGAGGTTGGGGGACAGCGTGCGGGGTGGGGGAGGCCAGGCCTGGGGGCCCCTGCCGAGGTTGACACCCAGCTAAGCTGCAGGCGGAAGCCCCTGGCTGGCGGGAGAGGTGGCCCAGGAGCAGGGCAGGGCACCCTGGGTCAGGGAATAGGAGGGTCCTGCCTTTTCCTGAGACTGGAGCGGATGGCCCACAGACTGCGGGGCCCACCCACAGTCTGTGTGGTCAGCCCCAGGCTGGTGTCCTGGATCTCGGGGCTGTCCCAGAAGCTAGGGGACCTGCCAGGCTGAGGAGGGAGGGCTGGACATGCCTTTGCGTGTTGTCTGGGTTCTCCAAACGGCCCTCTGAGCCAGGCCCAGACCACCTGCACCTCACGCCTCGGGCCTGAGGGCCGCTGCACCTACCTCGGTGGACCCGGGGTGGCAGGGGTGGGGCGCGGGGCCCTGGGAACGAGTGCGGGCCCTGCTTGCCCTGGGGCTCATCCCTGGTGGGGCACCCTGGGAGCACAGAGGCCCTCCCCATTGGGGGCTGAGCCCTCCCTGGTGACAGCGGGGCTGTTTGTCAGTCCTGTGCTAAGGGAGGAGGGGGTCACCTTCCCCTCTTGCTCCAGGAGGACTCAGCGTGGTCTAAGCACTTAGTCTGCATCTCCTGGACGCAGGAAGGGGGGACGGGGCTGGGCAGGGCTCTGTCCTCCCGCTCTGCCTGGGAGGGCACAAGGGCTGGGGCTCCTGCCCAGGCCCAATTCTGCCCCTCTGAGGAGGGGGCAGGCTAGCCACGGGGGGCGGGACGCCGGGAACTGCTGCTGCAGTGCGGCGGAGCGGCGAGCATTTGGGTGTCTGGGCTGATGCCTGAACACGGCCTGGCCTGGACGCTGAGCCCAGCCTGGGGCCACTGTCCAGTTGCACCTGCCCGCGGGGCGGGGCTGCCCGCTGTCAGGCGCGTCCTGCTCTGGGCAGAGACCGCAGCCGGACCTGCGTGGCCGAGGTGGGAGGGCCGCGCGCCAGGACCCCCTTGGCGGGCGTGACCTGGACCGTGCACGCCCGGAGCACGAGACGCCAGTGCCACGGTGGTGCTGCAGTGACCCTGGCCTCCGGGAGACCTGCTGGGCCGGCTCCGGCGCGGGGGGAGGCTGGGGGCCTCGGGTGCCGCGCAGCGTGCCTGGGGACGGGCCTTCCGCACCCGTGGTGGGCACGGGGACAGGACTTGGATGGACATTTATTTACAATGACAACGGAACTGGCAAGCGAAAACCTGCAGGGGAGATGCTCAGGAGCCGGGAGCCAAGTGGACCGAGTCCAGCTCAGAGTGTGTCCTTGGCAATGAATGGGAGAGAAACAGGCTGCGGGCGCAGGCCCAGCACACAGTAGCCGGTCCCGGCTCTCCAAGGCCTCGGCACCCCCGGCCCCGCTGTCCCGGCGCCTCTGTCCCACCAGCCTGCCCCCACGAGCCCCTGGACACTCCCAGCACCAGGCTTGCTGTCCACCGCCGCCAGGCATTCGCCAGAGGCTGGGTCCCCGCGGAACCAAGAGGGACCACGGGCGCAGTCCCCGACCCGCTGGCCGCTGCCTGCCCTCGCTCTGCCCTAGGCCAGGCCTAGCCTGGCACTGCCTCCAGAGCCCCCCACCCCACCCCTACTTGAGCACTGGGCAGTTGACATGGCGCTGCCCTGCCTGGTGAGGGCGCCAGGTGGGGGAGCAGCCAGCTGGGCCAGGGACTCGGGATCCACCGGCCCATCTGCACAGGGCCAGCCTCTGTGTGCAAGGACAGCTGTCTGTCTGCTGGGAGCCCCGGGGAGGAGTGCGCAGGCCGGGCGGGCTGGGTCAGGGGCCCTGCAGCCGGAGCGGTGGGGAAGGACCAGTGTCCACTGAGGGGGCTGACGGACGGCGCTGGGCCCGGGCCTCTGGGAGCGGGGGTTTGGCTGCCCTGTGAAAGCGAGAGAGCTGGGGCCTCCACGCGCAGCCCAGGCTCCGGGAGGCGCTCGCAGGAGGACATGTCACAACCTGGGGCCTCACCCGGGCTCGCGGCCTCTGACGCGCCAGCGCCCCCGGGCTCGGCCGGACCATGGCGGGCTGGCGCCCGTCTGTGAGCTCCTGTGCCCGGCTGGCCCTGCGTGGGTCCCTAACCCTTTCCCTATGGGGGCAGAATGTCGGGGGTCCCATCCCTCATCCCTGGCCCTGAAGTGAACTCGGGGTCTCAGCGCGCCCCTCTCCACCCGGCCGGGGGGCTGTCCACGGTGCACGGAGGGGCGGGGGCTCCGCCCTGTCCCATGTCCCCCAGCCCCAAGGGCCTGTACGCGGCAGGGGGTGCCGTGCTGGGCGTGCAGAGCTCAGCCTGCAGGAAGGGGGAGCGCCCCCCTGCTGATGTGTTTCTGCCTGCAGATGCTTCGGGGCCTTCCTCCTCTTCCTGGCACTGACCAGCTTCCTGCTGACCAGCTTTCTGCACCTGGACGTGGGGCTGCTCACTCCGTGAGTCCTGGGTAGGGGCTGCCCCTCCGGGCTGGCCCGCCTCTGCTGGCTCCCAGCTGGTGGTGACCTCGGTGGGCCCCGCTGCCCTGCAGGGCCCTAGTTCCCCCATAGGAGTGGGTGCACCTTCCTTGGGAGTAGCTAAGGCTCCTGGCCCCTGACCGTGTGTGTCCCTGGGCAGCCAGTCCCAGGTCCCTGGAGGCGGCGCTGGCCGGGCTGCTGTGTGCAGAGAGGGCTGTGGGCCCTGGGAGGCGGGGCTTGGGCCCAGGGTGGGCCTGGGCAGTCAGGCCCTGTCCCCTGCGCTCCAGTGCATCCTCTGTGCAGCCTGAGGTCTGCCCGTATGCCCCCAGGCCTCAGGAGGCGCCTCTGCTGAGGCGGGAGGGGTCCCCTTACTGCCCCCGCCGTCCCCAGAGCTGGCATGGGCCTCTGCAGTGGCCTGCGCCACGCCAGTCCCCCTTGCTGGCCTGTGGCAGCCAGAGAGAGAGAGCAGTCAGGCACCGGCCACTCCGGGCTGGCGCCCACGCACAGGTGGGTGTGGTGGTGGGGTCCTGGGGTGGCCGGTCCTGTGGTGGGAGGGGACGGTCTCTCAGTGGGCCCGGCGCTCCCTGGCTGACGTGCCGCCCCCCCTGCCAGCCTGCTGGAGGGCCAGGCCGAGGGGCCGCCCGTGACCAACATCATGTTCCTGAAGACGCACAAGACCGGCAGCAGCACGGTGCTCAACATCCTCTTCCGCTTTGCCGAGACGCACGGGCTGTCGGTGGCCCTGCCCAGCGGCCAGCGCTTCCACCTGGGCTACCCTTGGCTCTTCCTGGCGCATTACGTGGAGGGCGTGGGGGAGGCCGGCAGCCCCCAGCGGCGCTTCAACATCCTGTGCAACCACCTGCGGTTCAACCTGCCGGAGGTGTGCGGGTGGGGTCTGCGGGCGGGTGGGCGGCTCCGGGCCTGGCCTCTTGGGGGGGGGCACAGGCCCGGCGCCTCGTGGGCTGGCAGGGAGAGCCGCAGCCGCCCTCCCAGGCCGCAGAGTGGCAGTGCTGGCTCAGGGGGGCTCCCTGCCCTGTCCGCGGCCTTCTCTCGAGGCTCCTCCTGGTCAGGGCTGCCCAGCGGTCCCCGCCCAGGCCCTTGCACGTGCTGGCCCCTTGGGCGGGGATGCTGTTCTCGGGGTCACTGCTCTCGAGGGCGCCCCGACCTCCCTTCAAAGGCCCAGTGGCAGGAAAGGGGCAGCCGGAGGCCGGGGCACTCGCCCAGCGGGGCACTCGCCTGGCCTGGCCTGCTCCGCCGGGGCAGGAGCCGGGGCGGGCGCGGCGCGGGGGCGGCGCGGAGGAGGCCGGCCCGTCACCAGCCCCGCCCGCTTTGTGTCCGCACAGGTGCAGAAGGTCGTGGCCAACGACACCTTCTACTTCTCCATCCTCAGAAACCCCGTGTCCCAGCTGGAGTCCGCCTTCGCCTACTACCAGGGCTACGTGCCCGCCTTCAGGGCCGCGGGCAGCCTGGAGGCCTTCCTGGCCGCGCCCTGGACCTACTACAACGCGAGCCGCAGCCTGCGCAACGCGCACGCCCGCAACAACATGTGGTTCGACCTGGGCTTCGACCCCGACGCGCCGGCCGAGGAGCGCTACGTGCGCGCGCGCCTGGCCGAGGCCGAGCGGCGCTTCCCGCTGGTGCTGATCGCCGAGCACTTCGACGAGTCGCTGGTGCTGCTGCGGCGCCTGCTGCGCTGGCGGCTGGACGACGTGGTGGCCTTCAGGCTCAACGCGCGCGGCCCGGGCGGCGCCCGCCTGTCCCCCGAGGGCCGCGAGCGCGCGCGGCGCTGGTGCGCGCTGGACTGGCGCCTGTACCAGCACTTCAACCGCACCTTCTGGGCGCGCGCGCTGGCCGAGCTGGGCCCCGCCGGCTGCGCGCGGACGTGGCGCGGCTGCGGGCGCGGCGGCGCGAGCTCGAGGCCCTGTGCCTGCAGGACGGCGCGCCCCAGGGCCCCGCGCGCATCGCCGACCCGCGCCTGCGCCCCTACCAGTCCGGCCCGGCGGGCATCCTGGGCTACAACCTCCGGCCGGGGCTGGGCCCGCGGGCGCGGCGGCGCTGCCAGAGCATGGCCACGCCCGAGCTGCAGTACATGGCGCGCCTGTACGCCCGGCAGTTCCCGGAGAAGCCGCCCAAGACCATCCCCTTCCTGGAGGACTAGGGCGCCGGCTGGTCGGGCCCTGGCGCCCCCGCCGGCCCTGCTCGCCCTGGAGGCCCGGGGGGGGGGGGTTCCGGCCGGGGGACCCGCCCTTCGGCGTGAGGCGCTGGAGAGCAGACCGGCCCCGGCCCCCCTCTGGGAGGCCATCTCGCTGGCGACCGGCCAGGGCCCCCGCCCGGCTGGCAGCCACCAAACTCCACCCGAGCAGAGCCATCTTAGGGGACGGCGAAGTGACAGCGACAGGGCTCGCTCCCGCAGCACCTGCCCTGAATGGGAATGACAGAGAAGGGCAGCGCCGCCCTGCGCAGGCCACACGCACCTTCGGGGCGCATCCTGTGTCTTCAGGGCCGGATCAAGGGGGCGTGGTCTGTATTCACGCGGAATACTACTCAGCCTTCAAAAATGACACGCTCCGGCCTCCCTGGTGGCGCAAGGAGTTAAGCACCGCACTGTGGAGCTGTCCGCAGCCTCTGCAGCACGAGTTTGATCCCCGGCTGGCCAGGGAGCTCCCCACATGGCGCAGCAGACCTCTCCTGTCTCCCCGCTGCTCCCCTCAGCAGTGTACTTCGGTCAGTCTGCCTGTTCTGCTCCCCGCTCTGTCTCTGGTGAATCCTCTCACCCCCCGCACCTCTGGCCTGTACCCCAGCTCTTGCACGCATGCATAAATAAATCTTTTGTTTTTTAAAAAGAGAAGCGCATGCTGTTCGCAGCCACATGGATGGAGCTAGAAGGAATCATGCTCAGTGAAACAGTCAGAAGGAAAAAGAAAAATATCGCATGGTTTCACTTATAGGAGGAACATAGGGGAACCAAATAAGGGCCTGTACCCCAGTTCTTGTAGGCATAAATAAATACATCTTTAAAAAAAAACAAAAAACAACAGTGACAGTGACAAGTCAGCATGCTGCCCCAGGGCCCAAGCACAGGGTGCCCAGCGGTGCGGAACCCAGGCCTGGCTCCCTGGAGGGGCACAGCGTGGTCCCAGGGGCGCTGCCAGCAGCGCTGAAGACCTGGGGAGCGGTGCTGGATAGCTCTCCCGGCCTTGCAAGGGCCTGGCCGGCCGGGGGCTCCTAGGATGAGAGTGGTTAGAACTAAGGGGACACGGGTGCCCTCGGGCACGGGCTGAGGCAGGGGCAGCCCTGCCTGTGTTCAGGGAAGGGGCGCAGCTGGTCTGCCAGTGCTGGGTGGACCCAATGGGCCGAGCGGGACACAGTCCTGGAGGCAGCCTCCAATTACCCTCCGCTGCTGTTTGGGGGGGCTGCTGAGGGGGTTCGAGGCTGGGGCCCCCCGCGGCCTTGGGCCCTCCTGGCTGTGCTTCGTCCAGCTGGGTGAGTGGCTGGGCCCCTCTCCTGCCATCCTGGGGCCTCCCCTGACAAACCCCACAGGCCCCAGGACTGGTCGGCAGCGCAGCCTGTCGTCTCCCGGCCCCCCGAGCTGTCTTAACATCCCGGCCCTTTATCTATCAGGAGCCCTGGGACAGAGGTGGGATGAGGCAGGACCCCCGGGGCCCAAGGGAGGGGCCCTCGAAGAGCCCCTCAGTGACAGCGTGGGAGGCATGGGGATGTCCAGGCTGTGGTGGGCTTGGGGGGTGTGGGAGTGTGAGGGAATGGGGGGCGGCGTGGGGACACCCAGCCTGAGGTGGGAGGGCGGGGAGCGCCCAGGCTGTCAGGGAGGAGCCCCGCAGAGACCAAGCCCACAGGCTCTGGTGGGGGCTTGGGGGTATCTGGAGGCAGCAGAGCTCCACGTCTCATGGGTGTCAGCTGGGAGCTGATCCCCCTCATGCTCACGCACACAGGCGCACGCACGCGTCCGCCTTGCTGGAGGGTGAGCTGCCCTGAGACAGCCCCTGGCAGCAGGAGGGGCCTGGGCTGGGGCCAGGGGCTCCCTCCCTCCCTCCCTCCTTCCCGCCCGCCTGCCTGCCTGCCCACCCAGTGCACTGAGGGATGCAGGCACTCCTGCCTGCAGCTGCCAGCCCTGCGCCCGAGCCCGGTGCGTGCCGGCTGCTCCTTGGACCCCAGCCCAAGCCCCCAGGTGAGACGGGCCCTGTCCCCTCTGGCTGCCCCTCTTTGGGCTGCTCTTGGTGGGTGTGGACCCTCAGCCGCTAGCCAGAGGCTGTACGGGGCCCATGGGGGCCACTTCCTGGCCAAGTGGTGGCCGGGACGAGAGAGCTGGGGCAGATCTAGGGGTGTGGGCCTGGCCTGGCCTGCTCCGCCGGGGAAGGGCTGTGCTTCCAAAGTCCTGGCCTGGGGCCGGCGCTGAGGCAGAGCCCTGGGGTGGCAGAGCTGGGAGCCCTGCCCGGGCACACCATGCTGTGCCAGTGCCCGCTGCTGAGTTTGCTCTGCTTGTGGGTCCAAAGGACAGAGAGTACCCTGGCCGGAGGGGTGGGGCAGGCGGCCAGCCGTGCAGCCTGGGAGGCCTGTGTGAGCGGGGTCCAGGTTGGGGGTCCAGGCTGAGGAGGTGATCAGGCCAAGCCCCTGCTGATGCAGAAGGTCCAGTTTCCTGGGGCCCAGGCCAGGAGCACAGGTTCTCTTTGAGGTCCCCCTCTCTGGGCGCCAGCAACCTTGGGAGGCAGGCATCCTGGTCAGGCCAGCCCCTGGACCCGGCTCAACAGGCCACACTGGGCAGTGCCAGTTCCTGTCAGTCTGGGGGCGTCCCCCGGGCTCTGTAAACCAGGCTTGGCCAGTGCCCAGCAGCCTGTCCCCTTGCAGCAAGAGCAGTGACCAGCTGCCGTGGCGCCTCTGTCTCTCCCGCTGTCTTCGGTCCGGGGCGGGCTGGGCCTTGTGCTTCTGCTGACACCAGCCCGGGGGTCCCAGGGCCAGGAGTGAGCCAAGTGCAGAGAATGTCCTCCTTGTGCCCCCCGTGCCTGGAGGGTGGAGGGTGGGCGCCGAGGCGCCCGCACCTGCTCCCTGCTGGGACACAGCTGGCCTTTGAGTGCTGTGCGGGTCCGGGGCTTCTAGGACACAGAGGCCACTCTCAGAAGCCCCAGAGGCGGCGGAAGGTGGGCGGTCCCGGGGCTCAGCAGGCAGTGGGCAAGGCCAGCTGCTGCCCCAGAGATTTTGGGGCAGGGCCTGTCTGCTGGGAGCCCAGGGGAGCCTCAGCAAGCCTGGCATGAGAGCAAGCTTGCACGTGTCCATCTGCGAACCTCCGGCCTGCGCCGTCTGCGGGGCCAGCCCCGCTGCTCCTTGGCCTGGTGTTCCTGGCCCTTGCCGGCCTGGCTGCCCTGGGTACCTCTGCCCCTGCACTTCTGCACCCAGGGCCTGCGACGCTGCTGGGCAGCCTCCCTCACACCCCTCCACGGGGCCGGCCACCCCCTGGCTACCCTCGTGCAAATCAGCCGGAGAGGCGGGCGGTCCTGCCCCCGGTCAGAAGGCTGTCTGGACTGCAGACCCCTGTGCACCCGCATGCACCCCACCAGAGGCTCCGCCCTGCCTCCAGAAAGGCGTGGCACAGGGTGGGGGGGGTCTGCCAGAGGGAGTTGGGAGCAGCGATGTGCAGGGATGAGCTGCCTGCAGGCGGGGGCTGACCGCCCTGGGGGGGCGGCCGGGCTCTGTGGGCCGGGGCAGGGCTGGGGGTGGGGCCTGAGCCCTGGCCCTGTGGGAACATCTCGGGGGCTGGGGACCCCACCACTCTGTTCAGTGGGAGCTGAGCCAGTGCCTTCTTTGATCCCTGCTGAATCAGGCCGAACTGCTTGAAATGTCCCCACCCCCGGCTCAAACGCCTGGACCTGCCCCCACGCGCACACCCTCTCCCAGCCCGCCCCCGCCGGGCAGGCTCAGAAGTGGCCACTGTCTGCCTCCTGCCCCTGTGGTGACCCACTGGGCCGCCCTCTTGGTTTCAGCCCTCGCACCCTCCCTTCTCCTGGCCGTGCCCCCGGGCTGGTGCCCCCGGCCGGCGCGGGAAGGGGGGCGGCAGCTGCGCTCTCTTTCCCAGGAGCACGTGAGTCTGAGTGTGCACCTGCGAGTGTCCGCGTGCGTTGAGTGTGCACCTGCGAGTGTGCGCCCAAGTGTGCGCCTGCGTGTGCACCTGCGAGTGTCTGCGAGCGTCTGCGTGTGCCCCTGCGAGCGTGGGTGGTGGGTCAGTTTCTGTGTCTTTTCCTGACTCCTGCGGGTTTGGGGTCCTGTTTGGGGACCCCAGGCCCTGCGCCTGCGCTGTGGGCCGCTGTCCACTTAGGGGCCGTCCCCCGCTGGCGGGTCCGCGGGGCAGGGCGGGCAGGCGCAGGGCGGGCAGGCCAGGGAACACTCCCCGGCTCCCCCCCAGGCTGCTCCCCTGGGGCTGCGCCTCTCCGGGTGGGGAGGACAGGCGGACGCCAGACCCAGGGGCGCGGAGGCCGGGGGCCAGGGCGGGAGAAGCCGCCTGGGCCGAGGGACGGGGGCTCAGCTGCCCCAGGCGGTCGAGGCGCGGTGGCCTTGCGGGGAGCGGCTTCGGGGCTGCCTGCTCACCCCGCCCCCCGCAGGCGCCCTCAGAGCATGGGGGCCCCGCGCGCGCCCGCGCGGACGGTGCTGTTCCAGCGCGAGCGGACCGGCCTGACCTACCGCGTGCCGGCGCTGCTGCCGGTGCCCCCGGGGCCCACCCTGCTGGCCTTCGCGGAGCAGCGGCTCAGCCCCGACGACTCGCACGCCCACCGGCTGGTGCAGCGGCGGGGCGCGGTGGCGGGGGGCTCCGTGCGGGTGAGTGGGCGCGGGGGGGGGGTGGCGCGGGGGCGCGGGCGGGGGCGGGAGCGGGGGGCGCAGGCGGGGGCGGGGGCGCGGGCGGGGGCGCGGGCGGGGCGCGGGGGCGGGGGCGCGGGGGCGCGGGCGGGGCGCGGGGGGGGTGGCGCGGGGGCGGGGCGGGGGCGGGAGCGGGGGGGGGGGGCGCGGGCGCGGGCGGGGGCGGGGGGGGGCGCGGGCGCGGGGCGCGGGGCGGGGGCGCGGGCGGGGGCGCGGGGGCGGGGGCGCGGGCGGGGGGCGCGGGGGCGCGGGCGGGGGGCGCGGGGGCGGGCGGGGGCGCGGGCAGGGGGGGCGGGGGGCGCGGGGGCGCGGGCAGGGGGCGCGGGGGCGCGGGGCGGGGGCGCGGGCGGGGGGCGCGGGCGGGGGCGCGGGGCGCGGGCGGCGCGCGCAGTGGCCTGAGGCGCCCCGGGGGCTCCCCGCAGTGGGGCCCCGCGCTCGTGCTGGGCACGGCGGCGCTGGAGGAGCACCGGTCCATGAACCCCTGCCCGGTGCACGACGCGCGCACGGCCACCGTCTTCCTCCTGTTCATCGCGGTGCGCGGACGCACCCCCGAGGCCGCGCAGATCGCCTCGGGCAGGAACGCGGCGCGCCTGTGCTGCGTGAGCAGCCCGACGGGGGCCGGACCTGGGGCGGCGCGCGGGACCTCACGGAGCAGGCGGTGGGCAGCGCCCAGCAGGGTAGGCGGCTGGGGGTCCCCCGCGGCCCCCGCGGCCCGGGCTCTCCGCGCTGCGCGTCGCGGGCGGTGCTGGGCGGGCTGGGCGCCGCGCGGAGCGGCTGGTGCGGGGCGAGGCGGGTGAGCGCGGCCCGGGGCCGGCCGTGGGCTCGGGGCCTCCCCAAGGGCGGTCTCTCCCCCGGCTCCGCCCGTCGCCCTCCCCCGCCCGGGAAGAGTCGCGACCCCGCCCCAGCCCCGGCCCCGCTCTCCGCAGACTGGGCCACCTTCGCCGTCGGGCCGGGCCACGGCGTCCAGCTGCGCTCCGGCCGCCTGCTGGTGCCGGCCTACGCCTACCGCGTGGACCGGCGCGAGTGCTTCGGCCGCGTCTGCAGGACCAGCCCCACGCCTTCGCCTTCTACAGTGACGACCACGGCCGCACCTGGCACCGCGGGGGCCTCGTGCCCAACCTGCGCTCGGGCGAGTGCCAGCTGGCCATGGTGGACGGCGGGCGCGCGGGCGCCGTGGTCTACTGCAACGCCCGGAGCCCCCTGGGCAGCCGCGTGCAGGCGCTCAGCGCCGACGGGGGCACCTCCTTTCTGCCCGGAGAGCTGGTGCCCACCCTGCCTGAGACTGCCCGGGGCTGCCAGGGCAGCATCGTGGGTTTCCCGGCCGCACCCTCCAGCGGGCCCTGGGGTGAGGGATGGCCCGTGGGCACCAAGAGCAGCTCCCGCCCTGTGCCCCTCTGTCCTGGGGTGCAGGGAGCCCCAGAGGAGGGTGCTGGGGATCCCTGTGGGGGCGGCCCTGAGGATTTGGACCGGGATCCTGGACTGGGTGGGGACGAGGGGACCCCCACCCTGCTGCTGCCCAGGCCCCCTGCTGCCCCATCCCAGAGCCCCACGTGGCTGCTGTACTCCCACCCCGCGGGGCGCAGGGCTCGGCTCCACATGGGCATCCACCTGAGCAGGTCACCCCTGGACCCTCAGAGCTGGACCGAGCCCTGGGTGATCTACGAGGGCCCCAGTGGTTACTCTGACCTGGCGCTCGTCGGGCCGTCCCCCGAGGGCACCCTGACCTTCGCCTGCCTGTTCGAGAGTGGGGCCAGGGTGTCCTACGAGGAGGTCTCCTTTTGCCTGTTCTCTCTGCTCCAGGTCCTGCAGCACGTGCGGCCCCGGCCACCTGGCCCTGTGGACAAGCCTGGGGGGCGCTGCCGGCCCTCCTGAGGCCTGGAGGAGGGAAGCCGGTCTCCAGCCCCAGGCCTGGCTGGAGTGCGGGCTTCAGGAGGGGCTCTGGTCCTGGGTTCCTGCACAGATGTTGGGGGGCAGGGAGGGCCTGGTGGTGCTGCCTCCTCTTGGGGGCACCTGCATGGGGGGCAGTGTGGAGCCCGACCCTCCTGTGTCCTCACGAAGGGCCTCTTATTTCTTCTTTTTAAAGTCTTCATTTCTGGTTTCAAAGGTGAAACAGGCTAGTGCAGTAAACTCGGGAAATGTAGAAAAGTATAAAGAAAGAGCAGAACGCCCGCAGGGGCCTGCCAGGGCCACCCCGCCTCTGGCTACCCTTTCTCTCCTTCCTTCCTGGGGGCCACCGCAGCTGTCTCAGCTGTCCCCTGGCCCCCCACGGTCGCTTCTCCACAAGCACTTTGGGGGTATCTCTGGGACACCCCAGATTCTCGACAGCTTGGGCTGATTCCAGGACAGCGCCCCATCTTCCCTGCCCTCCAGAGCGCCCCTGAGCCCCCAAGCATCCATGGCTCCCCAGGAACTGGAGCCGCCCATGACCACGCGCAGGGAGGGTTGGGTGTGCCCCTGCGTTCCCAGACGACTCTGCAGGGCCTCCCTGTGGAGGTCACAGCCGCTCCAGGACCTCTCAAAACCCCAGGCGTCCTGTGTACTCCCGCCTCTCCCCGAGGGGCCTCCCCCAAGGACGGCAGCACATCTGCCTGTGGCTCTGGGCGATGGCTTGGCTGTGTCTGCCCTCGTTCTGGACTCTGAGCTCTGAGAGCAGGGAGGGGGGTGGTGTGAGGACGAGGCGGGAGGACAGCCTGCACAGCACCTACGGCCTGCAGCCCGTCCCACCTGGACCGGCCAGTAGTGTCCCCAGCTCTCAGGGCTCGATTACAGATAGGGGTTGATGGAGGGTGGAGGGGTGCTGAGCCTCGATGGGATGGGCCTGAGTCTGGCCAGGGAGGATGCAAGGGAAGGCGGGTGAAGACAGACGAAGCGGCTGAGCTGCCACCACAGGCAAAAGTGGGGTGAGCGCACTCAGGGTGCCCATGCCTCCGGAAGGAGTCTTCCCCGGTGTGCACGGAGACGCGCAGCGCAGGGCGATGGCCAGGCTGGGGAGAAGCCGTCAACCCCAGCAGGCGAGGAGGGGGAGAAAGTGGATGTGGAACTGGTAAGACGAGTGGGAAGCAAACATCCCGACGGCCCTTCCACGTGGACGGACAGGATGCCAAGGGCAGTCGGGGTGTGTTCCGATGAGGGGACAAAAATAGCCCCACCCAGCCCACCAAGGCGGCGCACAGCGGGTGGGCCAGGAAGGCGAGGGCTTGGGGCCAAGAGCTTCCCAGCACTAGGAAGGCGGGAGCGCGCAGAGGGGCCTGCCCTGATATTGGGCTCATTTATAAAGCAAAATGGACAGACTGAGCGGGAACCCAGACCCACAGCGGCGGAGAAGGGCCTACGCTAGTGGAAATCCCGCCGGAGGCAGAGGCGCCTCAGCCCAGAGAAGGAGCTGGGGCAGGAGGCAGGGCTGCCTGAGATGAGTCTTCTCAAACACAGGCACAAAACTGACACCCTGCTGGGCCCTGAAGCCATGTCTCCACAGACCCCGAAAGATGGAAAATCACAGTAAAATTGAACTAGGGACAGAAACAAGATGATTGAAAATCTTCTATGTTTGGAAATGAAGACACTCATGGCTCCAAGGATTAGCCACAGGGGCCAGAAGTGACTGGAGTTAATCGTGTCAGCACAGCATGAAGCCCAGGGTGGGCCAGCGCTGGGAGGGCCTGGCCGGGTGTCTGGTGGGCACTGCTGACCTGGCAGGCCACGAGCGCAGCGGCTGAGCAGGAGCCCAAGTCCCTTGGCCAGGACGCGCAGTGCCCGGGGTGCCGCAGGCCTGGCGCTGAGCGCGAGGTGGGCGAGGGGCCTGGAGCCGGGAGGGCCGCAGTCTGGACGTGCGACGCCGTCAACAGGGCTTAGGAGTGGCTTTCTGCCAGCACATTTGAAAACTGAGATGAAACAATTCCTGGAAAAATTCAACTTATTGAAACTGAAAAATCCCATAAGTCCGTAATTTAAGTGCACCGGGTGCTGGGGAGGCGGCTGCCAGGGCCGGTGTGCGCCCCCCGGGGGACAGCAGCGCCCAGGAAGAAGGTCCCGGCAACAGGACGCAGCAAAGAGCGCGCGAGCCAGGCCCAGCGGGGCTCCCGCGTGCCCGGCCGGCAGCTGCGGGCAGGTCTCCAGCCACCTCTGGCGTCTGTCGGGCTCGTCGCCTCCTCGCGCGGCCTGTTGGCACGTCTGTTTTCTTATCGAGAGTTTCAAAGTCATTAGTTTATTCCGGCCAGTGAGGGCAGGAAGGACGCCCAGGCCACCTGTCGGCAGGGAAACGTGACCCACCACATAGGCCCTGGGGCCAGGGGTGCCACGGTGGTGGTGGGGCGTTGTGGGCGCGAAGCCCCCTGGGGGCTGTGCAGCTTCTCCAGGAACCAGATCCGGGTGCCAGGCCTGGCACTTACCTGGCACGTGGGAAACCCAGGCTCCCGTGGGACCCGTGTCTCCGTGAGGACAGCACTTGGCTGGCGCTGCCAGGGCCTGGAAGGGGTGAGGGGGGCAAGGGGCGCTGGGAGGGGTGCAAGGAAGGGTGCAGGGGGGAATGGGAAGGGTGCTGGGAGCCTGGGGCGACGTGGGGCACAGGCGGATCTGGGAGCACAGGGAAGATTTCAGGGAGGTGGGGGTGCAGGGAGGTGGGAGGGAGGGGTGCGGGGGTGGCACTGGGAGAGGAGGAGGGGAGATGGGGGCACGGGGAGGGGCACAGGAGGGATGGAGGTGGCCATGGGGGCATGTGAAGGGGTGTGGGGTGGGTGTGGGGTGGCTGCTGCGGGGGCAGGGGAGGATGTGGGGGATGTGGGCCGGGGTACGGGGAGGTGCGGGGCGGGGGCTGGAGTGTTGTGAGTCGGGGGCCCCCAGGGATTCTCAGGGCTGAGCAGAGCCCATGGGGCCTAGGAGGCATGCGGCGGGCTGACCCAGTGCCATGTGACGAGGCGCTGACGTCAGGGCTGTGTGGGCGTGGGGACGACTTATCGTCTGCTCAGTTTTTCCTTAAGCCCCAAACTTAATAAATTCCATTAATTTACAACGGTGTGGGGCTTCCCCTGGGGGCGCAGCGGGTGAGCGCTGGGCTGCGAAGCTGCCCGCAGCCTCTGCCTCGCTGGTTCGATCCCAGCCGGCCGGGGAGGGTCCCACATGGCGCGCAGACCTCTCCTGTCGCGCCCACTGCTCCCCTCAGCAGTGCGTTTCGTCAGTCTGCCTGTTCTGTCCCCCGCTCTGGCTCTGGTGAATTCTCTCACTCTCCCGCGCCTCTGGCCTGTACCCCGGTTCTTGTATAAAATAAATAAATAAATCTTTAAAAAAATTGACAACGGTATGGTCATAAAAACTCTAAGCAGAGCGCGAAGGAAGTGGATGACGATATTCATATAACCTTGAGAGCTGAGGGTCCCGGGGCCAGCCTGGCACCCCAGCCTCCCCACGCCCCTAGCCAACCTCCCCCCCACCCCTGCCCAGCTGGTGCCCCAGGTGAGGCCCCTGTGAAGCGCCGTCTCTCTCAGCCTGGAGACCTCGGCCGCGGGCGCAGCTGGGTTTCCAGAGGGTTTGGGCTTCTGTCCTGGGGTGGTGGCCCCTCTGCAGGGTGGGGGGGTGGTAGGCGGCAGGAGGGGCCCCCTCAGGGTTGGTGACAGAACCTGGAGCCCTTTGCTGGTGTCAGGCTCATCCACAAGCCCAGGGGCGGGACCCCCCACCCTGGCCCACTGAAACCGCCTCTCCTGAGCTGCGGGCGGGCGGGCGTGGGCGGCGGAAAAAGTGAGTGGGGGCAGCATGGGGTGCTGACGGGAAGGGCCCGGGGTGCTGACATCGTGCCGCCCCCGCCCCCGCCCGTGGCCTCACCCTTTGAGACACTCTCAGAGCTCGTCCTCCTTCAGGGCTCTGCGTGGGGTGTCTCCAGGTGCAAGCGAATCCTCTGTCTTCTGACACCGGGGTCCTGCGGTGTCCCCGCCCCCCACGCCCTCAGGTGGCTCAGGGCCGGGGCCTCTGGCACCCCAGCCCCCCTCCTCCCCGCCCACTGCCAGAATCCCTTCTGCTCTGTGGCTTCCCGTTTTTCTGCCAGTCACCTGGGAGGCATTTTCCCCTGGCCAAAGGAAACTGCCCCCTAACAGAGCGACCGGCCCCCTTCCGCCGGGCCTTGGCCCCATCCTGGGCGGAGGCTGCTCCCCACCTGCTGCTGGCCTCCTTCTCCCCAGTCTGACAGGGGTGCTGCTTGCCTGTAATAACTGGGGTGCCTGAGCCCCACTGGGGCCGCGTGTGTGGGGGTTGGCCCCTCCCCACGGTGTTCTCAGGCCTGGGGTGAGACTCTGCTGCCGGCCACCTGCTACCCTGCTGTCCTGGGCTCCAGTGGCCTCGCTTCCCTTTCGTGGGCCTTGACCTTGAGCCAGTGAGGGCATCCCGAAGGCCGCCCCACGTGCTGCGCCCGTGCTGCCCTGGGGCGTGGCCCCCGCGCCCTTGCCAGTCCACCGTCAGCTCCCACTTCCTCCCTGAGCCGGCCACAGCAGCTGCTTCTCCCCCTGAGCCCTGCAGCTGCGCAAATGTGGGTTTTCACGGGTTCATCGTGAAACTTGCAGTGAATCTAGGAAGCACGGGTGTCTGCCCGCGTGGGCGCCCCAACCCTGCTCCCCCCACCCCGCATGCACCCGGCCCCCAACCCTGCCCTGTGCCCCCGCCCCGCACTCCCACCCGCATCTCCAACCCCCTCCCCGCAGCCCCCCCCCCGCCTCCCTCGCCCCCTCGCCCCCCAAGGCCAGTCTAACCTGTGCCCCTCAGCAGCTTCTCGCCTGGTGCGGGGGATGGTCTTCCTTCGCTGCCTACGCTGAGGCCCTGGGGGTCCAGGTGCACAGACCCCACCTCCCAGCTCTGACCCCATGTGGCTCTGCCTCAGGGCCATGTCCTCAGGCAAGGTGCTCCCGCTGGAACTGGCCCCCTGCCCCGCAGGAGTGGCCGGCTGGGTGCGCACACCTGGGTGCGGGGCGGGACAAGCCTCCCTGGGGTGCCCACCCTCCAGCGCCCAGAACCAGCCTCAAGGACCCGGGTGCTTGGGGGAGGAGCTGCTTCTCCCCGACAGAACTGGTGCTGCCCCCACGGCCGGCACAACCCCTCACCCGTGCTGCTCCAGACGGGGTGGCATAGGCACATGGCTGAAGGGCTTCAGGTGGGGCCCAGGAAGGGCTTGGGGGGAAGCCTGGTGGCCGCCCAGCACCAGAGGGACTTGGAGCCATGGCTGCTGTGGGTGTGTGGGGGGAGGGCAGAGGCGAGGGCCTTGTGCTGCGAACTCTGGGTGGAGGCTGGGCAGGCTGAGCACGGGGCTGCCGACAGGTCGCGCTCCATGCTCCAGCCTCACCTCAGGCCAGCGCTGAGCCCAGCCCCCCAACCCACCGCGGAAGGAACTGGGACCCTTTCCAGCGCTGTGTCCTGATTTAATTGTCACACAGAGGAAGGGATGTGAGGGACAGCCCTCTGAGTCCCGACGGGGCGCCCTCTGGCCTTCCAGTCCAAGACAGCCTGCCAGCGTGTGCTGACCAGTGACGAGGGGTCTGACGAGGGGCGCTGAGCCCACCCGCCCCGGCAGAGCCGGGGGTGCCTCGAGTAGCAGCGGATGGATCCCAGCAGCTGCGGGTCCCCAAGAGAAGCAGCTCCTGGGGGCCCGGTGGCCAGAGCTGGGACTGCAGCCCTGCCCATCCCTGCACTGCCTCAGTTTCCCCTCTGCGCCACGGCCTGGGCCCCTGTGAGGGTGCACCCGGGCCAGCAGGGCCGGCACTGCCCCTCAACACCACCGTCCCAGTGGTGTCCTGCCCTGGCCATCGCTCTGGTGCTCCCCATTGCGGGCAGCTACCAGCAGGAAGGGCTGCACCCCCAGAGGTGTCCTGATCCTCTCCTCCTTGCTCTACTGCCGGAAGGGGCCACGAGGCTCTCAGGAGGCCGCGAGGGGCTCGAGGCCAGGGCGTGGCTCACAGGGGCCAGGAGCAGTGTCCATCCTCCGGCGGCAGAGGCCGGGGCCCCGGGCGGCCATCGGCGGAGGCCCTGCGGCAGGGGGGCGCGGGCCGGCCAGGGAAGACGATGGTGGCGTACTCCGTCTGCTCAGGGACACACGGGCCTGGGGGCTCCGGAGTCTTCTCTCGCCACTCAAAGTCCAGCTCTCCGTAGTCCACGGTGAACACGGGCACGGCTGGGGTGTCCTCCTTCTGGGGGAGAGTGGGCGGGTGAGCCGTCTCCGCCCCCACACGCGGTGCAGAGGGCAGGCCAGTGACCTCCACCTCCCAGGGCTGGTGTCTCCACTCCCAGGCACAGCACAGGCAGCTCTCCTGGCGCCACTGGCTGCTGGGCAGAGGGAGTCTGCCCCCGCGGCTCAGGCCCAGGAGCGGGCACTCACCAGAGCTGCATCCTGGCTCCGGCTGGTGCAGGCCCCTGCGGAAGGCACACGTGCAATCAGGGCGGTGCCGGGCCCCCCGCCCGCCTCCACAAGTCCCTTTCTTCTGCGTGTCCTGCTTGGGCTGCAGCTGACCTGAGTGGGGCCTGGCTGCCTGCTCGGAGCAGCCCCCAGCCCCAGCCCCACCCCTCCCGGGCAGTGCAGGGGCTGCGTGTCCATGAAAGCAGTGTGGAGATGGCAGGTGGGTGTCCACGCTGGCCAGCACAGATGCAGCAGACCCCCAGGGCCCGGCCCAGCGGGGCGAGGCTGCCGCAGCTGGCGAGTTGGCCTTGTCCTCTGCTCTCTGTCCGCGCCCGCACTTGGTGCCTTCCCCAAGACTGCGACCTGGAGCCGCTGGCATGGGGGCCAGCCCTTGGGCCCTGGTGCGCCAGGACGCTGGCCCTCCCTCCTAGCCCCACCCCAGGGCAGTGGAAAGGGGACCTGCCTCACCAGGCCCCTGCTGCACCTGCGCGCCCACAGGCTGGGCCGCTGTGGCTGTGGTGTGACCACACGCGCCTTCACATGTGGCCGGGGTGCCGCTGGCGGCGGGGCCGGCACAGGGCGGCTCAGCCCGAGGTTCCGCTTCATGCCGGACCAGTGTCCCTGCCGTGCCCCGCACACCCCCCCCCCCCAGCCCCCGCCCATGCCCTCCCGGAGCACCGGGTGGACGGCTGGGACGGGCCCCTGAGGGACCCAGGCCTGCCCTTCCTGGGTGTCCTCACGGTTGGGTGGCAGGGAGAGCAGGGACCTGGGGGATGGGGCAGGGCGGGCCCACAGGCCTTACCTCGCAGGCCTCCTGGGATGGCGCCGGCCAGGCCCCAGGCCAGCAGCAGCAGCAGCAGCAGCAGGACGGCCGCCAGCACAACAGCGACGCTGACCACCAGACTCTGTGGCAGGCCGGCGGGCTTGGGTGTGGGGCTGGGGTGCTCGGTGGGCAGCTGGGGGACTCTCTCTGGAGGCAGAGGCTGGGGCTCAGGGTCAGGACTTGGGGGCGAGGAGTTGGGGTCCTGTCCCCTCCTGTTCTGTGTCCCTAGGGCCTCCCTCCCAGCTGGCAGCTCCCAGCAAGCCCCCTGTCCCCCTTAGCCAGTGCCCTCCACCAGGACAGGGGTGTCTGTGGGGCGCCCAGCCTCAAGGGGCAGGGGACAGAGTCCTGCACACAGCCTGGGGAGCCCCGCCCGCCCCCCGCCTGGGGCTCCCCTGTTCTGGGGACTCACTGCCCGGGGCTCCCCTGCGTGCTCCCCGCCCGGGCCCCAGCCCACCGGTCACGGTGAGCTCAATGGCGGGGCTCTCTGTGATCCGCGTTCGGGGGGGCAGGTAGATGGCCCCGCAGATGTAGACGCCGCTGTCGCTGGCCTGTGCGCCCACAAGGCTCATGTGGAAGTCCCGGCCGCTGGGCAGCTGCGTGACACTGAAGCGCCAGTCCCGGCCCGGGTGGCTCTGGTCCTCCGGGAAGGCAGCCAGCTTGGTGCTCCGGTTGCCGGGGCCCAGGCGGTACCAGTTGAGCAGCGGGTGCTGGGGGGTGCAGGGCAGGCTGCAGGTGAAGGAGGCGTTGCCCCCCTCGGGCACCGAGAGCCTGGCTGGGGAGAAGGTGGGGGGGCTGCAGGGCCCCTCAGGGGTGCCTGGGGGTGGACAGAGAATGTGCTGAGTGACCCATCCGCAGGCCCCCTGCCCCTGCGCCCTTGGCCATGCCAGTTCCTGCCTGGTGTTCTCCTCCCTGTTCCAGCAGAGTGGGGACCCCGACACGGGGCAGAGTGGGACCTGGGGACCCTGACGCGGGGCTGACTGGGCCGGGGTCCCACGGAGAGCCCAGCTAGTTTGTCCATCGCAGGACAAACTCAGAGCTGGGGCTCAGCCCCCGGGGGCAGTCCCGGCCGGGTCAGGGTGGGCCCTCCATGTCTTTCCTAAGACTTGGGGTCAGGACTTCTGGGCAGTTGGCGCCCAGGGCCCCCAAGGAGGGACAGGCGGGATGTCCTGCTGCTGGGCCTGCAGGGATGCCCCCACACCCCCAGCCAGGGCCCACCTCCCCACACACACCCACACTCACACACGCAGGTCACCCACCAAGGCCCCCGACACGCCCGCAGCTCCCCACACAGGCGCTGGAGCCGGCTGGACATGAGGTGGTCACCTGTGAGCCAGCTGGGGTTCAGGGCAGTGGGGGACCCCTCAGCAAGACCCGCCAGGCCCTCGCTGCTCCTGGGGGCCCACGGCGGTGCCATGCGGCCGGCAGCCTGGCTGACCCTCTTGCTGGACCAGCTCAGGGGCACACTGACCCGGGGCTGCTTCTGCCCACCCTCCCCCCAGCACCTAGGCACCCTCTCCAGTCCAGACAGCACCACCCCAAATGGCTCTTCCACCCTCCCAAGTCCACGCTGCCGCCAGCCCTGCCTGCCAAGCCCCCCAAAGACCCTGCCCTGCGGGCAGCCGGCTGTCCTGGCAGCCACGGCGCCCCCCCACCGTCCCTCCTGCCTGACGGCCCCCCTGTCCCGGCCCCGGGCCCCTCGGTTGCTGCCTCTGGTGCCCTTGGGGCCACCATGCTCCTGGCTGTGCTCTCAAATGCCCCAATTGCTGATACACCCTAGGGTCCTGGGTGCCCTGGCCAGGGTGCAGGATGAAGGTGGGTGTTCTTGAGTGGGAGCCCAGGCGCCCCTCGCAGGCCGGGGAAGCATGGGCGTGGCGGCCCTTCTCTGTCCCCACAGCCATTTTCCTGGTGCTTGAAGGGGGCAGGTCGGGAGGGACGTGAGCTTTTTCCTGTTTGGGGACGGGTTGGTGAGGGGCTGCCCACTGGGCCCGGGAGATCAGAGGGGTCTGGGCAGCCCGGCTGGGCCAGGTGAGTGGGGCCTGCAGCCGCTCCGGCAGCCACTCCCTAGTGTGCGGTTCTGTCCATAAGTGGTGCTGGACCCATCCGGCAGGTGCCGGGGCCCAACGACCCACAGCCTCTGCTGTCTCCAAGGGAGGGCCTTTTGCTGCTTTTGCTGCTGTGGGGTCCCCAAGGCCCCCTACGAGGGACCCCTGAGGGTGGACCTCGCACACCTGGGTGCCCCTGGGGAGATGGGCCAGGATCAGAGGCGCCGGGAGGTGTCAGGAGGTCTTAGGTAAGGGGGCAGGTGCGCCCCCTGAGCCAGGAAGGAGGAGGGTCTGCATTGGGCAGAAGCCCTGAGAAGCGCTGAGTGCACCCCCAGACCTGGCCAGTGGGGGTGTTTGCGGAAGGCCTAGCCCAGCGCCTGGGGGTGACCTCACCATGGGCTCCAAATGGGCTCCTCAGATCACAAATCCACAATGGGCTCCTCAGATCACAAATCAAAACCGATGAGACAAACCTGGCTTTGAAAAACGTGCCGAGGGCTGTGCAGGGCCCCGGGCGCCCTCCCAGAACCCCGGATGTCCCACTGGCCCCCCTGCCCAGGCCCCAGCAGCCCCGGCATGGCTCCTGCCTGCTTGCTCCCCAGGACAGGGGCTGAGGAACATCAGGGGTGAGGAAGAGCCTGGGGGAAAAACCCCACAGAAGGGGAACTGAGTCCCGTGCCCATGGAAACTAGTGTGGTGCAGCCAGAGAGCCTGGAGAACGGCCTTGCTAGGGGGCAGGGCTGCTGCCTGGACATTCTGAGTGGCCCAGGACCCCGAGGCCCGTGGACACACACACAACCTGTCTGGTCCTGGCAATGGCTGACACTGCCCAAGCCCAGCAAGGCCGAGAGGACGGGCCCTGGGCGGAGATGTCCGCCTCCCGGTCCTTTTGATGGGTGGTCTGTGAGGTGCCAGCAGGCATAGTGGCCACGGGCATGGGGAGCCCCTCGTGGGGTTCCTTGCCCCAGCCCTCAGACTCTGACAGGATCTGTTGGCCCCCAGTAGACAGTCCACACTGTGGACAGTCTTGGGGCCAGCTCGGCCCTCCCATCCCACAGAAAGGGGCGCAGCTCTGCCCGCCCTTGCATGGACGGGCTGGACACACCTGCCTGCCTCGCGGCGGGACTCCCGCCAGGTGAGCGGGCAGGTGGAGCGGAGCTCAGAGAGGGCATGTCACCTGCCCAGAGCCGCACAGCTCCCAGGCCCTCCTGCTCCCCAGACCCCACCTACCTAGGAGCCATCCTGGCGGCCAGCCCAGCTGCAGCACGGCCCAGACCAGTGGCCTGAGCGCCCGCGGGGCCCCCATGCCCCAGCGCCCGCCGCCAGAGTCCCTTCTTCGAGCAGCCAGAGGTGACGAGCAAAGAAAACTTCCCGGGTCAGGGCAGAGGGCCCGCCCCAGCCCCGCCTCCTCTTCCTCCTCGAGTGTGGGGAGAGCGGAGAGGCGGGATGAGAGGGCGAGCGGGACAGCACAGCGGTGGAAACGGGGAGGTCGGGGAGATGTAGAGATAGTGGGTAGAGGAGGTGGACGGGTGCAGGGCGCTCGCCTCCCGCTCTGGGCTCAGCTCGAGGCTGCAGAGAGGGGGCCCCGCGTCTCCCCACCTCCCCTCAGTGCCTTCGGGCTCCACCACAGCCCGCAAGTGCCTGGCCAACCTCTGTGGGAGCCGCCCACCACCCCTGCCCCAGGGGGCCGCTGGGTGCTCCGGGGCTGGGCATTTCCCACAGCCCCTCCCCTCTTGAAGGGGGCTGGGGGCCTGCACCCCCGGGGTATGGCACCTCGGGGTCCAGGCCACTTGCTGCCCCGGCGTCTCAGGAGCCCGCTCAGGGCGGGGGTCGGGTGGCCGGACGTGGGTGAAACGATGGGTTATTCACTGATTTCGCCGCCTCGGGCCGACGGCAAACAGGAAAGCTGAAAGTGCTGATATTACTGACGAGCCCTGAGGTTGCAGCCGAGACAGAAACCGCAGCTGCGCTGGGCGTGGAGGGACATTAAAGGACCCGCCGGTGGAAAAAGCGCATCAAACCTTCAAACGTGGCAGCCAGCGGGGGCGCACGCTGCGCAGGAGCGAGTCCGGGGGCGGTTGCCCTGGGATGGGCCTCGCACACGAGGGGTCCCCGGGATGGTGCATGGGGGTGGGGGTACGGGGGGGCTGCTAGACACTGATGCTCCGGTCCCCTCACATTCCTGCATCCACAGGAGGGTGTGGCCTGGAGGTCCCTGCGGGTCTGCCCCGCTGAGGCCCCTGCCCTGTCTGGTTTCTGTCCAGGACACTCTGGCTTGGGGGGCAGCCTCGAACCTGCAGGCTCCCTGTCCCAGGTGTGTGTGGGGTTGGGGGGGGGCTGTGCCAGTTCAGCCCTGGGGTGGCCTGTGTCCTCCACCTGTGCCCAGACGGGCTTTCCACCACGCAGGGCCCCACTGCCTGCCCCGCGGCGCCTGGCCCCCGCCCTGTCCTCCCAGGGGGCACAGAGGGACGGGTGTTCTCGGGCTGTCCGTGGCAGCGTTGTGGACGTTGGCCAGTGTGCATGCCGGGCCCTGAGGGAGCGCTAGTGTGTGTGAGGCCGCGCTCTCGTCCACCAGGCCTGCCCAGGGCTGGGCGAGGGGGCGCGGGCTGCCTGGCCTGTGGGTCCGGCCGCTCCTTCTTGTGGGTGAAGCTGGCTCCCCACCCATTTCCTGCGGGACCAAGTGAAGCCACTTGCAGCCTTTGGGAATGGCCGCCGAGGCAGGCGAGGCAGGCGCCCGGGCAGAGCGGTGTCTGCGCCCTGGAGCAGGGGCTCTGGGAAGGCGGCGTGGGGCGCCGGTGTGCGGATGGAAAGGGCGACAGGGGCCCTCGGCGAGGCAGCGCCCAGACTCGCGTGGGAGGTTTCCATTCGCGGGCAGGGCAGCGGGGCGCGGAAGCAGAGGAATCCCCGAAACTGCAGCGGGCGATGTGTCCGCGCCAGCGGACCTGGGACAGGCAGCAGGTGGCAGGAGATTCACAGCTGCTTCTGAGGTTAGAGCAGGAAATGGTTAATAGTTTGCAAATAAAAACTTTCTGTTCTATCCTGTTTTTGAAGCATTTCCCAGAAGTTGAAAAAGAGCGGTTAATTTATTTGCCCAATTTAAGAACCAAATTTTAGAAACGTGAAGGAAATATTTCCACCGTCTGTCATACATGCGAGAAGAGACCTGCTGTTGGCCGGGCCTCTCCTGTCCAGGCTTCCCATGTGGCCCAGGAGCCCAGACGCGCATGTACATTCTAAAGGGCTTTCTCTCCTGCTTCTGCTCCACCCTCCTGGGCCTCCTCCGTGGCCCCTGTGCTGCCCTCAGGGTGTCCTGGTCTGCTCGCTCATTTCTCGTTTTCTGGGGTCCCTTTGTCCATTTCGCTCCCTCCCTTGCCGCGCAGGCAGGTGAATCATCCAATAAGCATCGTCTTCGTAATTTATCTCATTTCCTACAACCTCCTTCCATTCTGCACAATTGGCAAAACCTCACCCTTTGGCGGCTGACCGCTCCTGTGTGGGTGGCCGGCCCATGCCCTGCCCTTGCTCTGGCCCCACGCGCTGTGGGCGCCGCTGGCCGCGCTGCAGCTGCCCTGCTTTTCAGGCAGGAGCCCAGGGGGGCTGTGGGGCCTTTGGTGAGTCTGTTTCTCTGTGTTTGAGGACGGTTAGGCCTCTTCCAAGATGGCAGAGCAGCTCCCGCCCCACGGTGAGCACCAGCCCGTCCTCCCCGTCCTGCCCATCCTCTCCATCCTCCCCCGTCCTGCCCTGTCCTCCCCATCCCGCCCCGTCCCCCCGTCCTACCCATCCTCCCCTTGCCGCGCTGTGGTCTCTTGTCTCGTGCTGGAAGCCGTTCCTACGTGCGAGTGACGTCACGCTTGCGAGAGCCTGAAAATGCTGCATTTCCCAAATAACAAGAGACGGAAAGGCCGCCTGCTCCCACAGTTGCTGCGCGTCCGGGGCCGTCCATGGCCACCGACAAAGCAGGAAACAAGGTCTTCAACAGTGGCTGCAGCTTGACTTCCCTCTGGAAAGGCCCCTAGAGGCTGGCAGGCCAGAGGCGGCTCGAGGCCTGGGGCTGCCCATGGATGGCCGTTGTCTCCCGCTGGGGGTGGAGACGAGAACTGGAGCTTGACCTCCCCTGTCCCACCTTATGGAATCTTCCAGAACAGACCCCAGTGCAGTGCTCACTCGGCACATGTCAGACCCACAGAGCCAGGAGTGAGGAGCACAGGCAAGGCCTGGCTGGTGGGTTGGCTGCACCTGGACGCAGATGAGGGCAGATGGCAGGGACGAGGGGGCTTGTGGCCTGCGCGGCGGCAGAGGCAGCATGCTCAGCGAGCAGAGGCGAGTGGACACTGTGCTGGCAGGTGGGAATTCTGGGGCCACCACCCAAGGGCTAGAAACAGCGGCATCAGGTCAGGTAGGATGAGGACGGGTCGATGAACACCAGCCAGTCAGGGAAAGGGAGAGATGGGCCAGGATCAGGCCCGGTGGGGGATGTGGGGGTGCAGGCTGTGGGGTGCAGGGGCGCTGCTCCAGGTAGGCAGTGGCTCCAGAGCCTGGAGAGGGCTGTCGGCCGGCATCAGCGGGGACAGCAGCCAGCCAGTCCCTGTGGCATCGGCCTGGAGGGCGAGGGGGTGCCCGTAGCCCTGGTTCTGTCAGGTCCCCATTTGGGAAGAGGGTGTGGCTTGGTCACGGCTCTGTCTTGGAGGGGGGGCCCTGAGGACTGCTCCCTCCCCACCTTTGGGGCGGGGCACCGGCCTCTGTATGCTGAGCTGCCTGCAGGTCTTGGGGACCGCAGGCTGTGGAGCCACTGGGGGTGAGACTGGGCATGACCACCCACACGTGGTGGCCTCCTGATGCTGCCTCGGCTCCCGTGCTTCCTGGCACCTGGCCGTCATTTCACTCGTTGCTTCACCTGACTGCTGCCGGCATGGCGGGGGGGTACAGTCCACGACCAGCCCCAGAGGCAGCGGCACCCACCCCACGCCACCAGCTCTCTCCCGGGAGTGAGGGCAGCCGGCCGAGTACCCTTGGGGAGCTCAGGGTGCAAGTGGCGCTGGGAGGTGTGTGTGACTGGGGGGCGCGGACAGCCCCGGGGACCGGCTCTGTGGTGCTGCCCAAGGCTGGACGACTCCGGCAGTCCTGTGCTGTTCCGGGAACGGGCTTTCCTCCACAGAAGTTTGAGAACAATGAAACCCTGGACACTCGCCACAGCAGGCGCTCAAGGGGACCAGCGGCAGGAGCAGCCGGGCAGGGCAGCCGGCCCTGCGGGGGGCACGGCGGGCCTCGATGGGCTCCTCTGGTGCTGATAAGGGACACGCTCCTTGGCACGCCGCCGTTGGCACGCCGCCGTCCGCAGGGATGATCTGGGCCTTTTTATTGCACCGTCTCTTCTTTTTTGTCTTTCTAATTTTTCTTAAAAACGTAAATGTGTTGCTTGCGTAATGAAAAATGTTCAAAAGGCCAAGGGGAAAAGACCCGTTTCTAGCTCTCCCAGACAGCCCCGGTTGCCATGGAGACGGGCCGTTGCCAAGGTGGCGATTGGCTGGCGGCAGGGGCGCTTGCCTCCTTGGCGTCCGGAGCCGGCTGTCAGACCGCACTGCGCCAGCATGGACGGGGTGGACCTGTGGGCCCGCACCCTGGCCCAGCTGATGGCCAAGAGGAAGCCCCAGGACACCTGGGAGCTGCTGGCTGAGGATGACCTGGCTGCAGGGCACTTGGACAGCACTGGCTACCAGTACCGGCTCAGGGGGCTCTCGAGGTGCGGCTGTGGGTGGGGGCTGCTGGGCCCGGGGGGTCACGGGGGGGCTGCCCAACTCTCCCCCAGCCCTCCCCCAGGTGCAGTCTGGCTGTGGTGTGGTTGGCTGGGCCGCGGGGGGTGGGAATGGGGCAGGCCCTGGTCTGGTCTCATCCCCCAACAGGTGGTGGACTGGGTGCTGTCTTTCCTTCTGGGAAGTGGGGTGCCGGGGGGCCATGGCTTTTGAGTCCTTTCAGCAGAGACCCTGCCTGGCAGAGTTGACCCCCTGCAGCCCAGCTGGGGGGGTCAGTGGGGTGAGGCACACTCGCCCCCACACCAAGGGCTTTGTTCGCTCACTGCGGCATCTCCTGGTTTCTATGGCGACGAGAACTGGCCACTGCCAGGCCCGCGCTGCTGAGGGGGCCGAGGGGCCCTGGGGAGCTGGGAGCACAGAGTGGGGGGCACTGGGTCCCAGAGAGGGGAGCTGTCCAGCTGGGTGGAGGGCAGAGGGGCTTGGCCGGGAAGCCTAATGGCCCTGGTCATCCATGAGCTTTGCTTTTTGTTGTCATGGCGACGGTGTCCCTCCACCCACTCTCCCAGCGGGGGTGGTGGGCAGTTGCCCTTTGGCATGACACCACAGCCCTCCCATCCGCCACCGGGGGGCCTGGTGTGGGGTGGATGCTGCTCTGGTAGCTGGGCGTGGCCCTCAGTCGGCCTGCACTGGAGGCTGGCCAGGACCACAGCCGGTCCAGTGGTCAGACTCAGGCCTCAGCCTTGGGGACAGGCTTGCTCTGCACACGGCTGCCCGGCTGTGGGAGGGTCTACCTGAAGTCGGTGGAGGCCAGCAACTGTGGGTGCTGCTCGGGCCTGGGGCTGCAGCCGAGCGCAGGGCAGGGTGGCCAGCACCATGGAGTGGCGGGCACTAGGGCGCGACCCGGGAGCCGTGCGCACACCAACAGCACACGTGTCTCAGCCCAAGTTTCTTGGCCGGAGGCCACCACGTGGCCCGGGACAGCGGCCCCCAGCTGGCTCCAGGAGGGACCTGCTTCCAGGGGGTCCTGCGCACACTGCGGACTCTCCTGCGGCCCTCCCTGCACCTGCTGCCTCCCCCCGCCACCCCCAGCACCTACCCCGTGGGGCCCCTCCCTCAGGGCCCCTGTCTGGCCTCTAAGCACCCACTTGCTGGCCTTTGAGGCTGCTTTCCTCCCTCGCCGGGACCGGACTATCTCTGGTTCTGGGTGACACTTGCTCAAGACAACGCAGCCCCAAGTCACCAACAGCTCCCAGACGGCCATGGGGCCCGCCACGCGCTTGCTTCCCAGGTGGCCGCCCCCCCCACCCGCTCCGCTCGCCCTGCCCCGCTCACCCCACCTCTCTCCCCAGGCTGCAGTGTGGCCGCTGCCAGTGGGGCTGGTCCTCAGCGCACGTGCACATCCTCTTCCACCTGTGGTGGGACCCAGCCAGCCGGCTGGGGCTGGTGAAGATGCGCGTCTGGGGCCAGCAGTGCCGGCTGTGCCCGGCTGAGGCAGCCGCCCAGTGCCAGGTGAGCCTGCTCAACGTGCGGCTCTTCCTCAGCAAGCTGGTGCTCTTCATCCTGCAGCGCTGCTACCGCGAGGGCCTCAGCGCAGACCAGTGCCCCGAGGTCTGCTTCGGGGAGCGCTGTCAGGCCTGCGACCTGGGCGTCTGCTTCTTCCAGAAGCCCCTGGACCCCGCCTGGGGCCCCGAGGCCGAGACGCCCGGCACCATCAAGGGCAGGTACACGCTGTACAGCGACAGCGGCTGGGCGGCCCTTGCCTCTGGCCAGCAGCTGCTCAGCCTCAGCAGCGGCCCGGTGGTGGAGCGGGCCCGGGGTGGCGCCCCCAACTCCCTCCCCATCCCCTTCTCCGTGTCTGACTTCATCCGGAGCCCGCTGGCCAAGAGCAGCACCTTCTTCAGCGAGGATGACGTGGTCACCATCCCCTTCTCCCTGGTGGGCGCGGCCAGGCTCCAGGGGCCGCGCGACTACGGCCTCACGGTGGGCCCGGGGGGCCTGCTCCCCATCGGCCAGGGCTCCATCTACCTGCCCGCCAAGTCCATGGCCGCGCCGCGGGGCCGAGGCCTCCCGATCAGCATCAAGGAGCCCGTCTTCCGGGGCAAGGGCATCCTCCTCAACGCCAAGCCCTTCGAGGTCAGGGGCTTCATCTTCAAAGGCCGGGGGGCCATGTCCACCCCAGCCAGCGAAGCCCTGCCCGTGTCCTACATCATCGGCCTCATGGACAACGGGGAGGGTTCCATCACCTTCCCCCTGTCCCTGGCCACCATCCTCACCGGCAAGGATCCCTTCAGCGACGCCGAGGGCGCCATCACCTTCCCCTTCATCTTCACTGATGACGTGAATGGCCAGGACATCATGACCGGCCGTGCCAAGGGGGCGCGCGTGCGGGGCGCGGCCGCCAGGGACGACCCCGTGTCCATGAGCAAGGGCTCCATCACCCTCCCCTTCCTGGTCTTCGACGTCATCAAGCGCAGGGGCCCCCTGGCCGAGGCCCTGGTCGCTCGCTACTACCGCAAGCGGAGGCGGCCCCGGTCGCGGTCCCACCGCGCGGGCCCCGGCTTCCACCGCGAGGACTTCTGCTGCGGGCCGGGCTGCTGCGGGCCGCGCTCCGACGCCTGCGAGGAGACGTGGATCTGGGTGTCCATGATCCTCTTCATCCTCTGGGTGATCTACCTGCACAAGGTCAGCCCCGACACGCCCCAGCGCTTCTGAGCCGGCCCCGCCCCAGCCCGCGCCGCCGGCCCTCGCAGCCCCCCTCGCAGCCCCCCAGCCTGCCTGCGGAGGTCTGTCCTGCTTCTGCGTCCTGCCTCGTGTCCGCCTCTCCCGTGAGCGTGCTTCCCGGGTGTCCCCGCGCCGGCCCGCTGAGCCGTCGTGCGTGTTCCAGGCCTTTCTGTGTGTGCGTGTTCATCCAGTAAAATAAAGGTGACTCCAGCACACAGGACTGGCTGCGCGTCGGGGGTGAGAGTGGGGTCTCCTGCACCCCGCGTCTCCCCAGCTCTCATCTTTTTTTTTTTTAAAGATTTATTTATTTATCCAAGCACTGGGCACAGTCAGAAGCGCAGGAGGGTGAGAGAATTCACCAGAGCCAGAGCGGGGGACAGAGCAGGCAGACTGACGAAGGACACTGCTGAGGGGAGCAGCGGGCGGCAGGAGGGGTCTGCGCGCCATGCGGGACCCTCCTCCGGTGGCCGGGGAGCAGCCGGGGATCAAGCCAGTGCCAGAGAGGCTGCGGGCAGCTTCGCAGCCCAGCGCTCAACCGCTGCGCCACCGGGGAGGCCCCCAGCTCTCATCTTTTCCAGCAGTTCAAAGCCCAGCTGCCCCAACAGCCGCCACAGCCTGGTTTCACCTGCAGCTGCTTTGTTGTGCGAAGCCTCCCCCACTGGCTTGCACGCACGTCTGCTCCCCCTGCAGGGACTCTGTGGGCAGCAGTGGTGTGGAGAGGCTCCGGGGGCCAGAGCCTTGCCGGGAGGAGCTAGGAGGCGTCCTTCCTCAGCACCAGCTGAGCCTGGGCAGCTCCTCAGGTTCTGCCCTGCAGGCTGCCTGGCTCCCACAGGGGCATGGGGTGCTGGTGACAGTGGACAGGCTCCTGTGGGTGCAGGTGATCAGGGTGGAGGAGGGAACACCAGGGTCAACACTAGGGTCCAGTCCCCTGCTGTGGACGCAGCATCTGGGGGCCCTCCAACACCGAGGCCTGCCCAAGGCGCCTCCTCCACCTTGGGGACTCTGGGAGGAAGTCCAGAGCCTCTGACACTGTCTACACGGGCCAGCCTCGTCTGCCTCGTGTCCCCCCCGGCACTGGGGGCACCCTCTGTCCCAGGCCAGCCCTGACTGTGAGGACCTGCTTGGGAGGGGTGCCTCTGACACGAAGGGGCAGGCTCTGGGCTTGGGCCCACAGCCTGGTCACGAGAGGGTCTCGGGAACCCAGGTCTCCACCCTCCTTCTTGGGAACATGGTGTCTGCTGTGGCATCGCCTCCATCCTGGCCTGGAGGTGCCCAGGCACTGACCACAGTGAGTCACGAAGGGGCTCATGTCCCCCACACCTCTTTGGTCTCCTAATGACCCAGAGTTGAGTCTGTGCTTGAGGCCTGGCCTGGTGACCTTCACACTTGAGTTGCAGCCACGGCCACTGCTCTGCTGGATGGCAGGTCGTGGTCAGTCCTGGTGCCTCGGGGACCGCTCACAGGGCTGTGCCCACCCGGGTCCCTGGCAGGTCTGGGATTCGCCCTGAGCCACCTCCCTCCTCCTCCCTCAAGTGGGGTGGGGTCCCTGGGGACTCCCCTAGGTCGCCCGGCCCCGCAGGCTGTGTGGGAGGCTCTGAGCTGACAGGCAGAGGGGTGAGCTCTCCCTGTCCCTGTGGGGGCCAGCAGGTGATTTCAACCCCCTTGGCCCTCCAAGGGCAGGTATAGGGAGGGGGCTCTGAGTCGTGGGCCCCTGCTTGGCCTTTAGGTGGAGGGGCACCGGCCAGCCCAGCAGGCAGACAGGCCGTGGGGGCAGTCTTCGCACCCCTCAGCCGCACCCCTTCCCGTGGCTCCCAGTTCCACGCTGCAGGCTGCAAAGATCCGGTGCTCCTAGACCCTCTGCCCAAGGTCCCTGGTGCCGAGGTCAGCGGGGCTGCAGGGCCGGGAGGTCCTCTGCCCTGAGCGGGCGGGGCAGGCTGCGGGGTCCCGACCTCCAGGCTCCAGCTCCTCCCAGCAGGGACCAGGGGCACCCTGCCCACCCACCTCCTGGGGCTTGCGGGCTCGGGCTGTGCTGGGTCTGCAGCCTGTGGCTCCTCTGTTGCACCGCACTGAACCCTGTCGCGGGGAGGAGGTAGGGGCCGTGGGGCGCCCTGGGGTCCCCCAGCCATTCAGACCCTGCAGTTGCCCCCTCCCGCTCACCCCACTGCCCACCGCTCTCCCCTCCTCATCTCCAGCTCCTGGCCCTCCCCTCCCCCGCTCCCCTGCTGGTGGGGGGGGCGCCCCCTGCTGTCCTCTGGCGCCCCCGTGTGGCCACTGGCGGGACCTGCAGGCAGCTCCCAGGAGGCTCCACAGCCGCTTGTGTTGGATCTGACGGTTTTGTGGCATGTGGCATGTGTGCCTGTATGGCATGTGTGGTATGTGTGGTGTGTGTGTGGCATGTGGAAGTGTGTGCCTGTGTGGCATGTGTGCGTGTGTGCATGTGTGTGGTGTGGCATGTGTGGCGTGTGTGCCTGTGTACGGCATGTGTGTGCATGTGTGCGGTGTGTGCCTGTGTGGCATGTGTGTGGCGCGTGCATATATGTAGTGTGTGGCATGTGTGCATATGTGTGGCATGTGTGCATATGTGTGGCGTGTGGCATGCGTGCACACGTGTATGTGTATGGCGTGTGTGGCGTGTGTGGCATGTGTGTGTGGTGTGTGCATGTGCGTTTGTGGTGTGTGTGTGGTGTGTGTGTGGGGGGGCATGTGTGTGTGCAGTACACTTGCATACACGTGATGCTCCGCGCTTGTCCGGTCCCTGCGCCTGTGTCCACGTGCGCTCTCGGCTGGAGCGTCCAGCTGTGTGGGCAGGAGGGGCCTCCAGCGTGCAGCAGGCCGGGTGGGGCCGCCTCTCGGGCCTTCTCCTTCCGCCATAGCCTCAGGTGGGGCCTCGCGGGAGTGACCCCCAGCCCCACGCCTGCCTGGAGCCCGGGCGAGCGCATCCCGCGGATGGACGCAGGGACAGAGGCCCAGCAGGTTAAGGACCAAGAGACCAGAGGAACGGTGGCTGGACTCAGGGCCCCGCGGCGCTCGCGCTGCCACCTGCTGGCAGGGGAGGCCGGCTGGACCGGCTTTAGGCAAAGGCATTGGTGTGGGGTGGGGACCCCTGCAGGGCAGCCTTGCCCACCCCCCCACCCGCCCCACCCGTTCACATCGCGGTTCTGACGCTTGGCCTTATTCAGGCCCAGTCTTGCAGGCCGTGTTGGTTCGGAGCAGGGTGGGCTGGGGCGTGGGACTGGGGCCGGTACAAGGAGGGGCGTCTGGACCTGGACCTGCGCCAGGAGGGGTCGTGCGAAGGCGTGGCCGAGGCGGGAAGCCAGGATGGGTCGCTGGACAGGAACAGCACAGGCCCCCACTGCTCGGGAGGCCGCCGGCCCGGATGCTGTGACAGCCAGAAAGGGCTGGGCTGGGGCTGGGCAGAGCCTGGGCCAGGGCAGGGGCTGGGCTGTGCTGGGCAGGGGCTGGGCAGGGGCTGGGCTGGCACAAGAGGCTTTTGTACCATCTGAACATGGCCCCAGGCTGGGCTGCTTCCTGTTCGCTCACCCCCACGCACGGACATCCAGGAACCCGGGCAGGGAAGAGTGGTGTGGGTTGGGCACCCGGAGCAGGAAGCCGATGGTGCAAATGGGTCAGTCAGGGATCCTGCGCCTTCAGCAGGGTCTGTGTTCCGATCACGCAGAGAGCAACTCCCCTATGTCTGTGCTGCCCCCACCCAGGCGCCCACCCAGGGTACCCCCATGTGCACTTCCACTCACACTGAACACCTTGCTTTAAAGCGCCGTGGGGCTGACGTCTGTCACTGCCGTGCCAACGGGCTTCTCAGCACGGAGGTCACAGCCCGGCCGGGGGCTGCGCTGGTGTTGGATGCAGCCTTCGCAGAATTGGTGAACTGACAAAAGACTTGCAGACCCCCCTCCCCACACACACACCTTGCGGGGGCCGGAGCCTCCTGGTCCCCCCTCGAGGCCTGTTCTGCACTACAACGGCCCCAGCTGAGGCGTGGAACCTGGCCCTTGCGATTGCCAGGGCCGTGTTGGCTGTGGGCAGGGGCGCTGTAGCCTGGCTTCCGGCCTCCCTTTGGGACAAGTGGCCCACGAACCGTGCGGCCCACTGGCCAGGAGGCTGTGCCGTCCTCAGGGACCAGCAGCTTTACTGAGGAAGCTGGGATCCCTCCCAGGCCCACATGCAGGACAGGCTGCGCTGGGCTGTGTGGGGACAGGATGGCCCGACGGGTGGGCTGTGGGAGCCAGGTGGGTTTGTGGGCGCCGTCACAGGCTGCCTTGGGGTCACAGTGGACACGGACGGGGCCTTGGAAACCTTTGCAGCCTCCCCCCACGAGCACGGCCCGAGGCAGCCAGGAGCAGGAAGTGCCCGTGGGGGCCACTTCCTCCAAAGCACAGGACCCCAGTGAGGGCAGGGGCACCTCTTCGGGCTGAAGTCAATGTGCAGGGGAGCCATAAGGTGGAAAGGATGCACCCCAGGAGGACGGTCCTGAGACAGAACCCATCGGCTGTCCGCCCGAAGCCACATGTGTGTGCAAAGGCCCTTGTGCTGCTATGTGCAGGCGCGGGGGGTTGGGGGGGAGGTGGGGCTCGTGCTGCGTGCAGGTGGGGGGCTCATGCTGCACACAAGAGGGGGGCTTGTGCTGCATGCAGGGGAGTGGGGGGCTCGTGCTGCATGCATGGGGGTAGGGGGGCTCATGCTGCGTGCAGGCTGGGGGGAGCTGTGGGCTGTGGGGGTGCCACTGCATCAGGCTTTGATTCTTTTTCCACGGGGAGGGGCTCGGCGTGCTGGACGGGTGGCCCGTTGCTTCGAGACCTGGCTTGGTTGGAGGGGGTCCGAGAAGAGGCGGGGTCTCTTCTGCCCCCACTCAGAGCGGCAGCCCCGAGGGCTGGGCCCAGTGCCTGGCATCTGCACCCCTACCGTCTTCGTCTGGCTTTTCCACCTCCGCGGCGGAGCCTCTCACCCCTGCACCGGTGGCCTCGGGGCTCCCT